TCTAATGTGAAAAAAGAAGATTAAGACATGTATACGACTGAAGGACTTGTATAAGGTCATGAATAATAAAAAAAGTAATTTTTTCGCACGAAAAGCTGTAAAGAGAAGGCTTACTTTTAATAAATTGTAATATTGTTTTTAAAAATTATACTTTTATAGTATACGAGTATATAACTTGTATAATAGTTCTTATTTTTGTACATAAATACTTAGTGGTAGTTTTTAAGTGGTAGTGGTTAAGGTTAAAAAGCGCTGAAAATAATTTCTACGTGCTCCTCTTCGGATTCGGAATATGAATAAAACGAAAATAAGTTTATAGTGTTTCTTGTTAATGATGACTCTACGCCGTTTTCTGATAGGGATCGTTTAGCGCTCTCTAATGCATGCATGCAGAAAGCATTGTGTCTCGGGAGTTTAACACCTGAGACCCATTAACAAATATAATATTGGAATAACTTTCGATCTGTCCAACAATGCAAATGTTCCTCAGTAACAATAGAAAAATATGGGTGCGTGTACTTATAAGTACGCGCGTGAGAAGTTATACTTCTTTTTGGAATTATTAAAAAATAGTTTTTAATTGCATGCAGATAATTAATTACAATAAGATAATAAAAGGATTGGAAAAGGATAGTCAACGCAGTCAATAAAGTTCAGTTTTAATTTGAAAAATTTAATAAATAATCAAAATATTCAATTTAAATCACTACTGAATTTAAGTTATTAGCCCATATGTAATTAGCACTTGTAAGTAACTAAAACACGTTGTGTATATATAGAAACTAGAAACATGTGGATAAATATTATAAATATGAAAACAGTGATCAGAGGCGACGAGCGTGCCAACATTGTTTTTGACAACGCGATCATCTTATGGAGCTCCGTGGATCGTTCAAAGTACCTTTCGAACAGATGTCTAATAATGGTGGATTATTAACCACTAAGTGGTTAATAATCCACCATTATTAGACACTAACATTCATAACGCGCCCGCGGCCAACTTCATGGTGTTACTATTGTGTTACAGTGATGCGCGCGCATCTCGAAATTTCACTCACATGATTTTTTCATAACGCGCCCGCGGCTATCTTCATTATGTTACTTTTGTGTTACAATGATGCGCGCGCATCTTAAAATTTCACTCTCATAATTTTTTCATAACGCGGCTAAAGAAGTATAACTTCAAAAAACTTCCTGAAGAACTAGATCTCTTCGCAACAATTCCGGCATCCGACACCGATATAACTGCTTTGCTGAAATATGTACCTATAGATTTGTCTAATAGTTTTTTTTTTCATTAATAGGTATTCCGTGAAATGTTTCTCAGGTGAGGCGCTTCAGACGACGAGTAAGGGATGATAGCCCTACGAAGACGCTACGAAGCCCCACTTGGCGAATACGATGGCCATGTGACTTTCTTCTTCAAATTTTATTTCCAAACAATTGAATTTATATAACATTTTTGAAATTTGACAGTTTGCTGTAATTTGTTGCGCTCTGTCTTGTACTTTGTACCATTCCATTGTGACCACACGCTTATTGGGAAGCGCTAGGGTAATTTTGCACACGGGCGCCACATGGGCTAGAGACGCCTCTGTATTTAGACTCACGGGGCGCCACGAGGTCAGTGCATATTTTCCATCTTTGAAGCAATGTTTACGACGTCTAAGATTTGGACATATTGCAAAGTTCTGCAAAAACAATGAAGTTTGCTCTATATGCACCGGTACTCATAATTTCAAAAAGTGTGAACAAAACAATGACACTCCGACGTGCGTTAACTGTCGGGGTAGCTACATAGCGATTTCTACTCAATGTCCCATAAAAAAATTCGCGAGTCGCAGACATTGGAACAAATGTGGACAGTAACCAACCCCATCCTCCGAACCGAAACTACTATGAGGCCTCCGTCCTCAGTTCTTGCTTTTGGGTGGTATACTGCTGGTAGTCAAGAGACAGCTGATGCCCTCTTAAAACATTTTTAACCAGCTGATCCTCTTTATATGGATTCACCCGCTCGGGCAGCTAAAAGAAGCGATGATCCATACTTTACAGTAGTGGAAGTGCTAGATGTACTAAAATCTTTCTCCCCGAAAAAGGCACCGGGACACGCTGGATTAACATCGCATATTTGTCATACAGTCGCTGCAAACTTTCCCAACCTCCTAACAGGACTATTCAATCGCTGTCTATTTAGAAATAGTATCCTACAGGATTCTTCCCCCAAATTTAGAAACTTGCCATACTTAAAATCATCCCAAAATCAAGAAACGTAGACCGTTCATCTTTGAAAGCCCATCGACCCATTGGGCTCATCCCAGGGGCTTTCGGAAAATCTCTTGAAAAAATATTTATTGAGCGAATTTTGCACCAATCAGCCACCAGCGGAACTCTTAACCCTCTCCAATATGGGTTCAGACGACATTCTTCGACTATCCATGCCTGAATGATGCCATATCCTATATTAAAGACAATTTAGGCGCATAACGACCCACCGTATCCATTTCATTAGACATCAAATCGGCATTTGATCAGGCTTGGTAGCCCTCTATTTTATCCCGGTTAAAGTACTCCGTGAACGTACGGTGGCTTCATCTGTCGCGGGTGTCACTGCTACCACTACCACCCAGCGAGGCTGCGTCCAGGGATCTGCTTGTGGGCCAGCATTGTGGAATATTATCCTTGATTGTCTTCACAGCCTGTCCTTTCCCGCCGGTAGCCGTATGCAAGCTTATGCAGATGACGTTTTTGTAATAGTATCTGCCAAGGATCCCATCACATTCGAAAGAAATGCTCGACAAACTATAGACATGGTTGCAAATTGGGGACTAGATGTCAAATTAACGTGTGGATCAGATAAAACAAAAGCCTTGGCTTTTACTTCCAAGGCAGCTAGGGCAAGTTTATCAATATTAAACACTATTATTTATTTATACTTCATTGCACAAATGTGTGTACAAGTGGCGGACTTAATGCCATTATTCCTTATAATACTAAATTAACTTTACTGGGAGTTGTCATAGATCATTGCCTTCGTTTTCACAAACATGGGAACCATGTCATTGATAAAGCACAAAGTTTGTTTACGCGAATGTGTTTGTTCGTTCGGCCTTCTTGGGGCTTTCATCCTAAAAATATCAAAATAATTTACGGGTACGTAATTGTGCCCACAGTTACTTACGCTGCAGGTATTTGGGGTCAAGTTGCAAATCGCTACAGCGTGTATTTGCTATCCGAGTCATTAGGGCCTGTCGCACGGTTTCAGCTAAGCTGCTTTAGCCCAGGCACAATTCACACCCCTTGATTTGGAGGTTCTACATGTGCGCGAAATTGAAAGAAGTAGATTAACTCAAACCACTGAATTCCTGCCGGATGATGTCATGTGGGAATACCCTACACCCATTTCCAATCTTCTGCACCTTGCACATCGCGTCACTGGTCAATATTCTTTTGATGAAGTACAACAAAAAGAGGACGAAACTTGCCTTCCCAATACCGTGCAAATTTTAAGAGAATGAATCCGTTGGGGCTGCCTATATTTGCAAAGAACCGGACTTGCCGTCTCTTTCACTTGTAAAAGACTTTAATTACTCAAAACCTGCAATGTGTTCCTGGCTGAACTTTATGCTATCTACAAAGCTTGCTACCTCGCTGTAGAGAGAAAATACGAAGATACCCTTATTCTCACTGACTCATTATCGTCTCTGGACGCACTCAGTCAGCGCAACAACGCCACTCCTCTCGTGTCACTTACCTACAAACTCATTCGCCAAAAACGGGGCATCGGGGATTAGCGGGCATGTAGGGATTGCAGGTAACGAGGCTGCGGATGCTGCGGCCGGCCACGCAGCAGCTTCGAGAAGGGCTCCTGATTACGAACGATTCTTATTATCATATGTGAAGCGCCTTTCTAGGCTTCACATTCGCAAAGAATGCGAGACGCGATACCAAGAGGTTGCTCAAGGCTCCCACACCCGAGATTTATTCCCCTCTATAACAATGATTCACAATTTTTTCTTAATCGTCTCTTCTTCTTTATTCTTTCTTAGTAAATTTTTAAGAGGACATGGTGCGCACCTTTCTTATTTATACCGCTTTCACATTGCTGCATCTAGCGTATGTCTGTGTGACACTCAGACGCCTCAAGATCCTCTTCATCTTTTGACCGATTGTCCAATATTCACCATTAATAGACTTAGACGTTTGTTCTGTATTCTGAGACTTAGACAAATTACCATAATATGCTTTTGTTGTTTCTCTTTGTTTGTTGATGTTGGTCATTTTCGTTTATGGGAAGATATTTATTGTGCTTCATACTGCGGTTTTACGTAAAAAGTTAAATTTCTATTTTGCTTTTTGACAGCCTTTTTATTAATGTGTAACATCTTTTCTCTCGCTTTCCTGCAATTTGTGGGAGATTTCGTGAAATGGGACGGAAGTGTGTAACAGGAAGTCGCGAAAGCGCGCCCTATTTGATTTGATTTTAGAACATAATGTTCAAATGGCTTTTTCCTTTTGTAGTAGGTTTTTTTTGTAACATCTTTTCTCTCGCTTTCCTGCAATTTGTGGGAGATTTCGTGAAATGGGACGGAAGTGTGTAACAGGAAGTCGCGAAAGCGCGCCCTATTTGATTTGATTTTAGAACATAATGTTCAAATGGCTTTTTCCTTTTGTAGTAGGTTTTTTTTTCACTTATTTAAGGTGAGATTTCAAATCTTACACATCATACGCGACTATTGTAAGGCTCGCTCTTTTTTTCTTTTCGACATTAAACAAATGTACTGTATTAAAAAAAAAGCAAAATAACAAACGCACATTATATATTAGGAAAATAACTAATAAAAAATGCTTCATAACCTCTATAAATAAAATTCAAATAAGTAAAATAAAATAAATTTAAGACTCGGCTGTATGTGCCTTATTCCCTTTGCATTCCCAGAAAAGGGAGAACTTTAAAAAAATATTGACGTTTATATGGCAACTCCGATATTTTGACACATCATGTTTGCTCTGCTCTGACGGGAATTCTTGTGGAAATCGCTTGAATTTATCGTCAATTACAGTACGGGTCAACCGGTGCTTTCGAAGCTCAGTGATTGATATCACATTTATTTGTATTGTTAGTTAATAGTTACGAGACGCCATTAGTAAAGAAAGTGTTAGCTACTGTGCTGTAACTAAAATCAGTCGTTAACCGCATATTCCTATTCGAATTTATCTTTAGCTTTCACCGAAAATGTCTGAGAGTTCACCAGACGAGCCCAGTCCTAAACGTAAGGATTTCATCTGCGGTGTCGTTGAAGGTAAATGTGATTTTAATGCAACGTGTTATGTTACATGCGTACTTTTATATTCTAGTTATGTATGAAATGCCTTAGACATGTGAATGACCTAGGCTTTATTATTGCAGGCTTTTACGGTCGTCCGTGGACAACGGAACAAAGGAAAGACTTGTTTCAAAAGTAAGTACTGTTAAAATATAAAAGTTCTAGGATGTATATATTCCTGGATGTTGTTTAATAGCATCACAATAGCAATTGTTATAATTTGGTTTGGTTGTTCACTACAGAGTGTTAAGATTATGAAGTTGTTACTAGATACAATAAATGATATTTATACCTCTTCCACTACAAGTAGAATTATTATAGTAGTTTCTGCTATGGAAATCTCAAACATTGACATGACCACAACAAAATTTTATGTGGGTTGCTAAGGAACAAGTAATTGAGTGGTGTTTAAGTACTTCTTGATTGTGACACATTGTTTAATATTGTTGAGTGTATTTGTTACTGTAAAAGTTTGGATATTGAAAAATCTAAGGTTTTACCAGTAAATCTTTGGAATTACCAACATGAGTTGGTGGATTTAATAGATTTATAAAATGGGGTGATTTTTTCAGTAATTTCCTATTAGAATTTTGTAAACACTAGGTTTTACCACTGAAGTTAACAATTTGTAATGTTTGATCCTTTATTTCAATTACATAAGTATTAGTCAGAAGCTAGCATATTTTTATGTAGGTATCATATGAGAGCAATTAACATTTATATTGCTAATAGGCTAGTTGACCCTTTTTGGAAAAAGTTTTTAAATGGTTAATAAATGTTCTATTAGACCGAAAAAAAATGTATTGTATTTTTTTGAGACCTAAAAAGCTACAAATCTTTAATTTTAAAATAGATTTTTCATGGATATACAAAAACGCTGACGGTCATTTTAGTCTATAGATTATCTATGCTATGACGTTAACTGCAGTAAACACATAGGAAAGGTAAATAAACAAAAACTCGTAAGCACGTAGAAAATAACTTAACTGACTTTATAATAATCAAAAGATGATTTCTAATAAAAACCCTGAAAAATAAAGTAATTATCATTATTGTATTGTACGAGAATATAACAAAAACTCGTAAGCACGTAGAAAATAACAACTGACTTTATAATAATCAAGAGATGATTTCTAATAAAAACCCTGAAAAATAAAGTAATTATCATTATTGTATTGTACGAGAATATAAAAACACATCCTTGAAGACTCCAGGAAAGTTTTGGATTAAAAGTGCCGAAAGAAATTAACCTACGCAACTTTATTACACTTATTCATATGTTGTATCAGTTTTATGTTTATTACTACATTGTAATACTAAATACACTGTACTTACATAGATGCCTTGTCGTTTCTCTGCTCCGCAGAGCAGAAATCGGAGTTTAGTGCAATAAATTCACCAACCATGAATGCGTCAATTCTTGGCAGATTTGTGCTTTCTGTTTTCACAAAGCCGGCATCCATAATTAGTTTTTTCAAAAAAAAACAGTAAACAGAAACTTTTCTAAAGTTAAAAGTGTTTTAAGATAAATTTAGTCAGACGAAAGAATCCACCCACAGTAACACGCGAATGACATTTAGTTGTTTACCATAAGAGACGTCACAATCATGGCGGATGTGGCGAATAGCGTTTTTAGTGTTTATAAAATATAGACTAAAAATTTTTTTTTTAAATTAAATTTCTACAGCAATCTTCTGCTTTTATGAAGTGAAATCGATATATTTAGGTTCCTTAGACGAAATACTTTAAGAAATAAACATTTATTTAATACAATTCGACATGAGTCAACTAGCCTATTATTCAAATCCTTACCTATTTTAAATTGTTTTCGTCATATTTTTATTTATTAACTAGTGGCCACCCGCGACACCGTATGCGTGGAATTAGTTAGAAATAAATGTTCACTGCTCTTTCGCGATAATATGTAGCCTATATGTTGACCCGACTTCTTAATTATATTCGTGCCAAATTTTAAGTTAGTCTATGCAGTACTTTTTGAGTTTATCCCGCACATACATACAGACAAACAGACAAAAATTCTAAAAACTATATTTTTGGTTTCGGTATTGATTGTAGATCACACCTCAAGTATTCTTTTAAAAACATTTTCAATGTCCAGTTTTGACTTTCATACCATTTTATTATATGTATAGATTTGTTGTTATTAGTCATATTAAAGCTGCTTGAAAATACCCCTTTCTTAAATAGTAAACAATAACATAAGTAAAATTATCTTCACATAGACATAACAGTAACTCTGACTAATCTAACTCATTCAGTATTTTCCTGTTTGGTTTTTAACAAACAAATTAAATAAAAGACAATTAATCAATTTATTGTTGTCATGTCTTTTCCAATATTTACACTGCCTTTGATATCCTAAAATTTATCATGTGAATAGTGGCAAAAGTTTGAATCGCAAATCTGACTTTTACCATTCAAATGCCTTTATTGCTAATATACATACATTTTAAATATTTAAAAGCTAATACACATCATTAACCATAACAGCATGTCATGCCGACATGGGCCCCCACCTGCTTCTTCCAGTCAGATCTGTCTCTAGCCACTCCAAGCCATAGGATTACTGCTACTGTTCTTATGTCATCTGACCACCTTTTGAGTGGTCTTCCACATTTACTTTTAGTTCAATACTAAAAGTAAATGTCTTCCACATTTACTTTTAGTATTGAACCTTGGGGTCTGTTCTCTGTCTGTCTGAATTTCTCTCTTTTTTCTTTTTTTATGTGGCCTACCCACCACAATTTTAGATGTCTGATTTTCAATACTACATCTTCGAATTTAGTGACTTTCCCTAATGTCAGTGGCCCTCTTCTTATCTTTCCGGCGACACCCCAGGATGCGTCCTCTTCTTGTTATTGAATTTTGTAGCACTTGTATCATGGCCCATGTTTGACAACCGTATGTGAGTATTGGCAGGATGCATGCAATAAAAAGTTTTCTTTTCAGTTTTATGTTATATATAGTGAATGTTCTTCAAACTGTCAGACTTTTACCATTAACAGTTGTTAAGTCATGGGTTTTACTGGAGTCTTAGGATTTACAATAGTTCAGGCTTTGCAGTAACATGTAGAGGTCATGAGCTATAAATGTTTATTTGATTTTTCAGATTAAAAAAATGGAACATGGATGTATATGTATATGCCCCTAAGGATGATTACAAACATCGAGCTTATTGGAGGGAGCTCTACACGGTAGAGGAGGCGGAGCACCTGACATCTCTCATTTCGGCTGCAAAGTCACAGGGAATAATCTTCTGTTATGCTTTATCACCAGGACTTGATATTACTTATAGCAGTCAGAAGGAAATCACAACTTTAAAGAGGAAATTGGAGCAGGTTTGTATATTTTTCTACCTTTTTGGTGCTTCATCAATTCTGAGTAGATTTACTGGCCTTGGGAACATCCAAACATCTTATTCAAAAGAAGGGATAAAGAAGTTGGATAAAATATAGTACATTATCCCAAATTAGGTGTAAGCCAGCAGTTATTTTTTTACAATTAAATAGGCATCAGATGCAAGTCAACAGTTATTTGGTCAATTGAATAAATGTTAGCACCCCCAAATATTCTCCCTTTCAGTTCTATTTCACTTTCTTTTAACAAAGAACTGATGAGCTGTGTTAATAAGTGCTTTCTTGATCTTGTTCTGACGTGCTATGCTAACTATATCATTATTATATGTACAGTCTGCCAACCCTCCTGTTAAAAGAGGACACTCAATATCTATTGGTCTTTAAATATTTCATTATTATTAGGAATTTTATCTTGTTTTTTTAGGTATCTCAATTTGGATGTACATGCTTTGCATTGCTCTTCGATGATATAGAACCAGAAATGAGTGAAGCTGACAAGCAGATATTTCAAAGTTTTGCTCATGCTCAGGTAAGTACAATAATTTTTAATATAATTATAGAACCAATTTAAGTTATTAAAGAAATTAAATTATTATGAGATTCCTTATAAAACTGTAAACTTATAAATTACCTACAAAGTGTGTAATGGCCATACTCAGAGACCCGTTGTCACTTTCTTTGTGATTACAATAAATAACAATGAAATTGTGATAACAATAAAATGAGACAACATGTGCCTTAATAAAGCATTAAATTCATATATATCGGTATGGCTGTAAATATTTAATCTCTTACTGGATTTTATTGAATCATGAAAGTAATAAAAGCGATTTTTTTTTTTTTTAATATGTACAATGTATTGTTGACTTTCAGTTTTCCTTTACATATTTTCTAGTCAAATATGTGATAACAATAAAATGAGACAACATGTGCCTTAATAAAGCATTAAATTCATATATATTGGTATGGCTGTAAATATTTAATCTCTTACTGGATTTATTGAATCATGAAAGTAATAAAAGCGAAATTTGTTTTTTTTAATATGTTGACTTACAGTTTTCCTTTACATATTTTCTAGTCAAATATGTACCCGAGAATGTTATATTAACTTAATTTAAGTACAATATATTGTGAATGTAAGTGTGGGAATCATTAACAGGTCTCCGTGACTAATGAGATACACCAGCACCTCGGCTGCCCCCGATTCCTGCTGTGCCCCACCCAGTATTGTTCCACTAGGGCTGTGCCAACAGTCAATAGTTCCGAGTATCTCAACACCCTGGGCACAAAGCTCTCGCAGCAGATCGACATTATGTGGACAGGTTTGTAAATGTCTCAGAACAAGAACTAAAGCATAAAAGTAATGCTATGACTTATGAGCATGTACTCCCATAGACTATAGATTTACGAAAAGATTTCTAAACAACGTATTATCCAACCAAAAAGTATTTCTGGCGTGTTGGCAGTTTGCATTTGACATTACATCGCTTTTTGAATCGATGATTTGATTTCGATTGAGTTTTGTTTAGCGGTACGCACGCTATTCATAGTATGGTTCATTCATAGCATCATAATATTTGTTCCTTTTTTGTTCTATAAGTAAGATAAGCTTTGCAAGTTGACTTTATGTGTTGAATTTAAACTCTTTTTATGCTTAAGATCTTGTTCTAAGGGAAATGTATAGTTTGTACAGACAATGTAAGTGATTCTGAAAGAATTCTCTAGACTTAAAACTAAATTTTACAACAATCTATCCTTTTCATTATTTCTACCGGGTGTTACATAATTTAGAAATAAAATTTATAGGTATGTCTCTGTCAAAAACTTATATGTGGCAACCTTTAAATTCAACAAACATAGATGAGGAGTTTACAGAGGTGTCATATCTTGAAAAGCTCATTAGAAAACAACATCATGAGAGAGGTAGTGCATAGCGGAATTGCAAAATTTGTTTTTTTTGTTATTTTTATTATTTACAACATGTCTTAGCATACGAGCCGTCATAAGGTGATGTGACATTGCAAATCTCAAATGAGATCTTATTCAAACAGCAAGTTTTATGAAATGATTTTATGTGTTGGTGTTGCCGCCGATGCAAATATTAAGCGTGCTCGTGATCTGTACCCCTAGTACGAACCATTATAGAATTAGAGTAGTTTAATTTTATGTATTCTACGTCAATGTGATTTTTAGTTCTCGTTACGTCCGTTGTGGCGCCGCTGTTCAAGTTTAAATAAAAAATTTGACAATGACATTTTGCATTCGCAAACTATAATTCGATCTCGATACCTACTTGACGTGTCAAGAAGTTTTGTATAGAAGATTTTTAATTCTCGTTACCACCTTTGCGCCGCTGCTTAAATTGCCATAGAAAACTTCTTGACATTTTACGCGTATCGAGATCGAATTCAACTATTATAATTCGATGTTGGTTCGTGCTAAGGGTACTGAATAGGGAGAGGTGCGGCTTCTGTCTTATACCTGCCTCCGTAATGTATTTGCGGCTCCAGAGCAAAGAGAGCCGAAGCTCTCTTACGGAATGTCGAAACATTCTACCTCGTTCCTGCGGCCCTGTAGTACTCGTGACCCTCAGGGTAGGTCCGTTCATGAACAATCATTAGCAGAGAGTGGACACGCATTAGGGGTCTGCGGTTCTCATAGAGCATGCCGGTTGACCGATGCAGGAGTATTGTCTGGTTGTCACTGAGGGCAGGAGCCTGCTCATTTCATCGAGCTTCAGAGCTGGGAGAAAGGGAGTCCGCAGATATCTTCGTATGGCCTCCCCAGTTGGCGAAGGATGCGTAAGGCATTTTCGAGACATAGAAAAAGTATTTGTGACCCCGAAATAGAGACTCAGATATTGAATCATTTTGAAGAAAGTTTTAAGCTTCAATCATTCGTCAGTGTGGTCGACATTGCGGAGTAAAGGTCAGGATCCGTTTCACTTTAGCAGGACCCAGGTGACTTGTGAGTAGAAAAAGGTGGCGCAGTTTTGAACTTTTTTGGTAAATTAAGTACCTAAGTTGGTAGTGCAAAGTGATGTTTTGTTTTATGTAAAACTGTTTTTGTTCTGTGGCGTGCTTTAGCGAATTTTGATAATACCTGAAACAGCTTGGTTAATTCTGATAATACCTGAAACTGTTTTTGTTTACTTGGCATAGTTTGTAATCGTACGTATTTTTTTTTTGGGTTGCCATATGCAGGTGTTAAACATTATTTTTATTAATTTAATCAGAAAGTATAAGTGGACCATCAGGCGCCAAACTTTCATATGTAATTCTTCACAAGAAACGAAATCACACCCTTGAGTTTTATTTCGGACTTTTGTCACACCCTGTATAACTAAATAAGGATATACTATTGCCAACATTTAGCATTAGGTCAAGCTAAAGAATCATGCCAGAAAAAGATTCAATACCACGATTAACTGAAACAAGTGTTTATAATCGAAGTTCCAGTGATTGCTATGTTGAAATTTTTTGTTCAATGAGTTGTGTATGCAGTAATGACACACTAATTAGACAATGTGAAAATCGGCAATCGATTTTGAACTTTGAACCCGACTACTAAGGTTGAACATTTTTGTAGGTAGTTATAATAATATTTATGTTAAATATCTTACGAATTACTGTACCCATTCCTTGATTCATGCTTCTAATTAATAAAATTTTTAAACAGTAGATGATAAAATGCTTTTGGTCTCTTCAATCTTGTGAAATTTGACCCGGAACTTTTATCCCGTAAGAGATATTGAGTGATTCTATTGCGGTACGGATACAACAACGATAACTACTACTGCAATTTTAATTCCCATTTGACATTGCAGGTCCGAAAGTGATATCGAAAACTTTGACGTCAGAGTGCATAGAAGAGATCACTCAAGTGCTCCGCCGCCCGCCAGTCATATGGGATAATTTGCACGCCAACGATTACGACCAGAAGAGAATCTTCCTCGGTAACTATTGTAGTTTTATGCTACTTTCATACTATTGCTATAAAGATTTGTGCTCCTGTCCCGGTATCGCAAAATTGTGTATGCTACTTTCATACATAAATACATATTTTCTATCCCTTTTAATAACAAAAACCAACATCGACATGATATAAAACTAAAACGAAAAATATGAAACACGAAATCAGCCCGTCTGTTTCCACTCTTTTTGGTGTATTACTCGGGTCGATGTTTGGCCGATAGCTACCTAGCTTTTTATTTAAGGATTTAAGATAACATAATATTAATAACATTACCTTACCGATTAATGTCTGATGAACGAATGGTTTTATTTAAATTTCTTGATTGAGTAGTCTTATTGCGGATCTCAATGGCGAACGGCAGTGTCCGGGAAAACAAATACGGGCTTATGATACACTGTTATACACTTAGGCTTATAATGTATTTCTTTTAATATAGTAAATAAATCATAAAAAAATACAATTGCTCAAAACATTGTGTAACTTCGTTCTGCGTCTAAGCGTATTTGCCTTAATTTGAAAACATCGCGCTGTTGCGTAATAGTACAAAACATTGCGATAATTTGTGTGAAAAATTTGTTCTTTTTTTTCATATTCATATTTCGTTTATTGCATCTTGTTGTATACATAGGTGTTACAAGTATGGTTAGGTTGCAAACAAGAGCCCTGTAAGGGCGCGGCAAATTTAATAGATGTAGACATTATTATTATAATAAAGTATTTGATACAAAATAAAATCACATATCTTATTGATATTATTTATAAATTAATAGTAATATATTTTAGTTATTAATTTTATGTTTTAAGGTTTTTAGTTTTATTGTTCTAGTATTTATATTTTACTTATATATAGTAATTATGTAATTAGATAGAGACTTATTTGTTTATAGTTAGTGTATTTTATAGTTTTATGATGCGAAATTGTTAAGAAACAGTGTACATTTTATTTAAAAGACCACAGCATGCAATATATTTTGAATATATATATAATATATTTTAAGTTAAACTGCTCATAAATTAATTAATAGTAACATCTAAATATAAAAGTAGCTTTGTAGTATATATTTATATTATGGGTTTATGTCATGTTTATTTACCTAATTTTTTGTCAATATATTCGTTTACAAAATAGTAAGCCTTATTGATTAGAAATTGTTTTAGATTATTATGAAATTTACTTTCCTGGAGTGCTTTTGAGAAGTTGGCTAAGTGGTTACATAACTTGACTGCCATAAACAAAGGTCCTTTTTTACCCGGCTGCGCAATGCAAGAGCGCGAAGCGCGACGCGCAGGCAGGGTTATGTGTTTAACAGTCTATATATGTATGTTTGTTCCTTTGTGGCACACTAGAGACCAAACGCCTGGACCGATTTTGATGATTCATACATCAATCGATTCGTCTCAATCATGGGAGTGCTACTAAAGATATGATAGTAATCAAAATTCAATATGGGCAATATTAGGCGCCATATTGTGACGAAGTAAAAAAAATAAGTTGACAAAATATGTCGAGTGGGCTATCACTGTCTAGATAATCAAAAATCATATTTAGGTTCCTAACACTATTTTTCATTTTATATGATTGTTTAGGATCTACAACGCTTTAAAGTTGTATATTAACCACTTACGCTTTTAATTTCAATCTTACGTTTGTATGGATCTTTGTTACTCTTTCACCTAAAAATACCGAATGGATTTTAATGAAACTTAACAGTAATATAGCTCATATATGATAATTACCAATATATGACAATAAGTGTCACATAAGACGGAAAAAAATCTCCCATCTGCGAGCTATTTTGGCCTGCACTGAAAAAAACAATAAAAGTTACATGAATGTAATGTAGAGTGAAAATGTATCTCTTAAATAGTTCTAAACAAAAGTCCGTGACACCATATATCTATTTTTAATGTGTAAGTCATTACCGCTTAAATAGTGAATCAAAACTAAAATATTATTTGATATCTATTTCCAAAATGCACATTTTGTATTAACAAATCATTTTTTATCCAAACAAATACTTTTATCGCTTTTGATATTTAAAGACGATAAACTTTGCTTTATACACTATGTCATTTCGACAAATATTTAAAAAGTTACAACGATGAATAAGTGATAGCGCGGTGTACTATGTAAAAGAAAAAAAAATGGGCTATTCGCAGTATCTGATCCTATACGAAGTACTAACAATAAAACTGTGATACAGTTCCTTCTTATTAAATGATGAAAAATATATTATCACTAGCAAACCAGTGAACCACCACAAATGTTCACCAAAAAAAAAATGTATTTAATTAATTGAGAACTTCCGAGATTTTGTGTGGTTTCGTTTGAAATAGAAATCACGTGATTTCTCGAAAACCGGAAGTGCTACGTTACTCACATCCGGTTTGTAGTCTTATCAGACTATTCTCAACTTATAACTTAAACATTCTCTTTATCTATCTCTTACGGTTTGGCCGCTGAAACAGCACCACGGACGGACGGACGGACTTGTCTAATAGATAAGAGATAATAGGTATTTATGATTATTGAATTTCAATGAAAAACTCAGAATTTTACTGTTTTTCATTTTTTTAACGATATTACTTAATGTTACAAAAAAGGTTTACTTAATGTAATGACAAATAACCCATTTTTTGCTAGTATTAATATTGGTTTTTTAATAACTCTGTAAAATTCAAAGTAAATAATGTAGATTTTTATAGGTAAATAACCCCTTTCATCACCCTACGCCTATAAGTATTGCGATGTTGTAGCTAAGAACCAAGTTCCCATCTATTTCTATATGGGAATTCATTATATTCGACTTAGCTATTAGGGCACGGAAGCGCAACAAACAAACTCAATTTCGCATCTATAATATTATATTATACTTACTAGTGATCCACCCAGGCATTGTACGGGCGAAATTTATTTATCGGGATAAAATATAGCCTATGTCACTCGGAAAAAATGTATAAATGTAAATACATTAAATACATATTTAAATAAAGAAAAATGTAATAATAAATAATGAAGCTACCTTATGATGAATTAATATTTGAAACCGGTTCATTAGTTTGACAGATTATTTGTTACAAACATACAAATCTTGCCTCTTTATAATATTAGTATAGATAGTTAGGATAAGATAAGTATTTAATTGATGAAAAAGATTTAAAAATAAAGTAAGTAATAGGTTTATTTGATTATATTTGTAAAAGTTACTTAGCATTTGTGCTTAACAGTGATAGGTTTTTCGGTATTTTTTTAAACAAAAAAAATTTGGAAAATAATTGCCATGATTGCACTACTGGGAGTACTCTTCATTCGAGCTTTACACTACCAATAAAAAGGGTCGATCACAAAGTCTTTGACCTGTTATATGTGAACGCTTTAAAAGAAAACTACAAAGAGAACTATAAATTGATAATAAATGAGATTGCTATGGTGTTCTACCTAACGTTAAGAAAATTTTATTATGCGCCTTTAGTTTAATCAAATATTATAAACTTTGCTTCGGTGATTGCATAATTATTTAATTTAGTGATCTAAGGCAGTTGCCACCATTGTCCAAAACAACAAACGGGAATTACTGCTTTCTTCAACCTGCGACATAAACGTCATTGTTTGGTATTGTATATAGGTTGATTAAAAACATTTGAAGTTAACTTCTGGCATCTACATATTGGGTTTCTGTGAATTATGTAGGTATATCAAATTATGAGACTAGGGACTGACACTGCATTTGTGTATATCACAATCTTAGACGTCCGGCATTGACATGAGAATGCAGCCACTGCCAATTTTAAATAGTCGACGAATAAAGGTAAATGAATTTTATATTTACTGCTAAACTATTAAAAAATACATAAAAAATACAAAAGATGACTTTTTGAGTAAGTGCTAGTCTTTATATATATAATTCTTCTGTGAGTGTGTATGTCACTGAAGTTCTTTTAAACGAAAGGACCGATTTTGATGAAATTTTTTGTGTGTGTTCAAGGGGATCTGAGAATGGTTTAGATTCACAATTTTGTCCGCTGGACAATGTTTTTTTAATTAATTTTTTTTACGGCGGTACGAAGTTCGCTGGGTCAGCTAGTTTACTATAAAATTTACATACATTAGAGATATTTATTTAACGACTTGATTTAACTTCACACATTTTTGCGAAAATTGAGGCCCATCTGTAGCCTTGACCCCGCTGGTAAAGTCTCTATATGTCTTAATAAATCAATCTTTTAGACCGACGCAAGGTACTTAATAATTCCCGCGACATTAATTCCCTTACTGAAGTAACAAGACTACGGTATATACCGTCTTAAAATACTAACTGACTAAAAAGTGTGAAATAAAAAAGGTAAATTTAAAAAATCAAAAAACCCGACTGCTTTATTATACTTCAAATAAAAACTGAAAAGAAAAAAACAAGTCCAGTAGTCTATAATTCTGTTAATAAGGAACAAAGCTACTTTAACAGTCGGGACCCACTGTTGAAAAATATTATGTATTCTTGAATATCTAATGGGTCCCGACTGTTAAAGTAGCTTTGTTCCTTATTAACAGAATTATAGACTACTGGACTTGTTTTTTTCTTTTCAGTTTTTATTTGAAGTATAATAAAGCAGTCGGGTTTTTTGATTTTTTAAATTTATTAATTAGGTCAAGGTGTGGGTGTGTTGACTTAAAGACGTTGTTTTCTCAACGAGAAACGTAGCGCCGAGTACGAGAGTCAGTTACTTTTTTAAAATAATGTGAGCTGGCGCACTAATCTACAAAACTCGTAAATAATAATAATATTTCCAACACTCACACCAATTAGCCTAGCCCCAAAGTAAGCACTGTAAGTCTTGTGTTATGGGATACTAGGGTAATGAATAGAATACATGTACTGTACATATATAAGTATATTTATATAGAAATACATATTAAACATCCATGAGTGGAGTATAAATGTAAATGTAAATGTACACACTACTGACCGTAAGAATCTTTAGGCTTACAAACAACGGTCTACATGGTTGCAGAGATGACAGGTTGGCGATCACCCTAATGCAGCGCTGTTGTAAAATAAATACTGCCTGAACATCGGTTGAGTTCCCCCAAAGTACGATTCCATAACCAGTGGCGGGGCAACACCTAAATTTGATGTGGGCAAGACAGATTTCGCGAGGCCCTGTTCTGTGGCGACCTGAAGACGGATTTTATAAAATAATAAAAAAAAGAAATGCGCTTTTAAGCAATGCATAAAAAATTTTGCGGCGCGAGGCTCCTTTTACCGCGAGGCCGTAGGCGGTGGCCCACGTCGCCCACGCCTTACGCCGCCTCTGTCCATACCTGATCCAGGGATACAGCGCGCACTGAGCATTTGTACATTTACGCAATTCATACAGGGCGTACGTGAAACTGCTAAGTTTACTAACAACTGTACTCACGTGAGGTTTCAAGACAAGGTGGAATCCATGGTCATGCCCTGCGACACAAATGTATCGACTACTTCTATTTCATTCCGTTCAAAAGTTACATTGAGCTGCAGTCTTTTGAGGTCTAGATTGCATTATTTTAGTTTTTCCCATATTCAGTTCTAGACCTAATCCTGCTTTTTAGATGTTTAGCTATTTTATTTATGGATGATGTTATTTCATCGCGTAATGTATTTATGTCATTGTAATCGCCAGATATTATAAGAGTGGCATGGTCAGCAAGTTGTACGATTTTGTGTGGTGTGGCAAGGGACAGGTCATTTATATACGCCAAAAACATCAAAGACCATGTTATTTCATCGCGTAATGTATTTATGTCATTGTAATCGCCAGATATTATAAGAGTGGCATGGTCAGCAAATTGTACGATTTTGTGTGGTGTGGCAAGGGACAGGTCATTTATATACGCCAAAAACATCAAAGACCCAAGCACACTACCTCGAGGTATCGCTCTTGAAACTGTATCAATTTCGGAATTAGCATTTTCTAAAATACCTTTATTTGAGTGTGAAATTTTGTACAAATTGCTATGGTCTTTGGGCATATAATTATTTTATTGTTATGATTTAAACTTATGTTGTGTTGTCTATTTTTCTTGAAGGGTTTTGTACTTTCGTTGATTATGGCCCACATAGTCTTGTATTTATTTTTAGATGTTGTAAGTCTGTGTATGAAATATTTTTGTTATTCAGTTTGATTAATTCTTTTTAATATTTTGCTGTATCATTTTTCGTTTTGAAGTAAAGAATCGTTTTTGAATTGAGTTGTAACTGTTGTAAGGTAACGCAATACATATTCTCTTGTGATAGCAGCATTTATTATACCCTTAGTGACCCACTCTGTTTTAACTTTATTTTTTAATATGAAATAAATGTTCTTGGCATATATTTATCTTTAAGAACTTTAGTTTGAGATTGAAATACTCCTTAGTTTTTTTATGGCTTTGTCTTATACTTAGCTGCCAGATCGTAGCCCTCCAAAGATTAATTACTAGGCCGTAACCAATAAAGATTACATCAATATCGAATTCAGATAATAAGATATTCAACTCATCTATTTTATTTGTAAGACATTTTATATTTTGGCACATTATAGTGAAATATTCAGGACCGAAAAGAACTACCATTTACGGACAGAACAGTTGCAGAGTCTTCTACCAAAGTATTACTATGTACTAATTCCTTAGTAATCTTTGACACTAATCTACACAAATCCTGAATAACAGTTTTAAAACCCTGAACAATGGAATTGTTATTAAACCGGGAAAATAATCGGAAGGAGCACTGAAGATTCCTATTTTAATCCAAAACGTTACAATATCGGTGAATCTGATTATCATTAATAAGTAAGTTATTATTATATAAATCTTTGCAGTGTAAGATGAATTTATAGGTTGGTAGGCACAAAACAATATTAGTATGTTTTAATAATAACAGAGCTTGTTTCACGTCCCGTACTACATCAGAATAAACATCAGATACCTTAAAATCTGTCTCACCAACCATTATCACACAATAGTCAGAAGATGTATAGTCTACAAGTGTATGTTGCAGACCGCACAGCAGTTTTTGGGTTTCGTTGGGTTTGCTTTTGGGATTCTCTAAAACTAGTTCTGATTCATAATTTGCCATGAATTTTAATAGTCTGTAATTATTTCAAAGCGCGCTTTGTACATTTTTGTTGCGATAGGACGAATTTCGATATTTCTGATAATTCGTTACCGCGGTTGCTCCTTTATTTATTACAAACCAATAAACTATCGATTCGTAAAATATGCCCTGATATTTTTTTTTTGTTTACAGGTCCATACTGCGGCCGATCTCCTGAACTGATTCCCCTTCTGCGTGGAGTACTGACGAACCCCAACTGCGAGTACAACGCCAACATGATCCCGATACGAACGCTCGCACATTGGGCCAGTTGCAGTCTTGATGCGCCTGCACATAGTGAGTAGTTAACAATATCTTTGAAATAGGTACTACTATGACTTTGAGGAGCTCGATGGCTAAAGCAGTTAGCGCTTTCGGCTGCGATCGTTGATGTTAAGCAGATTTTGCAGTGGTCGGTCATTGGATGGGTGACCAAAAAATTTACTAGCTCGAGCTCCTCCGTGCTTCGGAAGGCACGTTAAGCCATTGGTTCCGGCTGCATCTGCAGTCGTTAGCATCCACAAATCCGCACTAGACCCGCGTTGTGGGTCATGGCTCAATATCTCTATTCCAATCCATTGGGAAGGCAATGTGCCCCAGCAGTGGAGACATTAATAAGCTGATGATGATAGGTCTATGCACAAAGCAGCCCCACTAGAGCCCGTATTGCTAAATATTCGAAATCGAAATCTCCAAATTCGATAGTGTGCGGACCGCTGTCAAGATGCGGTAAACCACGTTTTGATTGAACACGCCACTGTGACGTCACGGTCGGATGACGAATCAGGTCAAAGAACGATGATTATAGTTGTACGATATAAAAATCTATAATCGATTCCATAATCTTTAGTGGAAGCTGTGTCCTGGGATATCAGGTTAGAAAGAGAGAGCGAACAAGGAGTCTGTGAAGACGAAGCCCCCGTCCCGCTCGGCAAGGACGTTTACCACCATAGACAAGCTCTTAGGTAAGTGGTTCAAGTAAATTAATATACACTGGCCATCACAAAAATCAACCCACCTTATTTTGCACTATTGCTCTTTATTATTTCAAAGATAGGGTAAAGCTAAGGTTGGATAAGATATATGGCATTTGATTCGTATACATCTTAAAGCACATGAGGATACTTAGGATGTATTCCGTAATATATACCAGTATACTGGCCAGTGGTAATGACGTCACGAATCCGACGCCATATTGTATGCTACCATATTTTTATTTATTTATTTATTTTCATTTGGGAAACATACAGTTTTACACAAATCAATTAAGTAACACTTATTACTATTTCATAAACCAGTTAAGTTTCCACAGACTGAAACATTCATAAACTTACATAATTTACTTAAGATTACGTACAATATTTAGAATTGTGTGAATAAAAGAAAATAATTACTAAGTATTAGGGTAAAACGACCTTATAGTATTCATTTCTAAATTGGTTGTAAGAAAGGCAAAATATATCCAATCCCCTGAAGTATTTATTATAGCTGTGACATGCTCTAGAAATGAAACTATTTGCAGCAAACTTGGTCCTGCTGAATTGTATTACAAACGTGTTGTCAGACCTAGTTCTATTTGGACAACGGAAACCAATCCTCTGCAAAAGGAACGGCGAATCTATAAGGTCATTAATAAGTTTGTAAAGAAATAATTGATCTCTAACAGTTCTGCGATGTTGCAAGGATGTAACCTGTAACTTTGCTTCACAATCATTAATAATCAAGTTAACATTAATTCTGTTTTCTAAGTACTTTACAAATTTGTGTTGAATTCTTTCAATAGCATCAATGTATGTATTATACTGTGGATTCCATACACAAGAGGCATATTCAAGGTGTGGTCTCACAAAAGCATTATACAGTAATATCAAAGTAGATGCGCAACGGAATTCCTTTCCAATACGCATGATGAAACCTAGCATTCTATACGATTTTGCAACAATATTGCTAATATGGTTACTGAAAAGCGATGAAAAAAGCGGTGAAATTTTTACCGGGAAAAACGACTATGACGTAAGACCGAGTGTGCGTGAGATGCATTCGAATTTTGTTTCTTTTTTATTTCAAGAACAATAATGGCATCCGAACAAAAAGAATTCCTTTTAATTGATGTGGTGAATAAAAAATCTTCTTCGTACTATGTTTAATATTTCATGGGTTTATGACGTCAGTGCCATGGCGAGTATATTTCGGAACAATTCATCAGTATAGCGTCAATTCATGACGTCATTAGCACTGGCCAGTATATTGTTATATATTTCGGAATACACCCTTAATAAGCTTTAAAGTAAGCACTGCTCAGTGGCGGTTTCAAGAATGCGTCAGTTTTCATTTTAGCCCAATTTAATTCGCAACAAGGTGTTTGCAACAGAGTAATTGATATTGTCGATCCTTACTTTATTGATCATCACTGTAATTTAAATTAAATCAGCCTGGAATTCTGGATGCTTCTGAAAGTGAATCGGCCTAAGTTGTGGCTTTGCTGCGATATGGTTTCAGTCACCGTGTTTTCGCTCAAAGATTACATCTCAGTCAATCTGCGGTTCGGAGAGTTTACTAGAGGTTTCAAGAGTCTCTGCAGTACCGTAGAAGAACAGGATCTGGAAGAGAAAGGGTCACCACTCAAAGAGATGACCGCTTTATTGTGACATCGGCTCTGAGAAATTGGCTCCTTTTGATGTAGATCTCCAGCGATGGCTGCGTTAAGTGCAAGGTGTGGCTATAAGTGACAGCCCGGTGAAAAGAAGACGTTCTGAACAGAATTTAAGACCTCACAAGCCAGCAACAGGACCACAACTGACTTTTGCTAATCGCCAAGCCAGACTTCAATTTGCGAGGGAACGTCTTGAATGGACTATGGACCAATGGGCTTCAGTTCTACTCTGTGATAAAAGGCGAATGAATTTGTACGGCTCTGATGGGCGCCGTGATGTCATAAGAAGGCCAGGAGGCCATTTGCCTAACATGGCTATCGCAATCGCTTACAATACCATTTTGTTATTTCTGACCGCTGAAGGTTTTCAAATGCCCCGTTAACTGGTGTTAAACAGGAGGGACTCTCTAACTGCTCCAAGTTACATAACGCAATTCCTAAAAGATCAAGTCGTGCCGTATGTAGGATACATCAGAGATAACTTCGAGTCAATAACAACGACACGTTACAAGCTTGTATTGTTACTCCGTACTTGGAAGAGCTCAGCAAGAAATCGGGCTTAAATCCTATACAGAACATCTGGTACACACTAAAACAGACGGTTAGAGCTCGTACACGCCCTTAAAATCTTGAAAGCTTGGAAACCGCCGTAAGTGAAGAATTCCCATTCTTTCTTAACGAAACGTCACCATTTTAATAAGGTCAATGAAAAGCTAATGCAGTTAGTGATTATAGAGTAGGAGGGGGAACACAGATTTCTTTTTTTTATTTAAAAAACCAACAGCGATACAATGAATACTTACTAATACTTAGAACTATAGGTAAGGCTTATAATAGGTTTTTTGGTATTTCAAAGAAATTGTATACACGGACGTGCCAGGTGAACAATAATTACTGATAGGCACTTATTAAAGCGATATGATTAAGGTGATGTGCGATAGCTAGTTTTACCTTATGTGAATTTCCTTTAACAAATAAAATAACATTTTATCTACTCTTAAAACAAAAGAATGTAATAAAGTGACGTGAAAGTTTTGTTCCAATAACGTGTAAGATTCAAAAGTTGCAGAGTGCTCAATACGAACTTAAAAATAGACTTAAAATTGCAGTTTCCTTTTATTTTTGTTTAAATGTTAAAAATTGATCATTAAGATTAATAATTTTGTCACTAATTTGTTAAAAAATACGTTGTTTAGTAAAAAACTATTATAATGCAAATTGACACATTCAAAATATTAAAACGTGAGTTTTTGTGTAAAATTTAGGTTGGCTGATTTTTTGATGACCAGTGTAGTTAGCAAGGCCTCCACTATGCCTTTCAGTGGAATAAATAGTGAACTGTTCGTTATTTGAATTAATGCTGCAGATATTGATATTCCGAAATAGCCAAAATCTAACTAGTGTTTATTTCTTTATATTTAACCAATCAGTTCAATTAAACATTTCTGTGTAATACTGTGTAATTGATTTACGTTATATTAATGGAAACAAATAAAAAAAATCTGACCCTTCTGTTGTGTCGATAAACAACGATAACATAGATGATTTTGGTTACTTTAGATGTTGCAAATTCTCTGGTGCTGACTGTTACAAAAATAATTTCACAGACAAGCTATAAATGAATGGTTACCTGAGTTTTCAATACCGAAGACTGCTCAGGGTCCAGTCATTAAGCCACAACCAGCTATTACTGGTAAGTTATTATTTATTTTTTATTCTTATTTACCGTTTACTAGGAACCAGTGATGTATCACTGCAGTGACAGAATCGCTTTCAATCTATATTATAAAATATAAAAAGAGCTTTGAATACCTTTTCAACCGTCTTTCTTATTTCACCACCTGGTCCAAATTAAGTATTTATTACTCACCTCACCAAGAGAGTAATAAATATTTTTCAAGATACAGTTATCTTGAAACCCTTAGCACGAACCAATATCAAATTCGTAACGTTGGCGAGTCCGAAATGTCATTGTCAAATGTGTACTGACTTTTAGTTCTCGTTACGTACTTTGTGCCGCTGCTGTTCAAGTTTAAATACAAAATTTGACATTGACATTTCGGTTTGCAAACTATTCGAATTCGATAATGGTTCATTCTAGGGGTACAGAATAATTTTAGAAGTATAGTTTCGGCACGATATGATGGCCGTTTTGTCACATTGCAATAGTGACGAGAAAAGTCAATTTGTAATCGAAAAAATCTAATATAATCAAATGCAAATCGCATCTAGGTTTATTTTTTTTTAAATTTAACAAATTTCTAAAAACACCAGTAGCGAATAATTACACTATAATTATTTTATTATTTCTACGATGTAACATTTATTAATGATAATAACAATAGTACAACCATAGATAAATGATTGGTCTCGCTTCACTCGACTAGATACCGCCGGCGTACTTGTCTAATGCGGCAACAAATACTATGCCGAGATCGGCATACCCGAGCTTTTACCGTGTCAGTCACATTGACAGCTGCGCTTTAGGTGTTAGTCCCGAATATTTTAATCAATTTAGAGCACAATTCGAAGCAAAATGCCAGTTTGTGTTGTGAAACATTGTAAGAATAATAGTTCAAAAAGATAAAAAGGACACTGGGATCACATACCATCAGTAAGTATCTTATAATTTCGATGTTAAATTTCATGAAAAATAAACGTTATTTAGTGTTGCCAAGTACGCAATATAAAAGTCCCTATGGTTGAGATTTTTATAATATGAATATACTGTTATATGACCCATTTTATTTGACCTCTTTATGAAATACAAATTAATCGTGTCAGTGAATCGAAAATATTTGAAAATAAATCAGGGGGGGTGAAGAAAATCAAGCCAGAATCGACACCATTGACTTTAAAGAGTTATAAAGATACTAAATGTATAATAAATATAAATATTTATATATATCGAAAGTCTCACATCTATTAGCCTAGCTCCCGGGACCTATGACCTATCTATGAAGGCCGACACCATCAAAACTGGCGAACATACCACTCAGACCACGGAGGCACTTATAAGAATTTGTAACCAAACTATTGACAGGTGGGATAAAAATAAATAAAGAAACTAAGTATAATGCAAGCACGATAAAATTATAGGAATCGCGCCTCCGTGCATCACGTATATTTGCAAAAAAAAATAAAAAATACTATAAATTATATAAATAGGTACATATATTCATATATTATGTACGGATTTTGTAAGGGGTATTGTTAGTGTGGATCGACAACAGCATAAAATATTTTCCCAATTACTGGGGTAGCAGTTGAGCAGCTGGCTACACTTTTTTTGACATACGACACCGTCCTTGCGAAGTGCCATACACACACTACAATAATGAGTTGCCGCATAAACGGAGCTGTTGTTTTTTTGATAGCGCGGTATCTAGTGGAGTGAAGCGAGACCAATCATTCATCTATGAGTACAACTTATAATTTGATTTACTTAATCCTTTAAAATTCTGTCCAATGGCCGGTCCTTTTATGTTATAAATGATAATACATGTGATTGGTTTAAATTTGAATTCGTCGCCCTAAAACTACAGATTTGATATTTTTTTATGACGAAATACTCATCTCTAATGTCAATGCGGAATAATTATTATTTCTTTAAAATTTAGAACAAATTTTAATTTCGAATAATAACTTCGACGCACAAACGTCAAAACGGCCATCATAACGCGCCACTACCATAGTTATAAGAATAGTTTTAGGTGAAGCTTAATAAATAATTTCTCATAGATATTGAATTATTTTCCCCTTAGTTTAACTAATTAGAATGACACATACCTATCCCAGATATTTCAAATTATTTTGTCACAAAATCACCTTATTTGCATACATGGCCTAAGTATAAGGTAGCAAATTGATTGAATGAATACCTTTTAGGCTGCTAGTCAAACGGCGACATTTAGTAAAAGACAAGGCTCTATGTTAATTGGCTAATTAAACTATGTATTTATATTCAAATTAAATACTCGTAGGTAATGAAAACATCAAAGCATCCTTTATTATAAAATAAAATCAAAATTACAAATCCAAATAACTATTAAATAAAACTAGTTTTAACGGGTTAATGCACGAAACTTTATTTATTTATTGACGTTTCGCAGCTTTTTCAGGTCGGCTTCGTCAGAATTATGATTTTTTATTTAATTTTGTTGAGTTGTCTTCGAAATACATTAAATAAAACTAATTTAAAATTAGTTATTTAATGAGTGATGTGCGTGAAAACCTTAGAAACAAATACCAAATAACTATATTATAATATTTGAATTTTCAACTGCTATATGTTTAAATCTAAAGAATATTTTACTAGAAAAAAATCCAATCGAACCAGGCCCCCTAGCATGAGTAACAAAACGCGATATGATAAAGCGATTTATCGACACTCAACTGTCAAACTCCATAGTAGTTTGACAGTTAATGTCGATAAATCGCTTTATCATATCACGTTTTGTTAGTCATGCTAGGGGGGCTGGTTTCAGATTCACTCAGTCTTTTCTTTTTTCTTTAGATTTAAACAATTCAGTATTTGAAATATTATTGCATTCTTGCAGTAGATGTTGCATTGGTTGCCTTGTTAACTGGTGTCCACTCACATCGCAGATATAGATCGAAATAGATACCGCAAGTGAATGTACTTCGCGTGCTAAAAGTGTGAGCGACGAGACTTTAAATAAATGACTATTTCATATCTAACTGTAAAAACAATAGAATAGGCAATTTGACATTATGAAAAATAATGTACAATTGTTGGCATTGGCACCTGTATTTAATTAGAAGATTAGCAGCGATTTTACTATTCTGAAAGAACAAATAACGAACAACGTTTCTATAAAATCATTAAATTAAAATGTTTTTTATTTGCGCTCACGTGACCGAAAACGGCTAGAATTGGAAAAGACTATAATGTCGTCAGATGCTAATCTTCCGGTCAAAGTGACATTACATTGTATCGTTTGACGTATAAATGACAATCGTGAGATGTCATAATGTCCAGGAAAACGTTTTCGCGGCAAACAGAACATTTAATTTTGAATTTATATAGTTTTCTTTTTCTGAATTACACAACTGAATTAAAAATAAACACTCCTCAATATCCATCAATATTAGTAAGTAACATGAGATCGTTTTCTTAAAATTGGCAAATCCCATTTGAAATGGGTGTCTGGGGTCCATGCTTTTTCAGTACTCAATGTGTTTTCAAAATGTAAGACACTCGATATTCATACAATTTGAAGCATATGCGTCGTCTACTTTATTCTAGATCTGTGATGCTCATACATATTTTTTTAAGGGAAATATTTAAATGATCCTCGATCGCAAAATAGTAATTTACCACCAAAAAATATAACTGAGGACTAAGCACTAATTCGTCGTCAAAGTTTGTATTAAAACTAAGCAGCGCTCCTAGCGGACGTAAGAACAAACTAGCTTTTTCATACAAAATTTGACGATAACGATAACTTCCGTAAGTTGCCAAAAACTCGTGCTTGGGCCTTCTGGTCACCGATTGTATTTTTTGAGGGTTATTTAAATATGAGCCTTTTTCACTTGAGAAGCGTCTGTTTAAAGGGGGCTATTTCCTTATTTACTGATTTATAGTTTTTATTGTAAATTCTTCTGGTATTCTAAGATCCTATCCCAGCCAGTGTTTAGTCTTGATCGAAATTGATTATTTCCCCTTCAAATTTGAACTTAAATTCGCGGTTCTATTCAAACGGGGCTATTTTTAGCTCATTTAAAAAAATAGTTCGACCCATAATATTTTTTTATCAAACTTTTTGAAGTTTTTTTTTCTCAATTGGAAGCCACACCCATGCCAAATACATAAAACAACTTGGCATCGATTAATCGTCACTGCTTTTCAAGACAAAAAAAAACCAAGCAGTTTGGCAAACTCTATCAAATTTTCATGTTTTTTTTATCTTAAAAAGCAACGACAAGTAGTCAATACCAAGCTCATAAATGTAGCTTCCAATTAAAAAAAAACTTAATAAGTTTATATGTTGATGCTATTTATTATCATTCCTGATCAAAATATGCTATTTTCCGAATATCCGACCAAAAAGTGCTATTTCCATTTTTAATTACTTAATTTTGTGCTTTTTAATAATAACAATAATAAATAAATTTACCCTAAAAATAAGTGGCCTCCTCATAAATTACCTGAATAAAAAAAATACACTTCAAATACATCATCAAATCAGCATACTTTTTTTTTAATTTTATCAACATTTAATTAGTATGGAAATAGCCCCTTTCGAACAGATGCTCCTCACTTATTTTTTATTCGATTCATAACAGTGCCACATTGACAAAAGTGATCGATAATAACTGTGAAACAGCTATTATTGACGGCGATTAATTGTTTCCAAGTGCCACCAGTGCCCATCATACCGATCATGCCGTCGGTGAACACGTGCATGTCGCTGGTGACCGCCACGAGCAACACCTCGACCACCAGCACCGCGGATATATCCTCCATCCCCACCGTCAACACCAGTCAGCTGCAGGCGTTGGCTGACGTTTGCTCGGCTACTGACCGCCCCTTACTGGCCACTGGGGTGAGTAACCATCATACAGATGCTTCCGTCGGTGAATACATGCATGTCGCTGGTGATCGCCACTAGCAACACTTCGACCACCAGCACCGCTGATATATCCTCCATCCCCACTGTCAACACCAGTCAGCTGCAGGCGTTGGCTGACGTGTGCTCGGCTACTGACCGCCCCTTACTGGCCACTGGGGTGAGTAACCATCATACGGATGCTTCCGTCGGTGAATACAGGCATGTCGCTGGTGATCGCCACTAGCAACACTTCGACCACCAGCACCGCGGATATATCCTCCATTCCCACCGTCAACACCAGTCAGCTGCAGCCGTTGGCTGACGTTGGCTACTGACCGCCCCTTACTGGCCACTGGGGGCCTTGAAGATTTTATATCTAAGACTACATCATACTTTATCATGAGAAACATTTCTCTGGGACTTTATAGTTTAAAAGTGAAAGTTATCTTGTTCTAGTATTATTTTTTGTCATTAGAATAATTACCTCATACAATTTTTATGTCTTACTATACTCTCCTGTCTCTCCCATAAACTTGCACGAAATAAACATGTGTTTACATTATTCCCGTATATAATTTCAGTTGGAAGAATGAGCAATTTATTCCAGATTATAAATTGGCACCATATCCCTATTATATTTTCTGAATAATCTCTGTTCATATATACACTTTACTGTCTGCACTGTTTGTTTTTCATCGCTCTCTTTGAAGAATTGTAGAAATATAATGGAGGACGCTCTAGTGAAATCGTCGAATAAAACCGGTTAGTTAATATAAATTTACTATAAAAAGGAACATTCTTTTCAGGTATCGTCCATAGAAACATTCAACCCCGTACCGAATCCAGTGATGAACTCCTTGGTATCACCAACAAAAGTGATTCTGAATGAGTCGATACCCAATCCTATAATACCAATGGCGAGTTCCAACATCGCGCTGCCTTCGGAGATACCAGTTTCCACTCTACCGGTACCGATACTAGGTATCAAAGCTCTTGAGGAGAACAGTGGAAAGCGTGACCAGTCTATGGTTGACAAAGTTAACGACAGTGTTAGCAACGATAGTGTTTTGGAAAGTGCTAGTTTTATAGAAGATTTGAAGAAGAAGGATGATGATGCAGAGAATATAATTGTGGACGATGGAGTGGAGGAACAGCAGAGGAACGGAGATATGAGTGTTGGTGGTAAGAGGTTTTATTTTCTTTACATACATAGCTATTCAAAGAATTCCACTTGCAAATAGTACGACAAAGAAATGAGTCACCAAACTTTGCCTGTAGATATCAAACGAGCGCAGTCAAGGGACTCTTTTGTTATTAAAATTTCCTCAAGCTGGACTTTGCCTGACATATTTCTCTGTATATTACTTTGTACTATATTGTATTAGCTGTTACCCGCGGTTTATTAGGGACATTTCCCGCAGTATTTTACTGCGTAGCGTAGCCTATCGTTTGTGTTAATCCAGGGTGTCAGCTAACTCCATACCAAATTTTATTAAAATCGCTCCAGCCGTTAGGACTTGGAAGAAGTAACAAACATACACATTCACAAACTTTCGCCTTAATAATATTAGTGTGATACCTTACGTATACTTACTGTATATTAACAGTGTTCTTATTTATATCTTACAATGCTCTAGCCTGCAATTCTTTTTTTCTGCTTTGGTATGGTTTCGTTAATTCAAAGGTTGCCTGCTAGAGATTGCTATCTTAGCAATAAGGCCGCCTTTTGCCTATTACATTTTTGCTTTTTTTTGGATTTCTGAAAAACTATCAAAGTGGATTAAAGAATATATTCATTAATTCAAATTTATTTGTCCGTGTAAGATTTTTAATATTCATTGCTACTCCTCAATGATTTACTATTGTAAACTGTAGCTATTTTCGATAGATCTACAATACTAGCAAAGGACAATGGGCAAAACACACCCATCTCAGCCAACAATGTAATTGGTATGAATCAATAGATCTATGAAAAGCCATTTTAATATGACACCGAAAAAAATATCCTGGTAGTCAAAAGATATGACACATGGGCATATTTAAGTAGCTAAATAAATTCAATTTATAGTAATAAGTTAATTCTTAATTCATTTTATATTATTAGTAACCATAATAATATGCCATGTCGTACTATACAACTAGATATACGACAAAGCTTGCCGACAATCCTGCGCTTGCACTTAGGTACTGAGCCATCTCAATCTGAGGTAAAGCTCTCAAAGGTAATGGCCCAATCTCCCTATTCCATCCATAGGAAAGGCCTGTGCCCCAGCAGACATTAATTGGCTGATGATGATCTTTAAGTGCTATATTCTTCTTTCAGATACGCCGCAGACGTTAAGCCCGAGTCGCGCGGGCGTTGAACCCTTAGACGTGGATCTACCGTCGGCCGCCGTTACCGATACCGATATCGTCATGAACGATGGACTTAGCGAGGTATATTATCACATATTCTTTTCTTTCCACGCATAGCAATCACTTTATAAATTACCTTTTGAACGTACACAAATCTTTGGACCATTTTAAAGGCTTGCGAGCATAGAGTCAGTAAAGGGTCCGAAACCTTAAGAGCGGACGCGAGCTGAGAGACATTTGTGAAATAGGGATTTGAAAAACTATTGACTTTTGACTAAACTACTAACTAAACATTGGCAAATACCGTGCGAAAGAGACAACTGTAGCTAACGCTGAAAATTGCATATAAAAGTTGTAATGTTCGAGGTTCGGCTCTCGATGACTTCCTCCACAAAAATATTAACATTAAAAGACATTTTACATCTAGAACAATAAGTAGTTATACTATGCCCCTATGTTTTGCTTTTTTTTTGTTAATGTTTATTGAATCTCCACACTAGTGGTATTTAGTGGTGATAAAATTTTGATTATTTTTAGCATTTTTGAGGACTTCTAGTTACTTCGAAACACAAGTTTTCGAAAAAAGGAAGGCAGAGCAGCATAGATTGAGTAAAGTTATATTTTATGTATGAAAATCATTTCTTTAGTGATAGGAATTATTTGGGAACGTTTATATGGAAAATACCTTGCTCGCTTAAGAAATATATTGACGTTATGTCAACATATATATTAATGTTGACATAACGTCAAACTATCCTTTTGAATCAGTAAAAAACATTAATGTTTCTTCCGAGATTTGAACTCAGGGCCGCTGATTTCTCAATTAGGATCACAAACTGTTGGGCCAAGCAGGCTGTTATATTATACTGTCATATATTATAATATTTGTTTGTAGAATGGTTCAATGCAGGTGGAACCGAGCAACAGCCCGTTGAGTACCGACATGATGGTGGAATCTACTGACCCGGTCGATCCTGTAGACGCTGCCGATGAGTGAGTTTGAATATTTGTAACTTGATAAGAATACAATGAGAGGTGGTTACCAAATTGTACTAAAAATTTAATTTAAAAAAATCGACAGTGTCGATAGGAAACCATATTTCTATATCATATCATCTTATAGGATAAAGGTCTTTCAGTCAAACTGGGTTGTTCTTTGGAAGCGGTCACAGCAGTTTTCCAGAGCTCAGAAAAAGGTTGGATGATATTATAGATTTACAATACAAACAGTCCTCGTACTTACGGCATGTTCGGTTCTCGAAATACGCGACGTAAATCGAAACGACGTAAGTCGAGACATCCCCACGTACATTGACTTCGCGACAAGTGGATTCTCCTATTCACATCACTCAAATGCGAAGGAAGCTCTGTACCTTGTTTCGACGGTATTATATCATTTTGTTTTTTTTCCATAACCGTTTCGGATCACATATTTTATTATTAATATTATTCTTAAAATACCACTTTTTGACTATATAACAAAACAACGATGTTAATGAAGACTTCAATTGCCTACAGTAGTCTTTACTGGATGTAGTCTTATTTTTCCTAAACTCTGCCAAAGCATTGACACGCTTACTCATCATGAGTTTAATATTATCCGTTATCCACGGTGGGCTCGGGTCTCTTATAACACATTTCCTAATAGGCGCGTCTGTGTCAAACAAGGATAAAATATGCTCATTTATAACCCTAACCGTATCATTCACACAGAAAACTAGATATAGGTAGAATTTTTAACATATTATTTGTAGTTATGTTTTTATTTTTTAAGCATTTAACTGCTAGATGTTAAAATCTAAAGAAAAGTTTACTAGAAAAAAAACCATGCGGACCAGATAGCAGACGGAACTCGAACTCGCATTCTTTAGATTTAAACATCTAGCAGTTAAATGCTTAAAAAATAAAAACATAACTATAATTGCTATTTCTTCTTTCGAATGATTAATACTTGTTAAAGTATTCATTTGACATTGTGGGTTACCTACAACGCGAAGAGATGGCGCTGCGTTGCAGCATAAGGCTAGGAATAATTCGACACGGCCGTCAGGGCTGCGGTAGCATAATGGTCAGTGCATTCGTCCGGATAGCGAAGGATGCGGGTTCGAGTCCCGTCTGCTGCCTGGTCCGCGTGTAATTTTTTCTAGTAAACTTTTCTTTATATTATTTCTATTTAACCCCTTTTAAACACAATATTTACATTATTTTGTTAAAATTCAATCGTCAGGCTTGTTTGTCAAAACAATCGACTCGCCAGTATAAATTTCAGATCTGTCATTAAAAATCTTAAGTTTCATATATGCCCGATTTAGCGGTGTCATTTTCTATGTGCGAGTGTCGTTATTACAATTTGTGTGCATATTCCTCCCCTCGCAAAAAGCGGCTGAATAATTTCAGTAGTATAGCCAGCCAGCCAGAGGGGAATAGCCATTATTATGGCCTCGTCGGCCGCGTTGCTCTATGTTTTTCAGAGTTTATAACATCTTTATAAACTTTGAAAAACATAGAGCAACGCGGCCATCAATTCATCTGCAATTTGTGGGAGTGATTTCGTGAAATGGGATGGAAGTGTGTAACAGGAAGTCGCAAAAGCGCGTGCTATTTGATTTGATTTTAGAACATAATGTTCAAAAGGCTTATTCATTATAGTAGGTTTTATTTGTTTTTTTTTACTAATATAAGGTGAGGTTTCAAATGTTACACATCATACGCGACTACTGTTAGGCTCGCTCGTTTTTCTTTATTTTATAACTGACGCTTACAGTGGTATAAGAAGTTTATAGCACGACCCAAACTTTATGGCGGGTGTGAAATTAGCAGCGGGAGTTACCGTCATAAAGTTTTATTATCTATAACAATATCCCATTCTCACAGGCCAGTAGAAGAGGCGTCTATAGACGTAAACGCTTTAGTAGCGGATGACTTATTGCTTCTATGCGATTTGTTCTACCTGCCCTTCGAACATGGCTCAAGAGGTTTGAGGCTACTCCACGACTTCCACTGGTTGACTACGCACGCGGCCAGTATGCTTCCAAGAGGTGCTAAGCCAGAGGTAACATTTATTTATTTATATATTATGTACACACAAATTCCAATACAAAGGTTAGGGGAAATCACCCAATCCAATGCACTCTTCCAATTGTTGGCGCTTGAGTTTAGTTTGAAAAAACAAGGAAACAATAGATTGATTTTAGATGGGTATAGTTTTCAAAAGAAGCATCTCAAGTTTGTTCGGCCCTGGTACTGAAGATCCTTAATTTTCATTTTTTTTTATTACCTCGTTTTATAAACTGTGTTAAAAGATTTAGCCTAGTTTTAAGGTTTTGTTTTTATTTTTCCATAATTTTACTTATGTACACTGTTGTAGATGGCAGCTTAATTTTTTACCAGATATATGTTTTTCAACCATGATATAACTGCACTGTTTATGTACCTATTAAATAAATAAATAGATATCCTAGAAATTAACTTACAGTGGGGTGAAAAATCTAAAGTTATATCCTGATTACATACATGATTTTCACACACTTTTACGCCACAAAAACTCTTTACTTCACTAAACCTTTGATGGCTGGAAGAGATCTCTATTAGAGATAAGCCCTCCTTTGCTCACATATTAATGTTTTGTGTTTTACAACTTTTGTGTGCAATAAAGAGTATATTATTGAAATTTTAGCGATCCGTCGACTAAATCCTTATCCCTCTTGCCATAGACGAGCGAGTGGCGTCGCCGGCGCAGCCGTTTCGCTTGGTGGGCGGCGCGGACGCGTCGTCTCGCGCGCCGATTGTCTATGGCCGCCAATAAAGAGCTGCGCTCGGAACTGTATCCGTACGTGTGGGAACTGTGCGCTGTACTGGCGCTGTTGGACGGATTCGTCAGATGGTTGGGTGAGTCTCATCGGATTATATCACTGTCTTTCTAACCTGTACCCTTAGTACGAGTTTTACAATTACGACAAGTATGATAGTTTTCGTGAGCTCGCACTCGTACTAAGGATACTGATTTTATTGTTTTCGTTTCAATACAAATAAACAGTGTTTAAATTCTACCATTTAATCCTTTGCGTCTTCTTAAATTTTTGGTTTATTTGGCTACTTTTCACCAAAATGGACATTTTTTCTCAACTGATTTTCAAAAACTTAGTACTTTTCTTACGTTTTTAATTATAATAATATTCGTCGTCGGAATATAGATGGAGGTGTAGATTTTCCAAGCCTACTCGAAGAAAGCTTCAATTTGATAGTTTATCGTTCAAATTAAGTTTAACCTTAAATTGACGAAATTAAATTTCGTTTCAACTTCGTTATCAAAACTTCATTTCGGTGAAAGAGAGTAGACCCCTGGGCCATATACGAGCAAGAAGCGTCGTCGTTTTTCTAACATATTACGCAAGATATTCTGACCATATAATTTGCTACGACGTTGTATTTGAATCGTTATTGCGAGTTATATTCTCCATTTAAAGTGTAACCGATAACAAAATATAATCAGGTATTGTATTTGTATAGCTATAGCTGTATTTATATTTATTTAAATACTTATATTTAATTAATTTTGTATTTCCTTCTACAGAGCTTGGCAAATTTCCGCCCAGTATAGCTTCGAATATACAAGGAAATTATACATGTGAGTAACTCTTTTTTCAGAATTTCGTAATCTATACTCTCTTTAATAATTAATAAGTGTGTATAGGATTACATTAAATTATGTATACCTTTTTCAATAGAGATTTTAATTTATCTTGATAAAGTGTACGGTTTATTCCTTGTACTATCAAAAAAGGTCATCGTTTGATCAGTTTCAAAACTCTTTTGCTTGTACTATATGAGTGTCGGTCGTCACGCCTCTTGTTTATTTAACCAATGACAAACAATAAGACCTTTATTTATTAATAGACATGATGACGGGTTAAGTAAACAAAATTCGATTCAGTCCGTTAGTTAGATGATCAAAAAATAATGGGCACGTATTTTTTCTTTGGGCAATCTACCAAAAAATGATAAAGATAAAGCGCGTCAAAGTTTGGGAGAAGGGGCTCGTGACGTCACTTAAGTGAAAATTGTACCAAAACGTGACGTCATACTACTTTTGAAATCAATATATTTGTGCAATGTTTATATTATGTGAAAAAGAAAAAATACGTGTCCAATACTTTTTGATAATATACCTGATAAACGAAGAAAAAATTAGTCTTCATCCCTATTGGCTGCCTATTGTGTACCCAATTTCATAACGGATGCTATTTGTTTTTGTAAGCCCTTTAATTTCGTTTAAAATGTGAGTAATAACCTATCTATTTTAAACCAAATTTCCGTGCAGGGTTCTCGAAAGGCTGGCGCGAGGCGTTCGAGAGCGGCGCGCAGGAGCCGTGGGTGTTCCGCGGCGGTCTAGCGGCCGACCTGCGCCGCCTGCTCGCCGTCGACTGCGCGGCCGAGGCGCTGCGGCCCGCTCCGGCCCCGGCCCCGACCCGCGCGCCCCTCGCGCCCCGCCCCTACGCGCCCGCCGATGAGGCGCCGGTCAGTACCCCCCTCCATACCCCACACCGCGCCCGCCCCGGCCCCGACCCGCGCGCTCCTCGCGCCCCGCCTCTACGCGCCGCCGATGAGGCGCCGGTCAGTACCCCTCTCCATACCCCACACCGCACCCGCCCCGGCCCCGACCCGCGCACTCCTCGCGCCCCGCCTCTACGCGCCGCCGATGAGGCGCCGGTCAGTACCCCCCCTCCATACCCCACACCGCGCCCGCCCCGACCCCGACCCGCGCGCTCCTCGCGCCCCGCCTCTACGCGCCGCCGATGAGGCGCCGGTCAGTACCCCCCTCCATACCCCACACCGCGCCCGCCCCGACCCCGACCCGCGCGCTCCTCGCGCCCCGCCTCTACGCGCCGCCGATGAGGCGCCGGTCAGTACCCCCCTCCATACCCCACACCGCGCCCGCCCCGACCCCGACCCGCGCGCTCCTCGCGCCCCGCCTCTACGCGCCGCCGATGAGGCGCCGGTCAGTACCCCCCTCCATACCCCACACCGCGCCCGCCCCGGCCCCGACCCGCGCGCTCCTCGCGCCCCGCCTCTACGCGCCGCCGATGAGGCGCCGGTCAGTACCCCCCTCCATACCCCACACCGCGCCCGCCCCGGCCCCGACCCGCGCGCTCCTCGCGCCCCGCCTCTACGCGCCGCCGATGAGGCGCCGGTCAGTACCCCCCTCCATACCCCACACCGCGCCCGCCCCGGCCACGACCCGCGCGCTCCTCGCGCCCCGCCTCTACGCGCCGCCGATGAGGCGCCGGTCAGTACCCCCCTCCATACCCCACACCGCGCCCGCCCCGGCCACGACCCGCGCGCTCCTCGCGCCCCGCCTCTACGCGCCGCCGATGAGGCGCCGGTCAGTACCCCCCCTCCATACCCCACACCGCGCCCGCCCCGGCCACGACCCGCGCGCTCCTCGCGCCCCGCCTCTACGCGCCGCCGATGAGGCGCCGGTCAGTACCCCCCCTCCATACCCCACACCGCGCCCGCCCCGGCCACGAACCGCGCGCTCCTCGCGCCCCGCCTCTACGCGCCGCCGATGAGGCGCCGGTCAGTACCCCCCTCCATACCCCACACCGCGCCCGCCCCGGCCCCGACCCGCGCGCTCCTCGCGCCCCGCCCCTACGCGCCCGCCGATGAGGCGCAGGTCAGTACCCCCCACCCCCCACTCCTCCGTACCAAGAAGCAAGACCGTGCAAGAAGGATTACAGAATAACAAATTTAAGAATTGGCTGTATGGGCATAGTACCCTTTGCCTTCCCGGAATGGGAACATAATAAAAAATGGCAGATCTCTGCCAACGTCGAAAGACGTTTCCCCCGTCTGTGGAAGTAGATCTTCGGTTCTTTAGAGAGTCCCAAATTCAATGCTAAAACTAATTATTTAATTTATCAAATCAGGGAAAAACATTATCAATTAACACAGTCAAATATTGTCAGGGATATTATCTTTTTCTGGACCCCCATATTTTTTTTTTTTATAGATAGATCCGACAAATGACTCCACCCCACCTGATGTTAAGTGAAGGCGCGAAGATAGCTGATACAGCAGTTCTAACTGCCACACCAGCCATCCTCACCCTGCCGGCCTGCAAGTTGCTTCTTCATAATATTGGTGTTGTTGGAAACGAAAAAGCTGATTTTATAGCCACTTCTATTGCAAATGATATTCATAGTAATATTATCAGTTCTGAATTTAAGGCCATTCTTATACCTGAAACGGATCTTTTATACTTCTTAAAGAATAATATAATGGATACCTTCAAAAGGCTTTGGTCCAGAATTACTGAGACGAAAGGCAAATGGTATGTTGAAATCAATAATAAAATTGGTATTCCGTGGTTCTGCAAGGGCAAGGATTATCATGGTCGAAAGTTTTATACAACCATCTGTCGCTTGCGTTTAGGACACTGTCGTTTTAATGCCCATCTTCACAGGTTGAACTTAATCTCGTCTTCTGATTGTAATTATTGTCGTCTATTAGCCAAACTCTTCATCATCTGTTTTTTGATTGTAGTGCCTTTTCGTTACAAAGAATGATTGTTATAGATCAACTTTTAGATATTTATAAAATATCTGCAAATATCCCGCGCTCTCTACCTCAGCTCTTATCAAACAAGGGTTATCTTAAACCTATTTACCAGTTTATCAATACGACCGTTATTGATATTTAATTTTGATTGTTTCATTACAATCACATCTTCATAACTCTAACTTGACTAAAGACCTTGATTTACGAATTCACAATTATGACTTGAGAATAATCCACGAATTGGATAATTTTATAAAAGACTCCTGATTATGACTTGAAAATATTACTGTAATGAAAAATATTCTTGACATTCTACTAATGATAATGACTTATACACAAACGACCTGGCTTCGGCCTTACTGGAAAAAACACAAAAGAAGACAATAGTAAAAAGAAAAACGATAAGAAAGAAGAAGAAGTACTTTGAAGACAAGATATCTAAAAGAAGATTTGGCTCCGGCCTCAAAAAAGAAGAAATACAACTCATCAACACATAATTTACAACATATTCATTTTGAAAATAAACTAAAGAATTGGCTGTATGGGCACAGTACCCTTTGCCTACCCAGAATGGGTAAAGAAACTAAAAAAAAGTAGATCTTCGGATTTTTTGGCAGGATCGGGAAGCGTCACTTTAGCAGTTTTTTTTTTCTTGTTAAAAATTGTGTTGTGGCGGATGTTAGTGTCTAGTAATTATGGCAAGTGAAACAAAATAGCGGAAAGTGTCTTTCGACGTTCCCCCAAGAAGTCCACGGGGAGGTTCTAGTAAATCCCCACACATTTACTGAAACATAGGGAAAGGGCGATTGACTTGACTGCCACTTACTTTGACTTGATTTATTACTTTGACCACAAGTGCTATAGAATTTGTAAACATTTTAACACTTGACATTGGCTAAACGCACAAGCAGTGCGAAGCCATTACAAAAAAAGACGTTTCCCCCGTCTGTGGAAGTAGATCTTCTACTCTCTTCAAACGTCTGTGGAAGTGGCGGATTTCTGCCAACGTCAAAACACCCCTGTCTGTGGAAATGGCGGAACTCTGCCACTATATTATAATACAATATTTAGATATACAATGGGTAAATAGAAATAGATGCAAAAAATATTTAAGACATAAACGAAGACGATAGGTTCAGTAGAACTCGAAATATAACAGACAGTTTTGACGGACATATTGCTTACACAGACCACGGGATATTGTAATGATGCGCCTAGCCAAGAGAAATTTAACTCTTTGAAGAGATAAGAGCTGTTTTGTGCTTAGGGTACTGAGTACTCATCAACACGATATAAACGAGCCCAAACTCGATAGGGTTATTTTTTTTATCATTGATATCCAGTGACCATCTTCCTACTCAATTGTCAGATCAGCTGCATGGTGCCATATTATTGGAGTGTTACCAGTCTTACATAAGCATGCCAAATTACCGCTAAATCGCATTACAATAACTGGTCGACAAATGGTTTGATTTTTTTAAGCTCCATACATACGAACGTAACAAATGCAAGTTAAATAAAACTCTGTAAAAAAATAGCCAAAAGGTTTGACTAACGGCATCTTAGATGAATAATATTCTCAAAACTTACCACATTTTATTTCAATAACACGTGTCGCTAGTCGCCTTTAAACTTTGCTTGAAACTGTAGCTTCAATGTGTTCTTGATAGATATGAAGGTTTGTTCTGAGCTGACTCTCAGCATGAACGCGGCGATAAAATAATGTTTATTAATGACTAGCGGCCCGCCCTCGCTTCGCTTCGGTGTAGAGCTGAAGTGTAGACTACAGTTTTTGTTCTCAGGCTTGTATTATACACAGAATCTATGATTCTTCTTATACCTGCATGCAAAGTCTCAGCCCGATCGGTTTAAAATTGACAAAGTTTCATACAAACTTTCATTCCCTATTTTATCCCCTTGGGGGTAGAATTGATCAAAATCCTTTCTTAGCGGATGCCTACGTCATAGCATCTACCTGCATGCCAAATTTCAGCCCGATCCGTCCAGTGGTTTGGGCTGTGCGTTGATAGATCACTATGTCAGTCAGTCATCTTTGAGTTTTATATATATAGATAGAAGATAAGCCTTGCTGTTCGATTTTTAAAATATGTTTTCTATATTTAACAGGTATGCGCTATTTGTCACAAGACGTGTCGAGACGGGTCCGACTGCAGCGACCTCTTTCCAAGCGACCTGCAAACTCTACCAGCTGACAGGTTAGTGCTGCTTCGTTAATGGCGGCTTATTTGTTCGTAGCCAACTAACTGCATTTATCTTATGCTTTTTCCCACAGCTTTGCGACGAAGCTTCGCGTGACTTTGTTACTAATTGCGCTAAAATTGGCTTTCAAAATTTCGAGTAGTTCTGTCGTAGTAAGTTAGCGTGTCTGTAGAAGCTTGACTGGCGATAATTGGCTAGTTGACACTTTTTGGAAATAAGTTTGATATGGTTAATAATTGTTCTATTTGACCGAAAAAAATGTATTGTATTTTGTTTTTTACCTAGAAAGCTACATAACTTTAATTTTAACATAGGGTTTACATGAACAGACAAAAACGCTGTCGGTCATTTTAGTCTATAGATTTATCTGAGTTTATATTATAATACCATGATTTGTAATAGATTACACGAAAAATATATGTATGAACTGTAAATACTAAAGAAGAAACACTGAATGAATATAGAGAAACATCGTTAAAGAACTCCAGAAAGTTGTGGTTTAAATTGCTTTGAGAAATAAACCCACGTACACATGAACACAATACATGTTTAAAACTTACTTAATACTGTTACTTTTTCGAATGAAAGTAATTTCTTTTTGGAAAGACCACGTCGATGTAACTACTCATTGAATAATTATGTAAAGTTTAAAAATACAATTTTTAAGGCTATGAATGTACCTAAGTCAAAGGGTTTTGTGGTTTCTGCTTTCACAAATCCGACCATTCAGCATTAATTAAGTCAACAAAACTAATAAACGGAAACATGTCTACAAGATATAAGAGTTTTTGATATATTTTAGTCAGACGAAAGAAGCCACAGTAACACGGCAATGACGTTTAGTTGTTTACAAATTTTCTGACGTCACATTCATGGTGGACAACGTTTTTATTGTTGAAAAAGTATAGACTTAAAAACAATTTTTCTAATTAAATTACTACAGCCATCTTCTAATTAATGAAGTGAAATCACTGTGTTTAAGTTCCTCATACCAAAAATCATAAGAAATAAACATTTGTACATTACAATTTGACATGAGTCAATTAACCTATTTGACACGCTTTAACAGGTAGTGGAAACAATAAATTTTTAGTATTACACAGTGGTGTCGATTCTAGCATGATTCTCTAAACCTAAACTTAAATTTGACAGCAGTATATCCTTGTCATTCTCTATACAGAATGAAAAGGAGAGACTGATGTTAAATTTAGTTTTAAGTTTAGAAAATCACGTCCGAATCGACACCATTGTTTGTTAATTCCCTATGAAGTCATTTGATGCCTTATAAACGGATTCCACTGTATTAACCGATATGCTGCGTACCGCAAAACGGTTTTATCTTCAATTAGAATTTCAATGTAGATATTTTATCATTTGTATTTAGATTAGTAGCGCCATTCCTGACCCTGAGCCCGGAACTTTGTATGGTGATAGAGGAAGACGTGGAAGACGTCTCACCCGACGACTGCGACGAGGATAAAGCCGCGGGGGAGAACACTGCCCCGCCTGTGGTCAACGGTGAGTGCAATGTTAATTGAATATGCATTTACTACCAGTGTAAGGGAGAACGCTTCCACAGTTGCTGAAACGCGGATAAATTTAATTGAACACGTCTCCATTGCTGCAGACCTTCCTTATTCTTGGAATAGGGAGATTGAATCATTGTGGATTGTCGGTTGACCTTTTGTGAGGAGAAAATAAAGGTATATTATTACTATTATTATTGATGTGTAACGTCTTTCCTCTCGCTTTCGTGCAATTTGTGGGAGTGATTACGTGAAGTGGGACGGAAGTGTGTAACAGGAAGTTTGGGAAGCGCGCGCTGTTTGATTTGATTTTAGAACATAATGTTGTAGGTTTTATTTCATTTTTTACTAAAATATAAGGTGAGGTTTCAAATGTTACACATCATACGCGACTACTGTAAGGCTCGCTCGTTTTTTGTTGGGTGCTAACACCAACAGATGCAACCGAGGGGGACCTCGAGATAATAACATCTTGGTCACCCATCCAATGACCGGCCATTGCGGAAGCTGCTTGACTTTGATCGCAGACAGAACGCACAAACCGCCTACGTCGTGAAGCTCCTCAAAACTTGCTTTATTTGTCACTATTTAAACCTTAGCATAAACACACGAGTTGATTCCGCAAATCGGACAGAAAAGCCGGGCTTTCGTTCATTAAGCCTCGATGACACACAAACTACAAGCCAGCGATTTCGCTAGTAGCTTGTAAACTCGCTCCGTATTATCGAGTAGCAGATGGTAAAAAAGCCGATGACAATATTGCAATTTTAATGAAGATCTGGCAAATAGTCGATACATATCGATGTATGGATATTAAATAAATTGCTACATTACAGGCATGAAACCCGAAATCATAGGGTACGCGTGTGCGACGCTGAACAGCAAAGAGTTCTACAAGAAGCAAGAGGTCGCGTGGATACCGGAGATGAAGGCCAAGTATCCAGAATCACTCGTCGAGAGGGATGACCTCAGCCCAGCGGCTAAGGTAATGCAGCCCTTAATAGACATTACATATTATATAGATCACATTCACTTTTTTTTTGTTTTTCCTTGTCTTTTCTCGTTGAAATTGAAAAAAATCTAGTATTTATGATTTGTTGTTTTGATTGTATGTGCTAATGTTTCATACTAAAATAATTTGATTGGTATAAATATGCATACGCCACGGTATTCTTTCAAAATTATTTTTAAAAATTGTCGATAGGTTTAATATACTTTCCCAATTATGTATATTGTTTAAAACCATTTTCGCATTCTATAGATGTTCATTTTGAGGTAGTTTGAGATTTATGTATCGTCTGTTAATCATATATTATGCTACCTTTGAAAATACATAGAACGTTATCATATTTATGCCAAACAAATAATGACATCCTTTGTTTTGTTTTAAATATGAGTGAATGATTTTTTGATGATTGATCTAGTAATAGTTTGTTTTCATTTTAGAAGATTTATTAATTTAACAGCCTTGTTAGTTTTAAAAAGAATTTAGCTAACAAACGATTTGACAAAGTTTGGTGAAATTGGGTCTAACAGCCGTTTAAAGGGCTTGCCAAGCTGTTAGATTAAAACAATGGTTGATGAAATTAAGTCTAATGCTTCCATATCATCTCTAATTCGTTGATTTAACCAAACAAAACGTGACACTCCGCAGTTGAATTAAGGACAGTTATTCTTTATCTAAATATATAAAAATCAATTGCTGTTCGTTAGTCTCGCTAAAACTCGAGAACGGCTGCACGGATTTATCTTACCTTGGTCTTGAAATGTTCGTGAAGTGTAGGGAAGGTTTAAAAGGTAAGAAAAAATCGAATTCTACACTACAGCTCTACACCGAAGCGAAGCGAGGGCGGGCTACTAATTTATATATATATTTTTAATCTTAGAAGGCTTTTTCATTGACAGTTTACCAGCATTTGTTACTTCTTTTCTATAACGCATGTAGCCTACACCTATAATTATTATAACATGAAGCTTAAGCACTTTATCAGTACCTGCTTGATTGTTATGTCAATGTTTATTGTGTTGGTGATCAAATAAATAAATATATAACGACCTCCGTGGCCGAGTGGTTTGTACGCCGGGTTTCAGGGGTTTCGCCGAATCGAGAGATCCCGGGTTGGAATCCCGGGGGGGGCAGATGTTTGTGTGATGAATACGAGCATTTGTACTCCAGTCATGGATGTTTAATATGTATTTCTATATATACAGGGCGCCCCACGGCTACCTCACACGGAGGGAAAGTATATTAAATATTAACCCTAGTATCCCATAACACAAGCTTTACAGTGCTTACTTTGGGGCTAGGCTTATTGGTGTGAGTGTTGGAAATATTTATTTATTTATTATTTATATAAATAAATAGGAATGCGTACGGCACTTCCACCAATTTGAGAAACAAGAGAGGGCGCCGGAGAGCGTCTGGCGTTCCCACCCCGCGTTACTGACCTGCTGCGTGTTGCCGCAAGCGAGCGATCCGCTCGCCGCTGCCAGGCTGCTCGCTTGTTTGCTCGCCGCGCTCAGATCGCTCGGTGAGTCGATTATATTAACAATGAACGTAATCAATGAGCAATGACACTGGTTTTAGTTGTACCCCCCACTTTCATGTATCTCGGTATTAAACTAAATTATTATTTAAAATATTTTATGTCCTCATGGTAAGTGAATTTTGTAATTTTTTATGAAAATAAATATCTTAAACTGTATATTTAGATATAAAACTGCACATCTGCACATTGAGTGTTTGTTATAATTACATTCAAAGGAGATTGGTCAAAATTGGTAGTCGGTTTCCGGCAGCGATGAAACATATCATTTAAAAGCTTGTTTTATGTACAGGGTGGCCAACAGCAAGTAAATAAAAAAATCTGTTATTATAGATTTTTTTATTTACTTGCTGCTGGCCACCGTGTCATAAGTAACTTTATATTTTTAGTCTGTGACAGCTTATAACAATTATAACATACGTCAATCAGTCCAGTCTTAAGCAAGATATTCGTGAAATCGTGGTGAAATAATTATATCAATTTATGATCGATTCTTCGTGAAATAAAACACCACCAAAATATTATTTTGGATTTTGCCCGAGACTTACTACCATCCTCTATACAAATTTAAACCGTCTCTTTTAGTTGTAATTTCAACGAGCATTCAACAATACAACGACATTTAGTATCTTTTCTCAATCAATTTGTCAAAATATAAAATTGTTATTACAAGAACGTATGTATTATGTGTGTGTAGACGAACAAGTATGTTTTTATATGATAATAAAAAATCGAATAAGGCCATTGTAGCTTGATGGGTGCTAACGGCTTAAAATGCCTTCCCAAGGACAGATGTGATAATAAGGTGATGAATTTTCGGCAATTCTTTCACTACAATGTCTATCGATACAATAAAATTTTCTTAATATAATTTGTATTTCTATCGCTTTTGGTTAAGATAGGTTCATGAAATTTAAAGAGTTCCTGAAAGAGTTATCTTATTGCCTAATAACATCCAAAAAAGTGTTTATGTATGTTGTACTTTTCATAAAAAATAAAAGACCTTTTGATTTTTATTTGCATTAAAAAATTATGTAATGCTCTTATATTATAACTCTTATCGTTAAAGAGGGGTTGAAAATGCCGTCCCAAGATATTGTGTCTCCCTCGCACATTAATTTACATAGCATGTGCGAAAGGGACAGAATGGCTACCGTCATTTGCGATTCCTTTCTTCAATAACACGAGTTTTACCCACACACGTGTCCTATTACCTCTCATTATACGACGAGCGTTGCATAAAAAACTTGGGTTACTTAGGATAGCATGTGCGAGAGGGACAGAACATCTTCCGTCATTTGCGATTCCTTTCTTCAATGACACGAGCTAGACCCACATTCTAGTCGTAATACATCTCATTATACGACGAGGAGCTCGATGGCGCAAGTGATTAACGCGTTCGGCTGCGATCGTTGAATTTAAGCAACTTTCGCAGTGGTCGGTCATTGCATGGGTAACCAAAAATCTTCTATCTCGAGTTCCTCCGTGCTTCGGAAGGCACGTTAAGCCGTTGGTCCCGGCTGCATCTGCAGTCGTTAGCATCCGCCAATCCACATTGGGCCCGCGTGGTGGGTCATGGCCCTATCTCCCTATTCCATCCATAGGGAAGGCCTTTGCCCCAGCAGTGGGGACATTAATAGGCTGATCATGATGACGATGATGATACGACGAGAGTTTCATAAAAAAACTGCTATCATTCCCAACAGGCGTGACCGGAGTCCACGCGTGCATTAACGCGACAGACCACTACCTACACCAGTTCTATAGTAAACTAGGTTTCGTGGAGGTCCATCGCGAGGAGAACGGTCGCGTATATTTAGCGCGCGCTTTCTAGCGGCACCTCATGTTGCGTCCTGCACGCCCCGCGCAACGTGGCCGTTGGCCTCGTGCGTATGGCCCGATGGCCCTGCGACGATCTCCGAGGAAACCACGCCCTATAATTTAGGCAACACCCTTAATTTAAGCCACGCCCTTAATTTAAGTCACGCCCTTAATTTAAACCCCGCCCTATTGTAATGTTAAACTCAGGGCTTTGCGCATATATACGGTTCCCTGATTCGGTTTCTTGCTGGTCTATTCGCTATCTTTTTTGACATTTATACAGTGTGTAATTAAAGAGAAAATTGCATATCCATCACTGCTTTTTAGGACCAGTATCTTAGTTAACCGATGGCGTAGCTTCTAGACATTCATGAGTGCTTGTTACAGCCTAAACTGAATAAATGTTTTTGATTATGATTATACTGACGCTATAATAAAGCAGCAGTGGATCAGTAAATAGCTCGGTGATTATCACTTCCATCTGTCGACATCAGTTAGCAAACAGGCCTACTGATCAGGAATTCAGATTCGATTCGGAATACCCAGCGCACACGATTAGATTTTTTTTATTAGGTTGTTTCCCAAACCAACGTTAAGTTTTTCGTTTTTAAAAAAGAAAAATAGCGATGTACATTCCGGTCTCCGAATTGGTGGGATTCCTGATCAGGAAACCATACATACGCTCTCAGCCTAAAAGTCGTCCAACCAAAGCCATATTCAAACCCCGCCCCATTGAAAATTTTAATTCGGTCAATCGAAAGTCACGTATGAACTTCAGCACCATATTATACATAATACTCAAAAGAGATGTTTTATGTATCCAATTTCAATGAAAGAATTATGAGTTTGGGTATAATGTATATTCCACATCCTTGATCACGCCCCTCCCTGAAATGATCCGTTAAAAAAAAATACAGTTATTGGAATATTTTCGCTTATATCTATAATGTTTTGCGAATCTTGATCACACTCAAGACTGGTTTACACTTTGGTAAAGTATGTTAGCAACTTTAGACATCCGTCAGTTAAGCAGTATGTAGTTAACTGGCAAATCCCTGTCCAAACGATGATGAGAACTTAATTCGCCAAGACCGTAAGTTAATCCGCATCTGCACTTACCGAAGTGTCGCTCCTTTACCAGGCACTTAAATGCACATAACAAGAAAGTTCATAAGTAATTGTCAGTGGCTACATTTTTTTGTAGAAATGTTTTCCCATTCGTACTTGTTGACGTAATACTAAAATCGCGCCCCTAATTCCGACTTAAATCTTTACCATTTCCTGAAACACCTCGCTTAGAAAGAACGTTATAGATTATTTAGTAGTATTGTTTTTGTAACCATGCTTATCACCTGTCAACTCGCGAAACATAAGCTTCTATGTTTTACAATACTTCTATGTTTACCTTCGGCCTTAAACCCACCTTGTAAAACGCTAAAGTCTAACGTCTTTGTCAGAAGTTAGATTCTTTTACCCTGTCGAACTGCCTTGTCGCGTAGAAACCACGCCTCTGAATTTGACTCCGTTTCTACTCAAGTACTATTACTGGAAAAACAAGTTCAGTACACAGAATCCTTTAACGCTTGAAAAACAAGTTAAAAGTCATATTCGATAAGGTCATTTTCGGGGCAAAAATATTTTCTCACGTGTATGTCCTGTTAACTCGACACTGTACAAACCGCGCCCTTTTTTTTTGTTCGGCCTCTGCCTTACGCTTACCCTACATCTGAAAATAATAAAGTTTATTTCACTGAAGTTTTGGTTGGTTGGTTTTCCTCCATGACATTTGGGACTTTAATTTGTATTAAAATGGGCGCAAACTATGACATTTAAGGATATTTTAATTAAGAATGTATCTATGTATGTAAGATTGAAATATTAATTAAGCGGCAAAATTTTTGATAATTTTCAATGACTTATCTCTGACAACAGATGAGCTTAACATTGATTAATCGTCTAAATATTTAAATTGATTCCCGAAATGTAACGATAGTAACTTAGTGATCAAGCAAAGTTAAGCCTATCTGTAATCAGGGATGGGCTACTGATATTGGCATTTAATACATATTTGAGAAAAAAAAACCGACTTTACACCCCAGTTTCTTATACTTTTCGTAACTGTTAATTACAAAATATTGTATTTGTACTCAAATGACACAAAAATAGTAAAAAAAAAATTGAAAATCTGTCTGATTTTAACGTAAGTAAGGACTTCTTTTTGGGACAAACGATAACACAAAAATGAGTTGTCAATTTGATAATGGTTAGGTAGGAACCAGTTTCAATACTTTATATAAGTAGTCGACAAACCCAAAAACCTGGGCGTTTTCTATTAAGTAACTTTTATAATATTATCGATAGTAATAAAACTTATCTTAAATCGTTCTATAGTGAAGATGTTTTGGATGGCATTAAATCTCTTCCTTTAAGCCTTATGACTATAACTAGTTTGGTTCGTGTCTGTGATTATGATATGTTTATGAAATGTGAAACTTCAGTTTTACTAGGAAAAATGCTAATCATTCATTATATGCATTCGAAAGAAGTTAGGAACTGTGTTACATTAGGGTGATTTTGGTGGACCTAACCGCAAAAATTGTGTGTGGTAATTCTGAACAATGGAGTTTAAATGCAAGTGAATTTACACGTTAAAGTCTAGCAGGCCGTCATGTTTCAAAAAAAACTCTAAGAAATAGTATGTATTTTATGTTACTGTACAATATATATATAACAAATTTGTAATGAAATTATGTTTCTTTTGGCAAAAAGGTACTTGAATTTGTCATTGATTTGCAGTAATTGGATTTTTTTACATCCAAATGTTATGTTATAATGAGATAGTTTTTTTTTATTAATCGAATTAATATAGCTTATTAGCTGGTTTAATTTTCAATTAAACTGCAAATACTGATGTTTATTTTACTTCCAAATGTATCAAAAATATGTTAAGTCACTATCCGCCTTATTATAAAACGCCTAATTATAAGCAAACAAAATGGACAACATCAGTTTTATACCAATAAAACTGATGTTGTCCATTTTATTTGCAAAAAAGAAGGCAGTGACAACATTAAGTTTAAACCAAGACTAACTATAATCCGCGTTTTGGTATAAGGGGGATTATCTTTATGGTTATTCCCAACAAATGGTAAATGGTAAAAAATTAAAACAACTTTGTATATTAGAATAGAAATTATGTGTAACTTTATAATTGTTTCTTCCTTAATTAAGCATAGTTTAACATGTGAGTGGGAGTTCATTTGAATTTAGTCGAGATGTTAAATTAAAGATAAAATACGTTTAAGTCAATGCATGTTTGGTGTATCAATTAGGCTGAATAATCAATATCAATTAGCTGACGTTTAATCTTTATAATTATTCTTGTTACTTTCAAGGTCTAGCTCCAACAAATTTTGCCTAAGAAAAAATAACTACTACCCGGTTATAACTGTACTGTATGTATTAAATATTGGATAAAACATATCTATCAGGTAAATTATGATTCAGTCGAAAGAATTCTGCAATACCGTAAATATTTTGCAAAACGTTGGTTAATTATGACAAAATCCTTTTAATTCTTATAAAATGCGATAACACAAAAAAAAATGTAAAATATTTGAGTCAGTAACTTTATTTAGGATATAAATGTAAAAAAAATCCTACAAAAAACATCTTTTGAAATGCAGTTTTCTTAAAAATTTAATATTAATGTGGGCAACTACAGACAACACTAGCTTAAAACTAATTTTAAGTTAGTCTTATACGTCAAAAAAAAAGGAAATACTAATCGGAAAATTAGGATAAATATACTGTTAAGTGGAGTGATGCGGTGTAGTGTACAATGCCTAGTCAAGATATTGTATAAAGACTGAGTGATAGCTCGATTGGGAAAGTTGGTATTGTGATATGATTGTTATATTATTAACTTTTGATCTATTGTATTAAGGTTTAATTTTGAACCTACTGGAGTGATGCTAGAATCAGTTAAATCATATTAGGTAAGTTTGAGATACAGTCTCCATCTAACGACCGCATTTAGGGACGCCGGATAATTTTGTATTTTGATGAAAGTTGATGATATTGCTTTCATTAAATTAAATTTAATTGATGGCGGCCATTAGTAGATAATTATACAATAGTAAATGTTGAATGAAATGTGATAAAGTGACTATGGGCTTCGCTGGCGTGATTCAAACATCATGAAAAAAAAAATAAGTAGGAAATTAGACTAGATTTTGCATCGCTAGTGATTCGAATTGCTAAAACAGATTAAGGTCCAAAGTTGCACCAAAGTTCTTAAATTAAATTGAAAAGATTCTCATGTTTAAGACCCATTCTATCTCTTTTTGACTTTAAATTAATGACAAAGATGGAATGTGTTAAACAGGATTAAGCCTTAATTTGAATTGAGAATTTTGGTGCAAGTGGTCCTTGTAATTAAGTTATAGCAAATAAAACTAGATTTATATCAATAAACAATTCCTCATTGTTGGTGGTAAAACGATCCTTGCATGCGCATATAATAAATAATTCTATCATAATTCTCTCTTAAATACCAGATTTAACGTTGCATGAAACGAAATAAAGAAGGGTCATGACATGAGTATGCCACAGGAATAGTCACATTATTTTGTATATAGTAAGTATGTCACTTTAAATGTTTTTGTAACGTAATGAAAGTTGAAACTACAATGTCTTTCTTGATAAGGACAACCAGGACGTTCAACATCAACCAAAAAAAAATTGCGCCCTACACGAATAAAAATTAGCACTTTAAAGTTCAGTATTTCGCAAACCGATCCCTTAATCTAAAAATAGTCTAAGGAACCCCTTGAAGTAATTTTAAAGGACCTATTCAACGATACCCCACGTAATGGGGTAGACGATGAAAAATGAAAACATCCAGGTAACATGTAGCAAACTACCCATAGAAAAAAAATCAAAATTTTATTCTACCGTTTTCCTGGCATGAAATGAATGAAAAAAGCCACCAACAAAGAAAAACGGTTAATTTATAAAATAAAACATATTTTTGTTTAATAGTTTGAATTTAGGCGCTAAATAGTGGAGCACGTCGCGATTATGACAGTTTAACGTAAACAATACAAAATTTCATGGGCGTCGATCTGTCAAAAAGATAATAATAGAATGGACAGACTATAGATGGCAGTATAATCACTGGTTTTTATACGGTTTTTGTCTGTGATCTAAATTTGAGGTGCCATGCTGGCCTAAGTAAGATAGGCCACTATGGTTAAAAAATGAGTTAGGCCACTATGGTTCTCATGGTCTCTAAATATAGTCGCCCGCGTTTCGGTTATCAAGATAAAAAGTCGCAATTTTCTTTTGAAAAACAAATATATGCAAGGTTAATTTTATGCAAAAACTTGTATAATAATGGTTTAAATATAAGTCTACACAACATTATTTCTATTTTTTTTATAACATCTGTCAAATGGCCAATTTTCTAAATTTACGGTTATTTAACTTTCATTTATGTGTGTTGGGTCTTATGTGGGCACTTCACTTGGCTATTCGTATTTGATATTTGTAAACTTGACAACAGTCTGTCCTTATCATGCTTTATAAGTAATGAAAAGGAGAGACTGCTTTCAAGTTTACAAATAACAAACACGAAGTGCCAGCATTAAAAATTTGTTTATGTTGTGAGTAGCTTACGTTTGATTTGTAGATAAACAAAATGCGTTCCTATTACCATGCACAAGATAGCATTTATTAGGTTTTTATATGCAAACGTAGGCATTCGAATTATTTAATAAGATCGTTTAATTAAGTCTTCTTTATTCATTTATTCATATACAACTAGAACCGCTTCGTGAACTCTGAATGCGATTCAAAAGCAGCTACTGTCAAAGCGAGATGCCGTTATAAACCGTGTTAAGCGTTGTCTCGCTCTAACAATGTCATGATATCTATCTAAAAAATCACAGATCCCGTGCTCTACATGACTTGAAAGGGCATTAAAAATTAACCTATTGAAGATTATTAAAAAAGAAACTTTTCCAAAATATTTTTTACATCATTTTAAAGCCATTCGAATTCCGCGTCTTTTGAGCTCTCATACGTCCTCGTAGTCTCCACCACGTGATATCGCACCTCGCGCCGCCGCCTCCGTTTCCTCCCACACAGGCCACAAACAGCAACACTACACAGCTAGCAAACGTGTACACTAGCTTAGCATTAGGCAGACACCGCACCCGTAGGATAAGAGTGCGAAGACCCGGTCTACACACTACACGCTATACCAGGTACAGGTACGTACCTGGGCGTTTTTCCCCGCCCCCCACGACAACGGCTAACTAGAGCCGAGGTCCGAGTCTCAGAGACGCCCTCTAGTTGAGCCGACCCCCTCAGGTTCTAGTGGTCTGGAGGCTGCAGACGGAGAGGAGACTCCCCCCGTGGGGAGACGCCATCCGACTGGAATACCTCCAGAGGCACTCGCCAATCCTCGGCTTGAGGTCCCCTTAGGATCTCGCCGTCCCCAAACCCGGTGACGCTGTAAAGGTCATCTGCGACCAACAGCATACACAATAAAAAAAAAACCTCGCGCAGATCGAAACTCGTGTCTAAGTGCACCTCAACAGCCTCCACCGTCACCAAATTAAAAAAAAAGGTTAATGACCTAAAATGTTCTTTGGTTCAATACCGAGGTGATTTTTTTCATATTTTTGAAATTCGCCCCATTTCTCGAGGTATCGGAAATTTTCTGTGAAAACACGATTTTTCGGTCGGAAAAAAGTAGTTTTTTTTTAAATCGATTTCCAAAAAAATTTTTGACTTCACCAAAATAATTTTTTCATCTTCTTAAAGCCCTTCAAATTCCTTTTTTGAGACCTCATACGTCCTCGTGGCCCTAAACCTCAGGGTATCACGGGCGAGTCGCACTATAAGCGAAAATGGGGGGCCTACTGGAGCGAACGAAAAATCATTTTTAATGTTAAAAAAACACTACAATTTTAAAAATGTAAAAAAATTATTGCTACATTTCATATTATCGTGTCGCGATATGAGTTCATGATGCGTACGGCTCAAAATGAGGTTTATCCGTCAATACACGAGCATTGTATATATAACTTTATTGTGTAGGTAATAGAGTTGATTTATTTAGGTTGGAATATTTAATATTTTTTTTATAAATACTAATGTGCAACGCTTAAAATCGTGTCACTATCATTACATAATGAGTATGTAGAGACCAAAAAGTTAACAAAATTATATTTGACACAAATGATTTTATCATAAAACTGTTTAAAATAGCTTATTTATTTTGTTATTAATCAATTTTAGTAATAGAAATCACGTTCACATTTACAATAGAGTGGACCGGTTTATTTTTCGGTTATGAAACTTATATTTTTATTTTTGCTATGTAACTATGTAATTATTTTTATTTTGTAAAAGAATAGTTATTAATAGTAATATTAAATCATTGTCATTTTTATAAGTAGCAGTTATAAAATTGTTTATGTTGGATCAAGCGGATGTGTTCCCATTGTCTATACGGGGACTACAGGAAAACAGTATATTCGTACTACCTACCAACCATCAAGGTTGTAGTGTTCGTTGTACAGCCGATAACTCGCTATAGTCCGGCCGCATAGAGATTGCGTTTCTGACAGGTCGTGTCAGTTCCTTATGGTGATAGCATTAGAGTTAATTTTCGAACCTCTTTTTATAATTAGATATAAAGTGTACTTTATTCGGAACTGACACGACCTGTCAGAAACGCAATCTCTGAGCGACCGGACTATAGATACAATTTGATACAGAAAGACCACTTTTTTATGTAGAAGTAAAAGAGCTATATCTTAAGTGAAACACATATACATGGGTACTTACACTAAGAACGAAGGAAAACATATTGAGCATATTGCTTTATTTATTTAAACAATGAAGTTTTATATCGAAAGAACGTTTTTTTATTAGAAAAACTTCGAACCAATAAGCGAAGAACACGAGCCAGTTTTTCTAGTAAATAATTTCTTTAGGTATAAGAATATTCTACCCATGCTCGTCAAACAACTTGACAGTATATGGCAAAGAACTCACGTCGCGACTTTTTCGCGCACCCGCCACTGCAGCAAGAAAGCTGCTTTATTAGAAAACCCAAGAGAACGTCATTTTCTGTAGTCACCGCGACTGCGATCCCGCAGACTTTGAATTCAGACCGCACCTTTCGGCCAACCGCATAAAAATCTCAAAGCGCGCGGGATAGGCCCGCCGCCGCGTCTGCGGGTACCGCAAACATCCGCTTTCCGTGGGGGCCCAAATCGTGTCGTGAGTTTAGCTTTTTACCTATAATTTGTCATTCTAAACGAGTTGCTGTCAGAAAATCGCGCCGTTTGTTCTTAACCTATGTGTATGATCACTAGTGATTGGATAATGGGATGCATATTAACCTAAACTTGAGATGTGGGCTATTGTGGAAAGCACTTTTTTATCAAAAAAATCCCGCGATTCCGGGAAATTCAATTTAAGTGTATACTTCGTGAGATCTTATAAACCTAGTTTGACACAAATGACAGTTGTCCTGTGTGTGTATAACATAAAAATATTGTGTAAGATGTCCTCAATTAACATATTAAATTATATTCATTTAAGAAATGAAAATAGATAAACTTCTTCATAGTCATACTCGAATTGAAAATTTAATTTTAATTAAACATACATTCGATTAGTTATGCGATCCCGGAATCCCGAGAATTTATTTTAAATACCAATATCCTAGAAAGCCACTTCCATTACTTGTTAGCCAAAAAACAACTGAGTAATTATGTATCCGATCATCCGATCTCTAATGATCACCTTTATTAGCGCATACTTATCCACTGCAGCTTATATTTGTATTGGTTTTAGTCAACATGAATTTCGTTCTTATTTATTGATAAGTAGCCGAGGCTCGCCGGTTTTGTTAATGACATACCCAGCAGAATGTATATTTTATTGATATGTTAGCAACATATCAACATGGTTCACATGGTTATTTGTGTTTGCTATTTGTCATTTTAACAGCAGCTTGCCCTTTTCATACTCTATAAGGGAATGAAAAGGAAGTTACGAATAGCCATGTGAAGTGCCCGATTATGTGTATTGTGGATATCGTCACCCGATCATTCGCCAAATCCTGAAAACAAAGATAAATATAAGCATTTCCAAAACAAGATGTTTTAATTTTAAGAATGTTAAGAGCTCTGAACCCCGAATCTCTGTGGAAGGACAATCATAAAATGAAGGCTTTTCATGATCTGGTTATACGATCGTGTGACGATATAAATAGCAGCACAGAGGAATGACCTAAAAATAGCTGGGGGAACGGTACGGAAGAGGGCGTTTACGAAAATTCACGTCACTAGTCGGTGCCATTGTTTCGCGAGGTCTTATGTATGAAGATTTTGGCGCGAATTAATCGCAGGAGAATTTACATTTATCCATGAACTATGACGACATACACGATTTAACGGATGCGTAGACCTTTCGGCTCAGTGCTCCCACCTGGCGCCCGACATTCCTGAACACCTTAATTGTTTTCACCTTTCACTATAATAACTATATATTTCAGTGAAAACACTAACTTGTGTTAACTATGTAAATATACAATTATGATTAAAAAAAAATGTATTACTTTTATCGTTGCAAGTTTTTCAGTCATTAATGGGTCTTACAGAGTGCCCCCACTCCAATAGAGTGCCCGCGTTACTCATTTTGAGTGAGTGTAAGCTGCGTTTTGATTGAACACGTCAGTGTGTCGTCTCGGACGGATCTCAAATTTGATGAAACGATAATATCGCCGTTGGTCGACGACTGGAGGCGTGCCACACGCATATGTAGTTGTACCATAGAGGTATAAGAATAGAGTAGGGGAGATATAGACTACTACAAGTGGAAGAGTCCCTCTAATAGAAAGAGAAAAGATGAGAGACTGCTAGCTTCTCTCTAATCGCGCATGCGCATTGGCAACCGCAAGCATCTTACTATTTCGATGTGATGCCATGCGTCACAAGAGAGAGAGATAGCTAGCGGTCTCTCATCTTTTTTCTCTTTCTACTAGACGGACCCTTCCCACTCTATTCTTATACCTCTGTACTACCTACTAAGAGTTGTACTACCTAGGCTTGACACAAGCGGTTGCCCTTGTGCGGTCTCTATTGGGCGTGCTCTGTGACGAGTCATCCGCTTACGATTAAATGCGGGAGTTATGTAATGAAAATTTCCACTTTTATTATTGGGTTAAAAACATTATTTCATATGTATGTACCGTGAGCGTCAGAATGGCCGGTCACTACCCATATTTTACATCGAAATAATTATAGAAAGTTGCTACCTAGTTGCTTCTAGTTGCTACTAATCGTTAAATAGTTGCTACCCCCGATTAAAACAAGTTTTTAAGCTTTTTAGGGTGACCAGCCATTCTGACGTCAGAATGGCTGGTCACCTATCCAGTGAGAACAAACTGCGTCACTAAATGGAGATTTTTTTAAAGCAATAGTTGCTACTAGGTTGCTACCTTTATATATATCGTTTTGGACCTCCCAGCTTTTAAGGATAAAGAGTTATAATCAATTGAGTGTTCAGACATTATTAAAACTGAACGCCTGTAGAATTATACGAGCAAATTCGAAATCAAGTGCATAATGGGTATTGCATAAGCAGGCGCTGCGTAATAGAATTTATTGTAAAAGTTGTCTACTATACATTATGTAATGTATGTTTTTAGTTGTAATAATATAATGAATAATATTATTATACCGTGCGAAACAAGACAAACTAATTTTAATTTCTGTATTGAGTTATTTTGTTTGTTTGTAAAAAATATTTCTGATGAAGGTAGCTAAATTTTTACTTTATTATGCAAAACAGTCTACTGTTATTTCTGGTACAATTATCGCATTCAAAGCGTTGTATTGTTTTATTATAGTAAGTTAATACCAATTGTTGAGGAGCTCGATGGCGCTAGCGCATTTGGCTGCGATTGTTGAAATTAAGCAACATTCGCAATGGTCGATTATTGGATGGGTGACCGAAAATCTTCTATCTCGAGTTCCTCCGTGCTTCGAAAGGCACGTTAAGCTATTAGTCCCGGCTGCATCTGCAGTTGTTAGCACCCGCCAATCCGCACTGGGCCCGTGTGGTGGGTCATGGCCCAATCTCCCTATACCATCCATAGGGAAGACCTGTGCCCCAGCAGTGGGGACATTAATAGGCTAATGATGATGATGAATACCAATTGTGCGGGACACCGGGCTGTCGTAGTAGCGAGAAGTTACCGACCCGCACTTATTAGGTGGAGGGTTGAACGGAGGTGTCTTGACGATGGAAGTGGACTGTAGCTGGCGAAATAAAACCACTCAAGATTCGTTGTCGAAGAAAGTCGATGTGCGCTGGTAATGGATGGCCGGTAAGAAGTCTTCAAGATCCAGGGAGAACCGCTAATTATTCCTTCTTCTTATTAGTATCAGTTAGCTCAGTGCGGATTGGCGGGTGCTAACGACTGCAGATGCAGCCGGGACTAATAACTTAACGTGCCTTTCGAAGCACGGAGGAACTCGAGATAGAAGATTTTCGGTCACCCATCCAATGATCGACCATTGCGAATGTTGTTTAACTTCAACAATCGCAGCCAAATGCGCCATCGAGCTCCTCAACAATTGGTATTAATTTACTATAATAAAACAATACAAACATTGAATGCGATAATTGTACCAGAAATAAAAGTAGACTGTTCTGCATAATAAAGTAAAAATTTACCTACCCTCATCAGAAATATTTATTACAAATAAACAAAACTAACTCAATACAGAAATTAACATTATTTTGTCTTGTTTCGCACGGTAAAATAATATTATTCATTATATTATTACAATTAAAAACATACATTACAAAATGTATAGTAGACAACTTTTAAAATAAATTCTATTACGCAGCGCCTGCTTATGCAATACCCATTATGCACTTGATTTCGAATTTGCTCGTATAATTCTACAGGCGTTCAGTTTTAATAATGTCTGAACACTCAATTGATTATAACTCTTTATCCTTAAAAGCTGGGAGGTCCAAAACGATATATATAAAGGTAGCAACCTAGTAGCAACTATTGCTTTAAAAAAATCTCCATTTAGTGACGCAGTTTGTTCTCACTGGATAGGTGACCAGCCATTCTGACGTCAGAATGGCTGGTCACCCTAAAAAGCTTAAAAGCTTGTTTTAATCGGGGGTAGCAACTATTTAACGATTAGTAGCAACTAGAAGCAACTAGGTAGCAACTTTCTATAATTATTTCGATGTAAAATATGGGTAGTGACCGGCCATTCTGACGCTCACTATGTACCGACTTTCAATTTCGTAAGTCAGTTACTGATCCTTTGGGTAATCTTATCTTACTTTGATTGTAATTTGTAACCAATATTGCAATCAAATCGTATATGTACGAGCCTATATTTTGTTATTATAATCATACACATACAATTAATGGCTTAGTACTTTGTATGTAATAGTTGTAAGATGATTATGGATATTTATTGTTTCTTTTGTAATCTGCTGCTGCTTTTAGTTCTATACTTATGAGTGTAATATTTTTTGTTACATTTTATAAAAAATAATATTACCCATGCTGCATGGGCATCTGAAGATAAATCAACCATAAACACTTTAAATAAATAACTGCATTTTATTTATTGTCATCACAAAACCTTATTGTGGCACTTGGCTATTCGTGTTAGCTATTCGTTAAATTGACATCAATCTGTCCTTTTCAAAAGCAAAAGCATGATAAGGACGGGCTATTGTAATGTTTACAAATTGCAAATACGAAAAGTAATGTGCCGGCATTGCGTGAATAAAACAAAATAAAATTAATCCAAAGTGACGGATCTTCCATTTGCCAAGGACAACTCGGAAAGCTTCTGTTTAATTTCGGATATCTGTAAAACAAATATAAAAATTAAATTTTTGCAAGTAATAAGAATATCCATTTACATTTCGTGCCAGATATATTGTGGGGTGGGCAGTATCAAAGATGCACAAAACATAGGCATTATGGAATTACTAGCTGTTACCCGCGGTTTATTAGGGATATTTTTCCGCAGTAAAACGTAGCCTATGTGTTAATCCAGGGTGTCAGCTAACTCCATACCAAATTTTATTAAAATCGCTCTAGCCGTTTAGACGTGAAGAAGTAACAAACATACACACTCGCAAACTTTCGCCTTTATAATATTAGTGTGATTCCTACAGTAGCAAAAGACAACACTCGATGTATTTATCAGTAAAGTGAGGATAAAGGAGCGCTATTTTTCCTTTTTTTTTTTTTAAGTGTATGCTGTTGGTCGCAGATTACCTTTACAGTGTCACCGGGTTTGGGGACGGCGAGATCCTAAGGGGGGGGGACCTCAAGCCGAGAATTGGCGAGTGCCTCTGGAGGTATTCCAGGCGGATGGCGTCTCCACCACGGGGAGAATCTCCTCTCCGTCTGGAGCCTCCAGACCACTCGAACCTGAGGAGGTCGGCTCAACTAGAGGGCGTCTCTGAGACTCGGACCTCGGCCCTAGATAACCGTTGTCGTGGGATTTTTCAGTTAGGATAGCTACACATATAAGCGGACTGTTTTAGTCGGTTCGGCAGTATTTGTCGACCAACAAAGCCGACCCCGAATAATTACTGCACTTGTTCGGCTTTATTCGGATCGACACATCATTCGCAGTACTTGTGGAAGTTCACTTCGCACACAAAATCTTCGAGGTTTTTGTAGAAAAGAGTCTGCAACAGCTACAAAACTTGCAGAAGCGAACGACACGTTGTCTTAGTCCTAAATTCTCAGCTGTAGGTACTTAAATTTATGCCGAGCGCCTTGTGATACTCGAACATTCGTGAAATGTGAAAGAAATACAATTATTTTATGATAACCGTCGAAAGGGTAAATCATGATGAGGAATATACATAGCATTTTAAATGAAAGAAAACTCACGGAATTTGTTTTTTTTATAATTGAACACATACTACAATAAAAAAGAGACGGTGCTAGGTTTGTATGTATAAGTATCATTCATCATCATCATTCATTGATGACAAATTCTCGTCATGGTGCGAGACGTCTGCTGGCGTTCCACAAGGCGGCGTATTATCTCCTCTTCTTTTCGCAATATTTATTAATTCAATTTCTCTTAACTTATCTTCTTCCTACCACCTTTATGCAGACGATTTACAGATATATTGCCAGGCGCCACTTGAAAAAATTGAGGAAGCAGTTTTTAAAACTAATGTTGATCTGTGTCGAATTGCGGAGTGGAGTAAAGCTTTTGGCCTTAATGTTAATCCTATCAAAACTCAGGTCATGATAGTCGGTAGCTCTAGACTATTATCTCAAATTAACTGGACTACTCTTCCTAAAGTTAGTTTCGAAGGAACTGACATACCTTATAGTTCAACGGTAAAGAATCTCGGAGTGATAATGGATAGTTCATTGAGCTGGGAGCCACAGCTGCAAGCTGTAAGTCGAAAACTGTATGCGTCTGCTGGTTCGTTAAAAAGACTACGTAACTTTTTACCCACTGCCACTAAAATTATGCTATCTCAATCTCTATTGCTTCCAGTCCTTGACTATGCTGACGCCTGCTATCTAGATCTTACCGAGGACAAGCTAAATAAACTTGAGCGTCTTCAAAACTTCTGCATCAGGTTCATATTTGGTTTAAGAAAATATGATCATGTTTCCCAGTTTCGTTCTCAACTCAAGTGGCTTCCAATTCGTCGTCGCCGGGATACTCATATACTTTCCCTTCTTTACAATGTGTTGTTTAATCCCTCTTATCCCAATTATCTTAAAGAGCTTTTCAGTTTTCTCCACTGCTCCCACTCTCAGTCTCTACGCTCATCAGAGAATTTGAGCCTTAAAACTCCATCACATAATACTACCTTTTATAAATATTCTTTTTGTGTTCAAGCTGTGCGCCTCTGGAACTCTCTCCCCGTTAACATCAGACGTGCCCAGACGATTGGTTTATTTAAAAAGCAGATTAAAGATTTTTTCCTTTCAAAGTAGTTGTTTGTGTTGTTCCAACTGTATGTGTGTATGTATGTTTATGTCTCTCTACTCATTCATTTAATATTAGTATACTTGCATAGTAGATATTTATGAGTATGTTTAATCCTGAATCTTTTATTGTAATTATTTTTATTTGTTATATGAGCACACCCCCTCTTTTATTAAATTTCATCTCTCCATCCTATGGTTGTCTGGCAGAAATTGCTATATAGCGATAAGACCGCCAATTGTTCACTATTTAAGTTTTGTCCTAGTGTGTAATATTTAATATGGTGTGCACAATAAAGTGTTATCTATCTATCTATCTATCTATCTATCATTTTATTATTTTTCTCACGTACATGTAGTCACGGACCTAATAAAAAGATTTTTCTTTAGGTCTTGGTCTTTTAGGGATTTCTTTTTTTTAGGTCCGTGCATATATAATTTGTAAAACTTTGAAATGATAACATTAGCTGTTGGAAGCACTAACTTAATGATAGTTCTTCTATTTAAAATGGTTTGTTATTGTGGAAAAAATAAATGTTATGATAAACCCTTTCGATAGTTATCATTAAATACGTCATGTTTTTTTTTCAGATTTCACGAGTGTGATTCCCAGTTGTAGCAGGCAATTTTAAGTTTTACTGTCCGGCCTTGGCGATGGGATGACTGCCCACCCGCCTAGTGAAAAGTCTTTTCTCTAACATTCATCTACATAATATATTCGATTTTACCACCCAGCTGTGTCGATCAATGCCGGCTCGCTTAGGTGTGTGTATAGCTACCCTTACCCATAGTAACCACACGAAAGATCACAAATCAGTGATGGTACTCTAATACCAGGTTCACACGAGGCAATTTAATTAATCAACCTTCATCGTTCAATTGCTTTTCTTTAATTTGATTGATTGTATATATGTTCAGACGGTTCAAATCGCATGCGAATTAGCAGTTCATCAACTAAAATCGCCGGCATTACTTAAAGTTGACTTTCGATTTATAATATCACGATTCGTACCTATATAATTTTGAATGCTGTGGAATGGACACGACACGACTTCTACGTTACAACGATTTTCAATTCTGAGAGACTCCACCTACTTACGCTTTCAGAAATGGACTTACCTTCTGTATTTCACTCAGCAACATCCTCTGCTCAGTTCTAGGCGTCAAACCCTCCTTATTCAAATCTATGGCTTCCAGATTGTCGAAAAGCTTCTTTATCTTCATCGCTAAATGTACGTCGTTGTTGTTCCTTCTAGGGACCGTTGGTCTCGAGCGTCGCACCAATTTTTTCCTATACTTGTCTGGTAAGTCCTTCTCTATGTCTTCTCGGGTCAATAACGTCATGTATTCCGGCGACGTGTCGTATGGGAAATGATTGGACTGCAACTTGTAATGAGAGTCAGCGAACTGCTTTTTGTAACAGTAGGTTTTGCGCCAGTCTTTAAGCAGTTCGAGGTTTCTGCAATATCAAATAATTATTTATTTGATTTATGAACAATTGATATTGTCCTGACTGTAAGGAAAACTTAGTTTAGAGAAAGCGCCATCTATTGGAACACAGCGTCACGAAAATTTCTTAGTTGCTTCATTAAACCTACGCCTTGATAAAATGCAAATAACGCATGTATGCACCATACAAAATAGATGGAGTACATAGAAATACTCGCTTTCCGTATTGAATCGATCAGCCCTCTTAGCATGAGTACCGCGATATGATATATAACGCGTTTTTATCACGATCAATTGTCAAATTAATTACTATAGAGTTTGATAGTTTGACGCGATAAAAAACGTGATATAATATTAATTGAGGTGCTCATGATACGGGGACTGGAATCGAAACCGGTGCCATAAAGAATAATTATGATAAATTAAGAGAAGTGTTGTGTTTCTTCTCGTCACCAATCCCTCAATGTCTCAAGTCGAAAGTCTTTGTCCAGTGCGTTCTCCCAGTTAAGACATACGGCGCCGAGACGTGGACACTCACGGCTGGACTGGTCCACGAGTTTAAAGTCCCTCAGAGAGCAATGGAAAGGGCTATGCTCGGAGTATCCCTGAAGGACCGCATCAGAAATGATGTAATCCGACAGAGAACCAGAGTCACCGACATAGCCCACCGAATTAGCAAACTGAAGTGGCAGTGGGCTGGTCACATTAGCCGCAGAACTGACGGCCGATGGAGCCGTAAAGTTCTTGAGTGGAGACCGCGACTCGGTAAACGTAGTGTGGGACGCCCTAAGATAAGATGGGATGATGACATTCGTAGGCTGGCTGGAGTGGGCTGGATGAGAGTGGCAGAAAATCGGGAGCAGTGGCGTGCATTAGGGGAGACCTTTGTCCAGCAGTGGACGAGCATGGGTCGATGATGATGAAGAGAAGTGGGGCATAGCGGATTATCCGCTGGAATTGGAGCACCCGTAGCAACCTCCAGCTTACATAAGACCACAGTAAAATAACACTACCTTTTGATGGTGTTGTGTTTCTATCGGTAAGTAAGGTTCCAGGGCTCCACCAGGTAGGGGTTTGGGCACGGAACAGATAAATAAGGTTGGAATGGTAATGTGGGCGGGGCAAGCGCGCCACAGTTATGATTCGAAAATCATAACTCGGCCGATTCATTAAACCATCGCGTTTAGTGCGCTTCGGACAACAGAACTCTGCTTTAAAATGCCGTGTTGTGCAATTATAACTTGTAATACAAAGAGTCAGACCTCAAGTATAGAGCGAGGAGGTATATCTTTCCATCGGTAAGTCCAAAATAACATTTAATTACATATTAATTGTAAAAAACATTAAAATATACTGATCACTATGAAATTTCAAACATTAACAACATTATTGCAACAAGTTACAAAAAAATATACATTGCCCGATGTGTACTCGCTTAATCAACGCAATGACCAAGTCCGCTTCCAATGTACTGCATGCTTTGCGTCCTCTACACTTCATCCATTTTGTTTCGTCCTTTGCTCTGATTGGTCGTGCGTGATGCACGGCGCATGTTTATCGATAGTGAGGTGACCATTTGTGATTAAATAAAATCACCGATAGAATTCTCGATTATATTTACGATTGAAAAAAAATAATTTTATATTTAATTAGTGATAGTATATTTTTAGTTAGACGTTTATTTAGTAAATTAAATAATACTTTAATCATTGAATGAATGTGACCGAATGATATAAAGGGACATTTAGATCTGTCATCTACGAGTATTTACTATACTGTATTTAGTATTAAAATCGAAGTAAAATGAAATTTAACTTATGCAATAAATTATACATTTTAGGTTTCCTAAAGAACCTAATGCTAGGGAACAATGGATTGCCGTGACAGGTAGAGGAAACTGGATACCGACAAAGACGAGTACTATTTGCTCTAAACATTTTACTGAAAATGATTTTATCATTAAAAGAGCAGGTTATAGATACTTAAAACCAGGGGTGATCCCAAGAGAACAAATTGTTCAGATTTGTTCAAGTTCTTTGGTAAGTTTTGTTAAATTGTACCTATTACTAACTGGTTGGAACTATGTTCCATATTGCGTAATTGTTCTACTCCTATTTTTTATTCTTCTCAATTATGAACAAATCAATTTTTGCATTCAAAATTGTTCATTTTGATGATAATTATTTCGAGTATACATGTTATGGTATCTTATAATTAGAGATCGGATATTTGAATGTATATTCACCTAAAGTTGAGATGTTGGCTAGTATGGAAAGCGCTTATTTATTTATTATTATCGACTTTAGGTTTCTGATTATAGAATCGGATTTATATCTACATACCTTATATTGTTAAATAGGTGGGTATATACCAAACTGCAATAGCAAACCACGATAAGGTACTTTAGGTAAAATGCATCCGAATATCCGATCTCTACTTAAAAGCTCAGGTAACCTAATACATACTTATTTGATTTTAGCGGAGCAGGCAGCAGACGGGACCGTCTGCTCTGCGTTGATTTTTTTCTAGTAAACTTTTCTTTAGATTTAAACATCTAGCAGTTAAATGCTTAAAAAATAAAAACATAACTTATTTAAGTTGTCTTGAATTATATATATAATCGCTCTTGTCAAGTCTGCATTTTTATTTTAGGATTTACAAGCACAGGCTTCATCATCAGTTTCGTTGACACAAAAAAAAGATACATCGTTAAAAAGAAAAAACACTGAAGTAAGTAGCTACCTATAAAGATGGGTCAAGAATCGTTACATACTTGTTTTTTAAAAGATTAATGTCATGCTTCTAGCTTATGTAATATAACCCATATCAGTAAATAATCAATCTTTCATATCCTTCATAATAACACTTTTTATGTACAGAAATTAAGTTATGCTTATATTCAATTTATTTTTAGGAACAATTAATGTCATCTTCAAATGCAAGTACTCCTAGGAAAAGGAAGCTACAAAAGATAATAATCGACAAAGAATGTATAATAAAGAAACAGAGATTGAAGATAAAAAAAATACAAGCACAAAACCGAAGACTGAAAAAAAAAATTAATAAAATGCAAGATGTTTTAAATGATCTTCAAGAAAAATTTTCTTTGCAGGACGAAGATATATTTGTTCTCAAAAATATAAATGTTAAGGTATGTTTTATATTGGACTGGACCTTATATAAATAGCAGAGATTATAAAGATTATTCTTATTAATATAATTTTATTCACAGGTACAAGAACTGACAAATCGTTTGATTGCAAAAAATACTGGTGGCGGGCCATCTAAGCAAAAATATAGTCCAGCTCTGCGTAGTTTTGCGCTAACCCTTGACTATTATTCGCCAAAGGCTTATGAGTATGTACGCAAAACATTTGATACTTGCCTCCCGGATGGCCGTACGCTCCGAAAATGGTACCAAAATATGGGAGGCGATCCTGGTTTTACTTCAGAATCCATAGAGGCGTTAAAAATAAAAGTGAAAAGCACCAAACATCCCATTATTGCAGCCCTTTCCTTGGATGAAATGGCTATACGCCGTCGTATAGAATGGGACGGAAAAAAAATACTTGGACATGTTGATATTGGCAGTGGCATCGAAGGAGACCATGTAGGAATAGCCAAAGAGGCTATGGTATTTCTAGTGACAGGCATAAATTGTAATTTTAGGGTTCCCGTTGGATATTTCTTAGTTGACGGAATCAACGGAAGACAGCGCGCAGACTTAATTATGCAATGTTTGGAGCTTATAGCAGAAACAGGCATACAAATAATTTCCCTAACTTTTGATGGATGCGCTGCAAATATGGCAATGGTGCAATGCTTAAACTGTTCAATAAAAGATAAAAAATATTATTTTCCACACCCGTCAACGAATAACCCAGTATTTGTAGTGCTAGACCCATCACACATGATAAAACTAATTCGTAATGCTTTTCAATGCTATAACACATTTTTAGATAAAGATGGTAATACCATAGAATGGCGATTTTTGGAGGAATTAAATAACCTTCAAATGAAGGAGAACTTTCATTTAGCGAACAAGCTTCGTTACCATCATGTTAATTTTCAAAATAATAAGATGAAAGTTAAGCTTGCAACGCAATTGTTCAGCCTAAGTGTAGCAGACGCTATAGACTTTTGTCGTGACCAATTAAATCTGCCATCATTCTATAACAGTCAAAGCACATCATTTTTTTTGAGGGTTATTAATAACATGTTTGACATTTTTAATTCCCGAAACACGTACGAATATGAATTCAAAAAAGCTCTAACAGAAGCCAACGCTGCAATGCTGCTTAATTATCTGGACATGGCGACGTCGTATCTATCCGAGTTGAGAACAGAAGAGGGAACTCTATTAATAAAAAGCTTACGTAAAACTGGTTTCAATGGTTTTATTGGATGTGCTGCAGCTGTTAAACATTTTTATGAAACGTTAATACGTCCGGGAGTTCTGATTTTTATGCCATTTTACAAAGTAAGCCAGGATCACCTTGAAATGCTTTTTGGTAATATAAGGTCACATGGTGGAGGCAACAATAACCCCACGGCCCGCCAGTTTAAAGCTGCATACAAAAAACTTTAGTCCATATTGAGTTAAAGGCTCTCGATACTGGAAATTGTACTGCGCTTGAACACATTTCTATTCTTAATTGTGCATCATCTCCTGTAGCACGGATTAATAGATCCATACGAAGGATTGCGGTTGAAGAAAATGATGACGATGATAATAATAACGAAGAAGATATTAACGCATTTTTCAATAATATCTCAGATTTTAGCAATCAAATAATTAGCCATATTTCAGGATACATAGCGCATATTTTAATTAAGAAAATAGATTGTGATATATGCATTGGAGCACTATTGTCCAATAGCATAAATGAAGACCATAAATTTATAGTTGCTAAATAAGGGTGGTTTGTTATACCCGTCAAAAGATTTGATACAGATTTGTAAAATATCAGAATCTGTTATCAAAATTTATACGGAAAACCTTCATCATATAAATAAAAAAATGTTGGTGACAAAAATTATGCGTCACTTTGTAGGGAGTGAAATATTCAAAAATATAATTTATCATCAAATTGGCCAATACCCTACAGCAAACCACGTCACAGACCTCATCAAAGCAATTATTGAAAAATATATTAACGTGAGGTTACATTTTATATTGAAAAATTCATTCACAGTTGAAAGCAAGCGCCAGTTGCTTAATAAATACGTTTTATTCCAAGGACAGTGATTAGTAAAGTAAAATAAAATTATTTCTTAATATTTATTTCATGTTTTATTTTTCCCCATAAATTCATCTGATGAATCGATATAAAATTTATCGATATAAAATATCGGCGTTATCAAGCACTAGCGTGTATGAAAAATTTTATTGCTTTTTTTCGTGTGTGAGTGTCTATACCTACGGGAGCTTAGTGCTAGTGTGCGAACGAATATCTGCTCTGAGATTTATGTGTGCGTGATTTGGTTGTTTGCGAAATATTTGTAAACATAGTATTGCGTATGTGTAGAAATTAAAATAGTGGGAGTGAAGCGGCGACACTTGTCCTAATACAAAATTGAAGCGAGGGCCTTTCCAACCTTATTTATCTGTTCCGTGGGTTTGGGTCAGGATAGGCAACGGTGCAAGTGATTTTTTTGGTATTGCAATCATCTATGGTGGCCACTTACCATCAAGTTGGCCTTACGCTTGTTTGCCACCCTGATAACATAAAAAAGTCCATAATATATATATATATATATATATACATAATATATATATATATATATATATATATATATTATCTCACACCAAGTAGCCTTTTTTTAATTACGCAGGCAAAACCTCTATTTACATACGTTGGTGCCCTTAAGGGGTCGACTAACGAACGGACCTCACACCTAGCCTCTCGCAAGGCTCACGGGTGGCCGCGCGGCTCATGAGCGCTTACAGCATACTATCCGCTTAAAAACCCTGCGTCTCTACGCTGTTAAGTGCGGAACCGCGATTTCGCCGTTGAGGGACTTCACCGCGTCTCCGCACGCAACAGCCCCCCGGCCTAGCCGGGGCTCCACGGCAGGGATCACACGGAGTATTTCGGGAGATCCCGCAGACGTGCGCAAGACTGCCCGCGCTAGGAGCTGTAGCCTAGCTCCAAAGTAAGCACTGTAAGGCTTATGTTATGGGATACTAGGGTAACGGATAGAATACATATACTATACATACATAAGTATGACACTAATCACACTAATATTATAAAGGCGAAAGTTTGTGAGTGTGTATGTTTGTTACTTCTTCACGTCTAAACGGCTGGAGCGATTTTAATAAAATTTGGTATGGAGTTAGCTGACACCCTGGATTAACGCATAGGCTACGTTTTACTGCGGAAAATATCCTTAATAAACCGCGGGTAACACTGCGGGGTACATCTAGTAAGTATTCATATAAAAATACATATTAAACATCCATGATTGGAGTAGAAATGCTCGTATTTATCACACAAACATCGGCCTCTACCGGGATTCGAACCCGGGACCTCTCGACCTCATGAAACGCGGCGTACAAACCACTGGGCTACAAAGATCGTCAGTTATGGTGACGACAGACATAAGTCTGGCACGCACGCACATGGGCGTGTTTACCCTAGCTAGGGCCTTGGCCCGAGGCGGTATGCTGTGGAGAGGCGTCAGAAGCCCTATAAATGCATTCGTTCGTTATACTTATATTCTGATTTCATTTACAAACGGGGTGTAAATCTTGCGAACGTACGTAACGCATCAAACTTACTTTCTTCCCTGCAAAATTTTGTCTCTCGTCGCTACAAACTCCTTATGCTTTTTTATAGCCATGTCTCTCAAATGGCTTTGCTTAACCCTACTATTAAAACTCTCCTTGCTGTGAGCCCTCGGCGGTGGAACATACTTAGAGCTTTGGTAATAGCTGGGTACTTGATGCCTACTCTTATCCAACTTGGGGCATTTCCCCTTTATTTTCGCATAGTATTCTTCGTCAGATTCTTCAACATCCTTCTCGCTGAACTGTATAGATAACGCTCTGGGCTTCTTCAATTTGTCGCCGTGTATTACCGAGTTGTAACTCACTATTCCTTGTCCCAATTCGGGGTATGGGCTGTTGGCGCTTGCTGCGTCTGACAGATCGGATTGTGAATGCGAGAGCATGTAATCCACATGTCTACCGTGAAGGAAGTCCAAGATCTTTTTGACACCACCCTTGATAATATCCCTGGGTGGATAAGTGAGAGGGTTCCCGCTCAGTTGTAAAACTTTCAGATTCACGGTACCTAACTCATTCGGTAATACGGACAAGCGGTTGTTTTGTAAAAGTAAATGGGCGAGGTTGGGGTGATCCTGTATGGTTGCCGGGATGTCGGTCAACTCGTTGTCCCTCAGATCGAGGTATGCGAGATTGGGAAACGATTGGAAGAAATCTGTTGGTAGACTTCTGATTTTGTTATTCTGTATGTATAGTACCTATGAAAGAAGGAATGTTCAAAATAAATTATACTCAATTACAATCTTGAAATATATCACCAACGAGACACTTATGTCTTGGTGTTTGAGGTACCATTATTGGAACCATAGATGAATGATTGGTCTCGCTTCACTCGACTGAAGCGAGACCAATCATTCATCTATAATTGGAACGAACATTTATTTAGAACAAATTCAGAAAGTTAAAGTTACGTATTGAAAATAGATACCTATTATAAATGTATTGTATTGTAACGAAAACGATACATTACAATACTATTAAATATGGTAGAGACAATAAACGTTACCTATTAATTACAAAGAACTTACAGATACTGATGATTTATCTAAGATTTCAGGAAAAGATTCTAAATTACTAGATGACAAATCGCAAACCGTACGATTACTCAATTCTTCTTCATAAATGTTGTATGGAACTTCACATGTACTGGAAATATCAGACATAATATTTTTTATTATTGAATAATATCTTACTCAGCTACACTGTTGTTGTTCTTGTTTGATCAATATTGGCTGAAGAATTTCAAATATGGCGCGCCGAAATAGAACGAAGGATTTTGTACCTATGGTTCCTATTTTTGTTTGGATTTTCTATAGGGCAAAGTATACTTATTCCATACAATCTAGTCTTCGGTATAGTTATACTTTGAAATAATAATCATTTTTTATCAGCATATGGGTTCAACCATGGACCTCCTTACTACAATCGTAGCAAAAATTATTTTGTATACCTACCTTAGATTAGAGTTATTTTTTAAATAATTGGCAAAAACATATTTATATATACTATACATATCAGTAGGGGAAATGAGAATTTAATTGTGTTAACGTGCAAAGTCATGGTCATCTCACAAAATTTCGTGTTTTCTCTGGATTTGAAGTTCATAATATTGCAGTATTTGCAGATTCACAGGATTTCTTAATATTCTTATCAGAAAAATGATAAATAGGCTGTATGAAATTTATATGCTTAGCCTTCATAATGAAAAAGAAATTAAACTCGACCACGTACCACAGACTAAAATTGTGATGCAAAATAGCATTCGGCATTACCTATTCAATTGAATATACAATTATTCAATTAAATTTTTATTCAACTGGAATTTAATTAAACAAAATTTTATTTAGGTATATTTCATTGTATATTACTATATGTAGATTGGGGTATCTTAAACTCATCAATATTATCGTGATATATCTTAGATCGCAAGTGGTAGCGGTGATACTGAGATATATTACAGAGTAATATGCTCAATTGACGGTTGCGAGTTTCTTTTCACATTTAAGAGTTAACAAGGTCGATGTAGTCGCTGAGCCTGAGGCGTTGCTAGCATCATATATTGCATAAGTCTCATTCTAGGAAATCAATAACAATGGATTTCTTTTTAAAAGACAGATAGTGAGATTTATGAAGGTGTTTGAAAATATGAAGACATCCTGTATGTTTTATGGTAACTAGAGGAAAGTTCCAAATAAAATGTAATTCCGTGAATAGGAGTAATCAAAGCAAGATTTTCTGATGAACCCAGGGACAATACGTCAGAAGTGTGGAACATCTAGAGTATAGTCGTAAGTTTGCATTGAAGTGAAAATTCTAAAAAGCAAGCTCTTTTTCATACAATGGAGAATCCCATAGACACAGTATTTTTTTGAGAATTTTGATGTTCCAGCTGCGTCACAACCTGCGGCTTGAACTGCTGATTCAATTTAACAAAAATATTGAAATCAGTTGAAAACTATGAGTTGAGACGTAACAGATATTAATATTTTATCATTGAAGCTGTCCATGGGAACTTTCATCATTCTCTAACGTTTACAAAAAGGTAAGCGGGCAAATAGTGTGGTAGAAAGACCTTTAGAAGACAGAAATAAAATTGTTTGGATGGATATATAGATAAATATCTCTAATCATGGTGAGGGTCACTTTCTTATGGGTTGTGGAAATTATGAAAAAATGCCATTCATATTCCACATATTTTATTCAGTACAATAGCGAATGTTGTTGCTTGGCCCTGGATGAAAAATAAACTATAAAGGTAATTCAATCAGACTCCGACGAAAGCAGGGAAAGTTCATCAACACTTTGCCTTCCTAGTCTTAAATAATTAAAACATTTTGTTACACTTACAATAGTTCGTCTAGCCTCAAAGTAAGAACTGTAAATTGTAGACTTGATTGTTATGATTATGAAATAATAGGGTTATTAATAGAAATACATAATGGTGTCGATTCTGGGGGGATTTCACCTGCGCATAGAATGCCCACTGCTACAGTTTGTCTATAAAATCGTGACATGAATGTTTCAGGAACTAACATTGTTCATGTGTCTGGCAACACCAAACTTATGTACATCAGCTGTCGTCGAGTTTCTGTGGTGGAACAGTTTTCCTTTTGTATTTTTTATTGTTTGGATTAAACTGTAATAAATTAAGACGAAACTACGCAGAAAGGTATAAAAATGAGTAAAGTAAATCGGAGTGGCACGCGGGAAGTGATTTTTAAAGTTTTCCAGTGATCTTTCGAAGACTACCAAGCTTGACGAATTTTGTGGGATTTGGATGATGTTTATGGGCGAACATCATCTATGACGGGTATGTAATCGTGTAATTATTTGTTTGTAATCTGCCTGAAGTTACAAATTTACTCAATTTACGATTTTGAGACCAAAAAAGGCATTGTTTACATTGCACATTTTTAGGTTAGATTGACATTGTAAATAGGTAATATTGTAGTACGACCATTTCTTTTGATACGTTATTATGGTTCAATTCGGTCAGGTTTTCTACCAATTTTGAATTAATTGCTACATGTCAATAAGTTATTGTTTCTATTCCGTTACATATTTTTTTACTTTTTTTCAGGAAAATCAGAGAGTCGGATAGTCAACGAAGGTTTTAAGAATGATGGAAAGTTTGAAACTCCTGGGAAAACGGGCAAGGCCGACGAAAGAAAGAAATGGTCACATAAAGAACCATGGCCAGATGCTTTTAGTGAAGATACCTATCACTAATTTTACCAACTGCATATTTACAAATTGTTTCTCTAAATAAACTTTTTATATACTATAATTTTTTTTATGTTATAGGTGGCATACGAGCAGACGGCTCACCTGATGGTAAGTGATCACCGTCGCCCATGGATACTTGCAACACCAGGAGTATCACAAATGCGATGCCGGCCTTTAAGGAATTAGTACGCTCTTTTTTTGAAGGTTTTTGGGTCGTATTGGTCCGGAAACACTGCTGGCGACAATATATTCCACAGTTTTGTCGTACGTGGTAAAAAATTTCGACAAAAGCGCACGGTTGTGGATAGCCACGCATCAAGATGATGGGGATGAAATTTTTGTCGCAATGTACGATGGCGAAATGCAGCAGCTGGAATTAATCCGAACAATTCCTCAGAACACTCTCCGTGATAAATGCGATAGAAGATGCAGAGCGATGCTACATACCTACGCAAAGTCAAAGGATCAAGCTGATCAGAAAGGTCCTGGTCGTCGACGATTCGAGCCGCTCGGCGCTGGATGCGATCTAAAGGGAGAAGCTGGTACTGGGGTGCCCCCGCTCAAAGATGAGAGCAGTACTCCATGTGAGGCCGAACCTGTGCCTTATAAAGTTGCAGTCGGTGGGCCGGTGTCAAGTACATTCTCGATCTATTGAGCACACCAAGCTTCTTGGAGGCCAATTTGGCCTTGCCCTCTAAATGATCCCAAAACTGCACGTTGCTCGATATGTCAACGCTGATTTGATGAAAATGATTTTTAGTATTATTTTCTTAACAAGTGTCTTAAAAAACGTCGTATGATGATACTTGTGTGTATTGATGATTACCTAACGGCTCTGGTCTCAATGGCACCTCAGCGGTAATCACCTTTTTTTTATCGCAGAACTTTAAATGTCCTAATAATATTCTTTCTGCATATCAGCAAATGGCATCAAACTCATTTCGCAGAAAATCATATAGTATCCACTCATTTACCAGAATTGAAATTATCTATTAATCTTTAGCTTACAATTAATATCCACAATAATCAAATAAGAAGCATCATATCGAAGGCAGTTAAATAATTTAAAAATCTCCTTACAAATATGAAGTTAATGAAGATTATCTCAAGTGTGCTATGCTAACTGAACTTCAGAACAACAAGATTTTGCCTGATATTCACGAGAATGTTTAAAAAAATACTTTTATTAGCAGGAAACGTGTATAGGCTCCGAAATGTATTGAATATATTAAATATTCAAGTCATTTCGTTTTTAGAGGTGAGGTTCTATGGTTTTGCGTAAGAGAGTTTTTAGAGGTGGTCTGCTGTTTCACTCGCATTAATTTGAGGAAAACGTTGTGGGTCACCCTTACAATATAGACATATTGTTGGTGTCGATTCTCGCATGATTCTCTAAACCTAAACTTAAATTTGACAGTGTATGTAACAGTGTATCCTTCTCATTCTCTATACAGATTGAAAAGGAGGGACTGATGTTACATTTTGTTTTAAGTTTAAAGAATAACGCTATGATCGACACCATTGTCATTACTTTGTCGATGACTTTTTTATAGCTCTTTAAAGGGGAACAATTCTATCATACTTGATTTTTGTGCAACTCTAACCGTTTAAACACAGCGCACTCAACGGAAGCTATGAAATGAATTTTTTCCCCGTTTTTGCAACAATTTTCATTGGGCTACCACTCCTGTTGGTCATAGTCTAAAAGTTGCTCGATAAATGCACTATCCAACACAACAATAATTATTTAAAGCGAACTCGTAGTTCCTGAGATGAGCTCGTTCAACCAAACAAACAAACTTTTCAGCTTTTTAATATTAGTATATATGATTTAAATCCGGTTAAAAAAGTGTTTTTTTTTAATAATAATTGGTCTCCCTGAAAACATAATATAAATTCATATAATTCCATCGTCAACAAAAAAAAAAAAAGGATTAAATTGAATAGGTGAATAATCGATGAACAGGTAATTAATCGATTATTGAACATTTCAATTGACTTTAAGCAATGCAGCACATTACAAAACGGAAACGTCATTGTGTCTCAGTTACAAGATGGCGAACGTTCGGGATAGTGATACATCTTTGTGGCTCCACAATAAACTCGGTACTTCGAACGATTCTTGGACAACCGGGTCAATTTGTACTCAATTAAACGCGGAAGTTTTGAAGAATATAAAGGATTGTTTTCCAGATTTGCAAACACAAGTGAAACTTAAATTATTGCTAAGTTTCTTTCATATCCCGCGCAGAAATGTTGAAGAGGTAACTTTTCTCTTTGATGTTCTATGGTTTTGCGTAACTGTTTAGTTTACATTGTCTCGCTCTAACATATTGAACAAGGTGCATAAGGAAAGAGAAGTAAGATCGTGATGTATGTAATAGTTTTATTTGTTGTCATGTAGTATTTTACAATAAATCTATTTATCATTCATGTAATGATTTTATATTTTTTTAACAAATAATTAAATATATCATATCAAAAATATCGACTGAGACGTCAATTAAGCATTTGTTTGTCACCAATTTCATAACCTGCATTTGATAGCATAACCATGATTTTTATGTATTCCCTCGCATTTCTTCGAGATCTTAAATCTGATATTTCATTTATTGTTCACCCATGTGGTATTATTTACGGAAACATAGTTGTATTGAATCAAAACATGCATACAATATTGAAGATAACCTATACATAATAGAATAGAATTGCATTAGAGTCATTTATTTTACATATCAATAAATCAAAAAGTTACTATTATTATACTTTGTAGGATTACGCCTTTTCGTTTATCAAGCAAATCATTTATTTATTTATCTTCTGGACACCAATGTCACTAACATGAATAAAGATTTAAGTTACTAGGGTTTTTTTTATAGTAATTATAGATATTAATTTGCTAATCATTTATATTAGAAATCCAGTGTTTTCTTTTGTACATTCATCAATGATCTTCTAGTTATATGGACTTTGCATATATGCGTGACAAGCGTTTCAGCAAAAAAATACATGAAAAGTAGAATTTCCCCAAACTAAAAAAACATTGTCTAAATAAAAAACCATATAGTAGTTACTTTAGTAACTATAATAAAGTTAAAGGGCCAACACAGTTATTTTTTTCACTTTTTAGACTTAGGTTTTTTAAAATTTCCAATTTTTATATAGCTAGGTGATAAGGATGGTGCCCTCTAGATTATGTATTTTATTTTTGGACAACCATAATTTTTTGATTTGGCATATAAATATTATGGTATTTTCATAGCATATGTAGCTTTAATAAAATCATAAATATGACTAAACTTCACATAATGGGAGAATTTTAAAAACAATATGGATTTATGAATTTTACAATGTTTAGTTCATAAAAGGAGAGAGAAGAATTCTCAATTAAAAATAAGGCTACTTTTATGATATATATATATAGCAGTATAAAAGGAAAAACAAATTTTGAATTTAAAAATTATAGTATGTTAAGGTAATATTTGTTTCTTAGGTTTTCACACACACCACTCATTAAATAAAACAAGTTTCAATGGTATAGATGCACTGATTTTATTTGTACTATTTTTACCAAATTTCGTGAAAAAGAAAGATTTTTGTGTGAGATAATAATTAAAAACCAAAGTCAGATATTTTGACTTTTAGCTGATAGGATTCTAGGTTATGTGAAATAGTGTAAAAACAATAGTTGTAGATCATTTGATTACCTCTAATTTAGCCATATTTTTTTTTGTTGATAAAATAGTAGTAATGTTCCCATAAATTTTCCTCCCTTAAAAGGTCACCTCGACCCTTCCCAATCTCAAAGCGCGTAATTGGTTTTTCGTTTTTTTAATGTGTTTTCTTACTCTAGGTTTTATTGCTCTCACAAATTATCAGCTCTACTAGCATGAGCACATATGACATATAAAACGTTTTTATCATGCTCAATTGTGAAATTACTATGAAATTTGAAAGTTAGGCAAAGTTAGATTGGTCTATTATATGGAGTGTTAAATTCATATATATAGAAGGTCATTGATTTTAATCTAAGAAAAAAGGTTAAAAACTTGTATGACGATTTGCGTGAAATATTAACTGTTATTTGATACTTTTTCCAGTGGAGAAATGAGCTTGAAGAAATTATTGAAGTGGCAGCGGTGGACTCTGATCTGTGGGTGGCAATGCTTGCGGAGGTTCTCAAGACATTTCCATCGCAAGGCACGCTCAATACAGAGATAGCAGAGTTTGACGAGACCAGGCCAGTCTTCAGTGACATGATAGGAGAGCTGAGAAGAGCTCTGGCCAAAAACTCTGACCTTGGACTGTTGCCTCTTGAGTGCCTCTATTTAAATAAGAATGCTTTAGTGTCTGTGGTAAGTTGTTTATGTAATTAAATAGGTACAGGAATGTTTCTGTATTTATCCATAAATTCTATTCTATGTATGGTTCCTTTTAAGATTGCACTCCTTGATTATGAATGAGATTTTCCTCAAAAATAACTCTTTGCATATAACATTGCTTAACTTCAACGGTTGCAGCCAAACGCGCTAACGACTTGCGCCATGGAGCTCCTAAACTAGTTTACTAGTTACTAATTGAATATATTACTTATTTCCGCAAAAATAATAATTGTATATTTGCTAATCAAAGTGCTAAGATTTAAAATAGGTAAATGTGCAGGCTTTGTTTGCTACATTAATTTATAGTATTGTCCAATAATAAATGTAGGTATTGATCCTGCAAGGTAATCAAACCAAGAAAAACTCTTATTAATTTACGTTAAGTATTTTGCCAAATATGTATAAAATGTAGTAGCTTTTCCGGGCTTCATACAAAATTGTCTTCCAATGTTGAAATAATTTGATATTGTATAAATAGAAGCAAAAATGTTTAGGAATATTTCTCATTATAATTGTTTACTTTTGAGTAAGTAGTAATTACCAAATATGCTTAACAACATTTGCAAAAACAATCTGTATATGAAATTAATCAGTAAGCAATATGTTGTGTTGATTAATCAGACATGACACAATACATTATCTTACTAATATTATTAATGTGGAAGTTTGTATGTTTGTTACTCAATCACTCAAAAACTACTCAACGGATTTGCATGAAATTTGGTACACAAATAGTCCATGACCTGGATTGAGACATAGCATACTTTTTCCTGGAAAAGTTTCAGGTACCCGGGAGATTTTCCAAAAACTAAATTTAACGTTATATAAGTAAGCTATATGTTTTCTAATTTTATTTTTATAGGTTGGCCAACAGCCGAACGCAGTGAAACATTTCACATTGAAACGCAAACCGAAGTCAGTGGCCTTACGTAGTGAGTTACTCGCGAAGGCTACCGAAGCGCAGGCCAATCAGAAGAAGGCGCAGGCGCCGACCGTGCCTGTACGCAGCCGTGGAATGCCTAGAAAGATGACTGACACGAGTATGTTGAATTTCATTCATCATCAACAGCCTATTATGGTCCCCACTGAAAGGCACAGGCCTTTGAATGGAATAGGGAGACTGGGTCGTGACCCACCACGCGGACCCACTGCAGATTGGTGGGAGCTAATGACTGCAGATGCAACCGGGACCAACGTCTTAACATGTCTTCCGAAGCATGGAGGAGTTCGAGATAATAAGTTTATGGTCACCCATCCAATAACCGATCATTGCGAAATTGGCTTAACTTTCACGATCCCAGGCCGAATGCGCTGACCAACTGCGCCATCGAGCTCCATTACTATAGATTAATATAGTGCAAAAGCTAGTTCTTACCATGGCTATAAGTATTTGCTATTTTTTTCAAATTGAAAGCAGTCACCTCAGTAGCTTAGCCTTTTCGTTCCTTGTATGCAGAAGTATAAAAAGGAGATACTCTGCTGTCAAATGTATAGATAGCAAATACAAATACTAAAACCCATGTAATGTGCTAGCATAAGACACACTTATTACTAAGGCTAACATGATGTTATTTAGGAAAAAAACATTCAAGATTTTTTCTTTGTGATTAAAGTCTACTGATTAATGAACTCTTGCCCCGATCGCCCCCTTCGCCGGCAACAAGTTGCTCGACTTCACCGAATAACCTGCCATGAAGGTGCTGGCTTTGTAAGTTGATACCACAGAGCACCCCCTTTACAGACCATATAGAACACACTTGTTCAAAATTTATGGAGCAATACCGCAGATGCGTTTGAGTCGTGTGACACCAACGGCGTTAAGAGCTCTCTCACATTTTTTGCAAAAAATCGTAATTTTTGAGCGCCTCGTATACCCTCTTAGATAAGATTTTCACTATTTTCAATAAAAGTAAACAGCAGATTTATTCTTCCTATTGTAAGTTCATGTAGAATATTTGCAAATACTGTTTTCCTTTTTTTGTACTGATCGTTCTACTGCAGCTAGTTTACGGAAAAAACGATAATATGCACAACGTCAAATGCCTGAATCTCTCAATAATATATCTCAATAATAAATTAGATCAAGTTAATCACTACGACATCACAAATATATTTTTGTTGTAACATAATGTATTAGAATTTTGATTTCCCATCTCATTAATTATCAAAAAAAAAAAACATCTAACCTCCGTGAGTTTTCCCAAAAAATAATGCAGGTTTACCTCGTATTTTGATATTGAATTAAATAGAATTACTATCAAAAACTTTCATAAAACTAATCTACCATCATTGAACTACTGAAATATGTATTTATTATAATTATTTCATTAATAACTATTTTATAAGACTCGAAACATCACCCGTAAAATGCAATGTATACTAGTGCAAATCTATCTACGCGCCGATCAGTACGGCAACGGCGCAATTTTGTAAATTCTTAAATCGTTGCACTAAAAGACGTTGGGAACATTTTGCCCCGCTTATCGAAAAGTAGCAGACACAAACGGAACCTATTTCAATGGATAGATACAATTATCTACTTTAATCCCTGTGCAATTTTTATTTCTGTAACCTATGGTAATGCTGAGAAAATGAGGTTTTTGTACCAGCGAAGCCCGTAAGGTCCTAATGGCCAAAGGCGTTACAACATTATTCAACAGGACTCCAACAAAATTATTATTTTGGTATCCTCAAATCACCTTCAAATAAATATCATTTACACATATGTATCTTAATTTTTTTTAAATGCGTCTATACATACGTACTGTAACATTGAAACCGCAAAATGCAAGTGTTATGTGTATTTTAGTTAGGTGAAATAAACTTATTAAAATTACAGTATATATAGATAGCTCTTTGGCTTATTACTTTCGCTTTTACCAACTCTATAATATGTAGACATTTGGCGGTAACTACCAAAACCTGTCGGGATTTCCAGGGAGTAAATACAAAAATCCTAGCTTGGGCTCCCCCACTATAGCTTTTGCTAGTGTCTTAAGCTAATAGTAGCCAGAGGAGTAGATTGAAGATGAGATGAGTGGAGCAGTGATTGCATTTTATTTGTAGCCAGTTAATAAAGGAATTGTTGAATAAAAGCAATGCAACGTCTCAGCTCAGCTCAACTCCGCCCAGCTCCGCAACGCTTCGTAAGAGGCGCTGGCTCAGCTTAACTCCGCGCTCTGTAAATTTTGATTTTATTCTTTTAAACTCAATTAATACTGTTTCTTAGATTAGAAAAAAGATGTATATTTTGAAAAAGGCGATAGGTATTTTTTTAAAGTCATGTGTATTATGAGCAATGCGATTGGTAAATTTTTTAAAACATGTGTATTTTGAGCAATGCGATTGGTAATTTTTTTGAGACACTGCTGAGCTCCGCGCAGTACCAATTCTGATTGTTGAATCGTATTGGATCTGTCGACAGGAGATATATAATGCTTGCAAGAAGAAAAAAGTAACCATATTTTTATTGCTTCTGCAATGTTAAGCCTCGCCCGGGACTGTAGTGTTTTTATTTAACGGACATTTCTTATTAACTTTCCTTGTACTTGGACACAAAATAGAACCTTATTTACGGTGTTATGTAGGTACTCTGTATACCTTCTCATTGCGTAGTTCATATTTCGCATTATATAACTGGTATACGGAATTTCAATTGGAGTTTATGCGAGGGTCAAACACGACAGCTCAAGAAAATTTAGGAATATGAACTTCTTTGTTTTGTGTCCATGATTTTAAATATTGTTAGATATCTACCATATTTAGGGTGTGATTCCACAAGAGCGGAGCTGTGCGGGTTTGAGCAGATTGGAGCCGTGTAAAAAGGCAAGTGATTCCATTGAAGCTGTGCGAATATGAGCCGTGCAAAGCCGAGCAGAGCTGTGTGAAATGGAGATGAGCAGAGTTGAGCAGATTGTATTGTCCCGCCTCATTCAGCATGACAGCGCTCCGCTCTGCCCAGATTAACTCCGCGCGCTATACATTTTGATGTTATTCTTCTCAATTCAACTAATACTGTTTCCACTGAAGCGGCGCGGAGAAGAGATGTGTATTTTGAGCAATGCGATGGTGCTTGGCGCAGCTTCGTTTATGTGGAAACGCAGGTATAGTTGAATGATTTAGTTTCTTTGTGCTACAATCGCTCTTGCATATAAATAAACATTGATTTAAATTTAAGTGTGAATCCAAAATTTGATCATTTGGCGTTTAATTTTATTGTGGGTAACTTTGGCTTTAACTATTATCGAAGTAGCGCACCCAGTCAAGAGCCGCAGTACACTTAGCTGCCGCTCCGTAAAGTTCTTTCAGGCCGCCCTCTGCGGTAGCGATGTTTTGGATATCGTTACATTTTGCACTAGTTTAGCCTTCAATTTCAATTTTGAGCAATGCGATTGGTATTTATTTAAAGACATGTGTATTTTGAGCAATGCGATTGGTTAATGTTGACACTGCTTAGCTCCGCGCAATTTCACTCATGTGGAAGCGCAAGCTTACTTGCGCACGCACCTCTTTCAAATTAACAGTGTTGAAATTGCTAATGATTTCGTTTCTTGGTAAGACAATCGCTCTTGCACATTGATTTAAATTTTGTTTGATCACATAATTGGACATAGGATTGATGATTGTAGGTAATCGTTATATTTTGAAGTTTTCAATATTGAATTGTCAGATACTGTCAGAATGTCCAGCATGTTATGTCTGTTGGCTCTGATAAGGGCCGTTTGGGAATTGGTTTTGCGGTATCTACTGTTGTCCCAAGCCATCTCGGTCGCGATATTATTGATATCGTTATGGATTGCGTTAGCTTAGCGTGGTTGTTGCTGCTGGTGTAGAGTTACTTAGGAGATCACGTCCAGGGTTTCTAAATTTTATCCTGTGGCGTGGGAAATGTTTATCCCGACAATCTTCAGTAACCGTATCAAGCCATCCATCGCCAATTTTAAATATTCTCATATTCATTGCGAATCTGAATTTTTATGAAGCCGTGCAATACCGATCACATTAACTGTAGTAATATGTTGCTCAGCGCCATCTACAAAATTGGTAACTTTACAACGTTAAGTATCCAAATAGCACAAATACATATTATTTTATTTTTACCAATAAAGTTAAACAACACTTGAAGCAAACAAAAACACACTTAAAATAAGTCAACAGGGAATCTAAATCACAAAGAAAAATAAATTTTTCATGAGGCAACAAAAATACTTGTGGTTAGCACTTGGGATCCTGTGAAAGACGTATAATTAAACTACCGCCAAATGTCAACTTTTTATAGAGTAGAAAAAAGCAGAAGTTATAAGCCATTTATAATGTAAATTTAATATATTTTTACCGGTATAAATGTTAGTGAGGCATTTCAAAAAATTATAAGTTACGTTGATGACATTTATTTGAAGGTAATTTGAAGATACCAAAATAATATTTTTTTTGAGGTCGCCTATTAACATCCAGGTGATTATATTCGCGGGTCATCGAAGGACATCCGAGATTCGCATATGATGACCCGGGTGATCTAACCCAGCTGATTGTAGTGGAATAGACCAATTCGCAATGCCACTAGCGACCTCATACAATAGCACCTGCTTGTGGCAAGCATATTGACCATACCTCAGAAGGGTGTGACACGCCGCTGTACAAGTTTGCAACAAAGGATGATGGGCAAAAATGTATGGAACTTGGTATCCGTTCCAATAGAGATGTGTTACATATCATTTGAAAGGTCTACTTGAATACAATAATGTCTACTATGGCGCTTGCCCTGATATGTTGTCGAAACAGAGTTATATAATAAATAATAATAAAAAAGTTTTTTCTTTTTAAATTGTTATACATTTCAGTATTTACATTATTTTAGCAGTGTTGTAAGTATTAACAATAGGCATTAGGTTAGAGCGTTGATATCTGCAAAAGTTTAAAAAAAAACTGTATCGCAGATACCAGTGCCTTCCGACTTAGTAACAATACAACCTCGTGTGAACTATTTAATGTTTATCTTTAACGTGAACATTAATAAAAGAAAATGGTAAAAACATAAAAAAAAAAGAATAATTAGCTTGTTATCTTGAACGGTAACCAAAGGCGTATATAGAGGGGCCAAGTGGGCCGTGCCCACCCCTGGATGTTGTTAGGAGTTAATTTTTGAAATAAGACTTCTATATAGACGGGGAGTAATATAAGTTATTTACGGGATTCTTACCACGTACCTTGTTTTTAGTGAGTTTCCCATATTTCGGCACTGTTGCAAGCGCCATGGTCACGGATCTCACAAGGTACATGGTAACAATTCCGCAAATAACTTATCTTTATATATATAATTCTTCTGTGAGTGTGTATGTCACTGAACTTCTCTTAAACGACTGGACCGATTTTGATGAAATTTTTTGTGTGTTCAAGGGGATCTGAGAATGGTTTAGATTCACAATTTTGTCCGCTGGACAACCCCTATTTTTTTAGGGCGGTACGAAGTTCGCTGGGTCAGCTAGTATTACTATATAGTTCATGACCCTGAAAGTTTAAAACAATATAGACTGGGAGTATTAGGATTTTGCTGTCTCGAAAAAGCGTTGCGGCCGCGTGGAGGTGGTAGATGATATATCGCGCGGAGCGAGAGAAATGCAAGATATTGGTATTTCTGCCTGTCCGTTGAGTTTCACTTATTTTAAACACATCAATTAACTTAGCCCCGAAGTAAGCACTGTAGGCTTGTGTTATGGGATACTAGGCTATAGGGGATACCTATACTGATACTTAAATAAGGATATATTTATAGAAATACATATTAAACATCCATGACTGGGGTACAAATGCTCATATTCATCACACAAACATCTGCCCCCACCGGAATTCGAATCCAGGGCCTTTCGAGAAGGCGACACCTTGAAACCCGGCTTACAAACCACTCGGCCACGGAGGTTGTCGAACTATGTTCTACTATGTGTCCCAGCACACATTTCTGTTTATTTTATGTCAATGAGTGTGAAGTTATACGATATTGTTCTTACGGTACAGCGCCCTTGAAAGGCCTCCCGTCCCGCTGGGCGGGCAGGGCAGGTGGAGCACCCCGGCCCACGGGCGCTCCGCCCCGTCAGCCGCCGCGCGCCGGGATCAAGCTGCTGGACATTACGGAACAACCCGCCACGCATGCGCAGATCAAGAAGAGGAGGAAGCTGGGTGAGTTACTACACATACACTTAGGCACACACATACCCACTACTACACATACAGACCAAGAATGGACTGAGGGTTCTCCGTTCTCTAACCCAGTGGTTCTGCGGAACCCAAGGGTTCCGTAGACCTCATCTTGGGGTTCCGCGTTTTTTTTCTTATGTGTAATATGACTGTAGTTTATACGACAGTAAATATGTAGCAGGGTTCTGGGGATTTTGTTTTGTTGTTAATTACAAAAATCACGATATACGATTTGAAACAAAGGAAAAATAAATTGGCGGAACCCCTACTTTGGTTCCGCCAATTTATTTTTAAAAAGGTTCTGCTGTCAAAAATTAATCGAAATCCCTGCTCTAATCAACAAAACAGTGTAGTAAGTTTTAGAGAGATGAGACGATGGGGCGGTCCATAGATTATCTATATATTGAATGCGAGTATCGCTCAGTTCATACTTAGAGACATATTTTCTTACTTAAAAAATATTTGCTTACTTCCAATATACATACACTCATCTCAAGCTCTCGCAAAGAGTTAGCGTAAAAAATAACAGACCAAATATTCTAACTAATTACAGGCAGAGACATACCCATGTTAATATATCTATATTGTAGAAATGGAGGAGGGTGCCAAAAAGCCAGTACCAGCCGCGCCCCCCTCGCCCCCGCCGCCAGATTACGCGAAAGGGCTGTTCCCGGCCAAGACAGAAGACGCTGCCACACGTGAGTACAGTCCTCAACTCTACTATTCCCTTATAGTTTAATCATATTTTTTGTCGTTCTTGATAGTTGAAAGAAAATATAATGGGATTCCTTTCTATTTTTAAAGTTGTCTTGGTAATAGTACTATGTAAACAGGGTGTTCAAAAGAATGGGTCAGCTATTGAAATGGCACTAAGCAGTAAGCACAGCTGATCCATTACAAAGATTAAGTTCTAAACTTCTTGAGCAAAAAACCACAAACAAATAAACGTGCGCAGTTGACGTATTTGTATGTGAAATTGCTACTGCGCAGGCTTCCTTAACTATGTTCATCGCTCAAGAAGTGCTGGGGTATACAATTATTATGTAGGTACATTATTGTTTTCAATTTTGAAGTTGTCAACATGTACCCGCTTATAATTAAACAAAGAATAAGTTTTGATTAGTTACTCCATGTTTTGTCTTTGTCCATAGAATGACAAATATCCTTTGATAATATGCCACGGCGTATCTAGTCTAAGCTTATTCCTTGTTTATCAATTATGTTAGGGGGGGTAATGTTTCATCACTGAGTCATATTAATTTAATAAATTGAGAATATTTGAATTTTTAGCATTATAAATATAAATGTAAGGGTAATTTTACTTAACCCAATTTTTTCCAGTCGGCCCACGTGTAAGGCTGGTTTTAAGTAAGTGTCTTTCGCTATTAGGGCGAAAGTACTAACGGCTATGCTGCCGATATCCTATTGGACTTCTCGATCGAATTTCTTTTAACACCACAGAAATAGTGAAATAACTCATAAAAGACTCACGCACGAAGAGTTCCGCGCCATTTATCTATACAATATCGGCACTATTTAAATATCAAGCAAAAAACGGCAAAACGTCACGTCTGTTGCAAGAGATCCGTAAACGTTTTATTTTTTAAAAAAATATTCTGTTTTCAGTTTAATCTATTGTTGTTATAGCTTCAACAGCAATACATCATCTGTTATTCTGTGAAAATTTCAACTGTCTGGCTATAACGTTTCATAAGATACAGCCTGGTGACAGACGGATGGACAGTGGAGTCATAGAAATTAGGTCCCGTTTTTACACGACTGCCCAAAAAAAGGCTGTAATGTTTTCAGGGTTCATGTTTGTTTTAAGTATTTATTCCACCATAACTTCCGAATGCCTGATCCGATTTAGATGTATGGTATCGTTAGATTCCAGTCACCATCACGGATGACATAGGTGACCTGAACTGTTAAAATTGAAATAACAACAATGAAAAAGTGATAAAGAATTATTGTAAATACTAGCTTTTGCCCTCGGCTTCGCTCGCGTTAATGTTGATTTTGTCACTGATTGTAAGATCGGATTATCGATTATCGATCGATTGAATAAAGTAATGCAACAACTCCGATCAGGACGACTCAGTTTCAACTCCGCGCGCTGTACATTTTGATGTTATTCTTCTAAACTGCATTAATACTGTTTCCTCTGAAGCGGCGCGGATAAGAGCAGTGTATTTTGAGCAATGCGAATGGTATTTTTTTGAGACACTTCTCAGCTTCGCGCAGCACCAATTCTGATTGTTCGATCGGATAGGATCCGTTGACAGGAGATACTTGCAAGCCTACGCTGCGTTAAGCGGGCCACGGAGCGGGCATCCGCTCCGCGTGCAGTTTTTATGTAATTTCATAGAGACCTGCCTCACGCAGCGCTGCTCTATGAAACATAAAACATTGTTTGTTTTATGTTATTTTATATTTATTAGCGGACGCCCGCTCCGTGCTTTTGCTTAACGCAGCGCACGCTCTTATTCTTCTCAACTCCATTAATACTATTTCTACTGAAGCGGAGCTGAGAAGACATGTACAGTAGTAGACAGACAATATTATGAGCATATGCGATTGGTATTTTTTTAAAGACATTTGCTTAATTTGAGCATTGTGATCAGTGTTGATTTTTTTATAGATATGTACGACAAATAACTCTACCCCCCTGATGTTAAGTGATGGTGAAGTCCAGGCATGACTTCGATAATGAATGACGAAGTTTCTTGGTGCGACAATCGTTCTTGCACATAAACATTGATTTGCATTTTGTTGTCATTCCAATTATATTTGGTCATAATGGTTAATTGGCAGATGCTGACGGCTGATGCAATGTCCAGCATCTTTTTTCTGTTGACTCTGATAAGAGCCGCTTGGGAATTGGTTATGCGAACGGCATTACTGTTTTCCCAAGCCACGAGCGATATTTATTTAATATTGATTTTATTCGTTTATTTTTTCTTTTGTCTAGGAAAGTTTAGGAGTGCGGGTTCGTGACGTCACTATTAAGTAAAAATATACCAAAACGTGACGTCATGCGACATTTCAAATTAATATATCTCTGTTATGTTTTGATTATGTGAATAAAGAAAGAATACGCGTCCAATACTTTTTGATAATCTATCTGATAGACGAAAAAAATAGTAGTCGTCCCTTTTGCTCTTATTGTAATCTTTAAAACGCACTATAACGTGCTACGACTCCTAATCCCCTAGCGATATGATATATAACGCGTTTTTATCACGCACTATTTTCAAACTACTATGGAGGTAGAGACAGTAAAACGCGATAAAAATCGTTTTATAATATAAATTGTGGTGCTGATGTTACAGGGATTGGACAGCGCTAAAATTAAAGAATTTAATTAAAATTAACTAAACATTTAAGGGGGGCTCCCATACAACAGACGTGATCTTTTGCCATTTTTATCCATATTATATTATAGTGTCTATGTTGTATAGATAATGGTAGCTTTCCAATTACAGCATTATAGCGCATTATGCGGCATAATGCTTAACGTTGAGTGTTCCAATTACAGCAACGCTTCGCACAATTGAGCACTCTCAAAAGTAATGCTTTCGTGTGATGCGTGCAATCGTACCAACCCAGTGACAGAAAATTAACAAGTGTTTTTTCTTTAAGTTGGCATTGATCGAAATGTTTTATTTATATGTTATCGTAAGTAATATTATTTATTGTTGAAAAATTATTAAAGCTTTCGTTTCATTAAATAGTTTTTTTTAATCAATCAAAGTTAATTCAAACTGTTAAAAAAATAAATATAAGTATGGATGAAGGTACAAACATTGACTTTTTTTTCAACACTGAACTTAGCGCACTCTGCTGGTGCATTTGAAAACTAATTCACGTTCCAATTAAGCATCAGCATAATTCGGCATTGTGCGGCACTGAGTCGCATTATGCTCTGTAATTGGAAAGCAACCAATACCTTCGTGCGTGAGTCCGATTCGCACTTGGCCGGTTTTATGTCATTTAAACCGCATACAGAAAATATACGCCTTTCTAAAGGTTATGAGAGACACAGTTTGCCCATTGTTACAGTGACTGTTACAAAATAAATCTCAGTGTGTTTGTGTCGTTTGTTATTTATAATTACATATTAAAACAATTGACAAAAAACAGCATGGCCATTACGCGATTGTATAATATTGACATAAACGACCATTTGCATGTGCAAAGGGGAGTGTTTCGTTATCTTGTGTTTGTACTTGTGGTATTTTTTCGATGCCCCGTACGAATTCCCTTAATTTAAATGAGGAGCTCGATGGCGGAAGTGGTTAGCGCGTTCGGCTGCGATCGTTAAAGTTAAGCAACTTTTGCAGTGGTCGGTCATTGGATGGGTGACCGAAAATTTTACTATCTCGAGTTCCTCCGTGCTTCAGAAGGCACGTTAAGCCGTTGGGCCCGCGTGGTGGGTCATAGCCGAATCTCCCTATTCCATCCATAAGGAAGGCCTGTGCCCTAGCAGTGGGGACATTAATAGGCTGGTGATGATATTAAACTGTTACAAGACTTAATGCTTGACAACATATGCTTCTGCGACACTTTTGTTCTCATTTAGATTGGCACGGTATGTTGCTATTTTAATTTCGGATTCCTGAGCAAAGAATATTTATAACAGAAAGAAATTTTAAGATTTCAATACCTTACCTAAGTGTTTGCTTATTTTTGTATTGCAAATGTTAATTATTATTCTCTATTGAGCGATTTTACTAGCATTTTATAAAATGGCTTCAAAGTTTATAAAAGCTAGTATTTTTCTTATTGCAAGCGGCCATTTTAATTTAGGATTCCTAAGCGAAGAATATTTATAACAGAAATAACTTTTGAGATTTCAATACCTTAACTAAGTGGTTGCTTATATGTGTATGGTTTGTATTAGTAAAATAAAATAAAATAAATGTGTTCGTTTACCAGCGGCCGCAGCAGAGTCGGGTGCAGGCGGCTCAGCTCCGGGCGCAGGGGCGGAGGGCGCAGCGCCGGGAACCGAGTCCGGCCCGCGTACCCCCGCCCCTACCCCTGCGTCCGTCCCTGCGCCCGCCGCTCAGCCTCGCGCCAGCCCTGTGCTCGTGCAGGTAACTATATACTAAACGATATACAGGGCGTCCCACGGGTTTCTCACACGGAGGGAAAGATAAATAAAAACTATGTTATTTAAGAAAAAAAACCATCCAATCATAAAAAGGATTATTTTTTCGGTGGTTATCATAAAATACGTCGTGTTTTTTCAAGTAAATTTCAGGAATTTGATGCCCAGTAGTAGCAAGCGATTTAAAAAATACTGTGAATGCAGTTCTACTTATTATAAAAAAAAGATGTCTTATTACAGTAAAAACTGTACATATATAAGTATATATATATAGAAATATATATTAAACATCCATGACTGGAGTACAAGAGCACGTATTCTTCACACAAACATTTGCCTCCACCGGGTTTCAAACCCGGAACCTCTCGAGTAGGCGACACCTTGAAACCCGGCGTACAAACCACTCGGGCACGGAGGTCGTCAATACAGATGCCATGTATTACGTATAAAACATGTACCTATCTTTATATATATAATTCTTCTGTGAGTGTGTATGTCACTGAACTTCTCTTAAACGACTGGACCGATTTTGATGAAATTTTTTGTGTGTGTTCAAGGGGATCTGAGAATGGTTTAGATTCACAATTTTGTCCGCTGGACAATGTTTTTTTAATTAATTTTTTTTATGGCGGTACGAAGTTCGCTAGGTCAGCTAGTATAGTATACAATACTTGCATCAAACTTGTGAATATGTGAATTGCATAAGGCTCACGACCGGCTCGACGACCTCCGTGGCCGAGTGGTTTGTACGCCGGGTTTCATGGTTTCGCCGACTCGAGGGGTCCCGGGTTCGAATCCCGGTGGGGGTAGATGTTTGTGTGACGAATATGAGTATTTGTTAAATATGTATTTCTATATAAATATACTTATATATGTACAGTATCTGTATTCTATCCGTTACCATAGTATCGCATAACGCAAGCCTTTTAGGCCCGTATTATAGAAAGATTCTCAGTGATCGATCTAGTCTTGAGCATAGTTAGAAAGGGATGTCGGTATAAATACAACATAGCGATATCCCTTTCTAACTGTACTCAAGTAAAGATCAACACTTAGTTGTCATTCTGTAATACGGGCCTTAGTGCTTACTTTGGGGCCACGCTAATTGGTGTGAGTGTTAAAAATATTTATTATTATTAGAATGAACCACATCATTCGTCCTCAAACCGCGGCGTTCTGGATAAATATCTGTTTCCAGTATGTTCGTGGTTTTAGTTCGAGAGCGTTCGTGACAATGGTGTCGATTCTGGCGTGATTCTCTAAACTTAAAACTAAATTTAACATCAATCTCTCCTTTTCATTCCGTATAGAGAATGACAAGGATACACTATTGTCAAATTTAAGTTTAGGTTTAGAGAATCGTGTCAGAATTGACACCAGTATTATATAAAACGTTCCTATATCTTCACAGGGCACCGGAGCAAAGCCCATCGTGTTGGGTCAGCAGCCGAAGTTGCTGATAGCGGGGCAGGCGGGAGGCAAGCCTTTACTATTGGCTGCCCAAAACTTGCTGAATACCTCGGCTGTCATTCTACAGCCTGGCGGGAAAGCTGTGCTGCTGCAGAATATCAAACCGGTGAGTCCTAGACATAAGTCTCCTTTTTTTTTTATAAATAGGTCCGTCAGAATACCTCCTTACTTGGTGTTGAATGACGGTGGAGTCCAGACGCGAAGATAGCTGGTACAGCAGTTCTACCTGCCACGCCAGCCATCCTTACCTTGCCGGCCTGCATATTTGCTGCTGCATGCTTGTTTTAAGGGATCAAAATGGGGATACCAAAATGGGGTATTCCTTCTTGAAATCTTCAGTATAAATTTAACGATAATGTTTAAATAATCCTTTTTTGCTGTTGATAAAATTAACCGCCATTTTTCTGGTGGAGAATCTTCTGCGTCCAAAAGTTTTATTTTGAGGGCAGATATTTCTGCCCCCACTCTCGTCACTCATATTAAAGATTATACGAAGTCAAGATAAAATAAGTAAGTTTAAGAGAAATTTAGCAGAAATAAAAGACTAAGGAATTTTATTCAAAATTCACAGGAACTCCCGCTTAACTCTTTCGATCTTGGCGCCCTTTTTTTACAATGAATATTCATATGGGAATGACAGATTCCAAATTTAAATGCATTATTATGTTGTTTTTAGTTGTAACAGTATTTATGGCCAGTCTAAGTATATTTAGTCAGATCCTTTGTCCTGAATTTGAAAACCAAGTTTTTATTTTTAAAGAAATGTTCACTTTGGTTTTTTTGTACTACACTCGCGATGCTGATCGCTTATTAATAAACGCTAAAATAAAGCTTATTCTTAAGCTTGGATCAGTTAATCTATGTTTTTAATATTTTATTAATAACTAATTTAATATTTCTTTAGTCATGTATTGTCCCATTCTATTGTGATAACAATGCTTTCAACTCATTCAAACAAAAGTGTAGCGACGTCTTTGAGTGCGGGTCGTTAGAATATAAGGCATGTATGTGTTTCTTAGGTTTTCACGCACATCACTCATTAAATAAAACTAGTTTTTCACGGGTTAATGCACGAAACTTTATATATTTATTGACGTTTCGTTAAATTAAGTCTTTCGAAGGTAGCTCGACAAAATTAAATAAAAAAAATGATTCCGACGAAGCAGCCTGTAAAGGCTGCGAAACGTCAATAAATAAATAAAGTTTCGTGCATTAACCCGTTGAAAACTAGTTTTATTTAAGGCATGTATCTAGTCTAAGCTTATTCCTCGTTAATTAATAAGTTCAGAATGTCATAAATTTGGGTATGTTTTTATATTCAGTGTTAGAAAGATTTTGAAAAACCTATTCAGTAGAACCTGGTCAAAGTTATTATATAAACCTCGTCCACTTTATTAAGATTTCATAGTCTCTGACCGCTTACCTTATTTGGTCGATACCTGGGCGACTCTTTAGTATCCTGGGTGTTTATAGGCGACCCCAACAAAATGATTATTTTGGTATCCTCAAATCACCTATCAATAAATATCACTAACGCAACTTCTAAAATTGCAACCTGGGTCTGTAAAGGTGAATAAACCACGTATAGGTCTCGGGATTGAATAATTTTAAATAATTTATTTTGAGTTGTCTCTTATTTATTATTGGAACGAAGTTCCTTACGGCAGGCTTGGAGGGGATAGGGATTTTGCTGCGCGACCGAACTGAAAAAAATGTGATAGTAAAATCGTAAGAAAAAATCTGTGGAAAAAAGTGCGTGGAATAAAACCGTTAAATGAGACGTGCGCAGGCGCGACAGTCGCATACACAAGCGAGTTTGCAATTTGTGTCGATTCTACATTAGCCGAAGCAACTTCGTTCCTACCTGGTGTCCCACGACACCACATCATTTTTTTTATTATTTTATTATAGGTCACACCTGGTGTTGTTCAAACAGGCGTCCCAGTTCCAGCGTTACAACCGCAGACAATCGCTCATCCGGTAAGCTATATATTTTTTATTGCCTTCGAAGGCATACATAAAAAAATAATGTTTTTTGTAACAATGCAATGTCATGAACACTTTATAATTGTAATTATTTGTATGTTTAAATGAAATAAATATACTGAACTATAAATTTGAAAAAATAATGGATGATAGTCACTACACAATTACTTAATTTAAAATTTTATTTGTTATATTTAGTGATTTTAGTGCATGCGTGATGTATCAAATATTACAATGAACTTCCAATTTTATCTTAATCTTTTCAAAACCCAAGAAATTTATTAGATAGAAATATAACTACGCTGACTACGTTTATCAATGTTATATTACCATCTTCCACCTTACAAAGGTACAGATGGCAGCACAGCCAGTGCAGCAGGCTCAGCAGAATCCTCAGCCAGTTCAACAACCGGTGCAGCAGCCAGTCCAACAACCTGTTCAGCAACCGGTAACTCAACCGGTTCAGCAACCAGTCCAGCAAGCGGCTCAGACGCCGGTTCAACAAAACGCTCAACAGCAACCGCTTTTGCCACGAAGGGGATTGTCGCTTACGGTAAGTCATTGTCATCGGACTATTAATATCCCCTCTGTTATGGCACACACGCAGAGAATTTCTTTACTTACTTGCCTTCAATAGAGGGAGGCTATTAATGGCACGGTAAGTAAAGAAATTTCATTATAATACACCTAACATCCGCACGCGACTTCGTTCGCATCTTAGTTAGTTTTTGAGAATCCCATTCCTGTGGAATATTAACATTTAAATTTATCTGGGACAAAAAGTGTCATTTATCTGAATCCATTTATAAAACTATATGTGGGCTAAATCTCATCTTAATCCTTCGTTATTGAGTTACAAACATACCTAACTTTCACATCAATAATATCAGGACTAGAATAGGATTCATGCCATTTAGTTAATTTAAATCCCTGCTCAAGGAAACCCGTAGTCTCGTAACTGTTCATCAATGAAGGAATGATTTATTCAGCTTACAAAGATTTCACAAACAGAGATGTAGGTTAAAAATAAAAAAATAAAACTTTTTTTTTAATTTAGGTATTTTAATGTATTTCCTTTGGGGCACTATTTGAAAAAGAGAATTGTATTTTTCAAATACAAGAATTCTATAGGAATATGCTAGGTGTAGAGACACATTCTTCATCACAAAAGGGATGATGACAGGGTAAAATAAACGGAATTCTAATCTACTCATACCTGATAGACAGTGAAAAAAAAGTTAGTTATCATTCCTATTCGATCTGTCTCTATATATTTATTCAACTTTGGTTTCTATTTTTATATGATCATAATGAATATTGTCTATTTTATGTGTTTTGCAGCGCGAACAAATGTTGGAAGCACAAGACATGTTCCGAAACGCGAACCGCGTCACCCGACCGGAGAAGGCGCTCATTCTCGGATTCATGGCTGGATCAAGGGGTGAGTGGGGTCTTTGTTTAAAATAATACATTATTATACGTAACTTTCGTAAATATATTCCATCATGCCTTTCATGTCAAATTAACGTTTCATTGTATGATTATAAATTAACCGCCCTCCAATGAATCCAAAACCCCAAAGAAGCTGAATTTCAAACAAGTAATGTCAGAATTTAAGCTGTGCCACAGATAACGGAAAGTTTTAAATGCAGTGGTCACTTTACATAATTACGTTTTTTCTAAACAACAACAGAATTTTTAATGAAAACTTTTCACATCCTTTTGCAGATAATCCTTGTCCGAACCTAGGCAACATTGTCACGATAAAACTATCGGAGAACATCGAGAACGTACTGCAATCTGACGACACATACCTTACCATGTTGTCTGAGATGCATTTCCAAATGAACTACAACAACGGTCAATGGACGAGGCTCAAGAAATACAGACATATAGACGGAATGGTACCGCAGAAGATACCACCGGGCTCCACAGTGATATCGGCCAACAACCAACAACCAGTTGTTTCAATAGCCAACCAAAGTGTCAGTTAAACAGTCTCAGTGTTGTGCTGTGGTTTTGTGTACTCTCGTTTAGTGTAAGTGAAATAAGTGAGCAAGAGAGAAAATGTGGATTCGATCATTGTGTTCGGTAAGGCACAGTCTTATGTTGACGGAATTGATAATTTAATAATTGCTGTCCAGTTGTTTATATTGTCCTCAAAATTATAAAAAAAGCTTTTGTGTAATCGAATATGATATGTTTTATGATAAAAAAGCTGTCTAAATATCTATAATTGGAACTTCATATTATCGTTATGTGTAAATATTAGTAGGAACTACAATGCTCCTACACTATTAAGTGGGCTTAAATCATCGGTTAATTTCGATTTTTTGTATATAATGCATAAAACATTTCGAATCGTATCTTACCTACCCTAGCAAATATCCTATAATTATTTATTATTCAACAAGATCCAGTCATACAATGAAGACATCGTCATGCGAATTGCATTATAAATATCGCTTTTGTTTATTGCTTGTTCAATATTTAAGCTTTTTCATTTTGGACTGAATTTGCAAGGGACCAAAAATGTTTTGTGTTGCATGATTATTAACCATTGAATACAAGTTATCTGATTATGTAAATCTGTGCTGGAATTTTTTGTATTTTTTGCCAGGTTCTAAGAATAATGTAGTAAAAGTTTTAATACACTAACCTACGAAATCTGTGTTCTTTGTGAATTATAGAAAATATTCAGTAAAAAAATGTAAGCAGAGATGTATTAGGAGATATGATAGGAAGAGTGAATAAAGGGTTAGGTTAAGTGAGAGTATACACCAAAACTTCTCAGAAAAAGTTCACATAGAGATTGTGTTCTATGCTAAATAGAGAGATTCTTACCATGCTTAAAACTATATAAATTCGGACTTTTCTCTAATTATGTGCATTATTTATCATGATATATATCTATAAAATGGATCTGAACACCGATTTTTTATATTGGCCATTGTCATTCATTTTGAAAGAGCTATTGTTTTACTTTTTTATTCTTCATTATCCATGTGATAAAGAGAGAATTATAAAATAAGATAGAAGAAAAAAAATTTTGATGTTAATATACAAAAGTCCAGTTCCAGTGTAGCCACTTGTTTCCAAACAATGCTATGAAGTTAATTGTTATATATTCAGCTTGGCAAAAGCAAGTAGAGAAATTACAAGACATTTCCAACTGAATCTCCAACAAAGTTATCTTTGCAGGAATGTTCGGTTTGTTGATGACAGCATTTTATGACAAATGTTCATAAAAAATTGCAATTGAGAACCCCAGATCTTATTCAAAGTCAATTAATTTCACAGTCGCAATTATTAATTCCTTACATACACTAGGCATATAGAACCAGCTCAAATCATGTGCATGAATGTTTCTATGAGATACGAAATCACAGGCATCTACATTAAAAATGTAATTCTTTAGATTTTTATAGAAATATTTGTAAAAATTAAAGGTCTGCTGCAACAATGATGAACTCCAATAATAAGTGAAGCTAAAATTTCTGTTTGAGATTATAAAAATCATTGATTGATTCATTGTTTAGAAGAGGTTATTTTTTCCTGTAGGTCCAACTAACTTAATTGCTTTTTCTATAGTTTTGCTTTGTTGATATTTTCTAATGGTTTGCTTAATAAGCATAATCTTGTATTATTACATGTCGGGCTGGCGTCAGATCATAGCAACAGCTATAGCAATAAAGTTAGGCGGTAGCAGGTCTTCTTCGGTTTGATTGAGTGATGGACACCATCCTTCAAATAGTAAAACGATTTAATTTTCAGCGTGCTTTGGTAGTCCACATTGATTTTGTTATCGTGAAGTAAGTTTTTTTATGATTAATTATTATTCTTAGTAGGTATGATCTCACAGCAGGAGCCGTCGAATGGTAACTTTCGATTTGTCAATGTCTTCTAGTGCCAAAAGTTTTCATGAATTCGAAAATGTGTCCTACAAATTGTGTTTTAACGGCAACACTACACTGGTGCTGCAAAGTTGCCAGTGCACATTTGTAGGTAATGTGAGAGATATTAAACATAGAATTTTATCCTAAGGCGACATATAAGCAAGCAAGCTGCAAGCTACGCCTCATCTAAGAGTCGACTTTACCACAGCTGCAAAGTCTTTAATTTACCTCTAAGAAACTGTAGTCAAACTAAAAATAAATTCATCAAAACTTCGTTAGTTAATATAAAAACAAGAGTGTATAATAATAAATCTATAATAATGGTCCTTTTTGCAATTAATTATAATTTTTAAAGGACATAAAATAAAGCCTTACTTAGTTTTAAGTAATCATACCGTATACCTTGTCATATTTATCAGTTTTTTTTAAAGATGATGATTCAGTAATGATTTAAATGTATTACTGTGGAGGTATTAATGCACTTAAATGTATGAATACTTATACTCTTCATGTCTGTCGGAGGTGAAGTTGTGTCATTATTAAAATTGCTGCAGAGCAGGATTTTGATAATAAATAATGCATATGATTGTCTCTCAAAGTCGATTGTATGTATTTTAATTAAATTGTATTTTATTACATTAATTAACATTAAAGGAGTATGGTAACACATTTTAAACTTAAAATAATTTTATAGATTTTTTTGTATCAGTGTACTCATATATTTGAACTACACAAGTATGTCTACAATTCCCTTCATAAATGAAATGAAATCTCTGCTTCGCCTTCTAAACAGTAAGTCGGGATAAAACGATACTACTGAGATATTGGTACTATTACTCGATACGGCATCTGTCGTAAAATATCGATAGTTAATTAGCATCGATACTTACTAATATCAATAATTTTTGTACAGTAAGTAATCTACTTACTATGACAAACAACAACTAAGTAAATAAAAATTCAGTAATGAGTATTGATATAAATAAAAAAATATATAAAATAAAGTAAGTTCTTGTAGCACTCTCGAAAAATATCAATTTTTAAAAGTGTTTGTCTGTTCTAAAAGATTTTTGGATGTAACGATTTTTGCGCCAGCTTTGGAAAAGAGTTTTTCACAGAAAACAGAGAGACAAATAGTAGAGTTTTTCACAGAAAACAGACTTTTGAGTTAGCACACCACCGCTTCTGGCCAGCAGCAAGTTGTTTGTGATATTGGTTTACCGATGCAAATACATACCTACTTTTGACCAATACTTTCTTAATACTTAGTTTCAAAGTATCGATACAAAAAGTATAGTATTGTACGGAAAGTATCCAGTAATGACTTGTATTTACTCGTATCGTTTCATCCCTGAGAAGAAGTCCTATTATTCCATAATACTGTCTGTCATATAACTGCAGTCATAATAACTATCAACATTTTTCACACACTCAAAGAAATACTGATTCCATTCAGGCAAAAGCTTATGTTAGTTAACGCTGTTTATAGTATTTTATTTACATGCAAATAGCATTGGAGAGTCAACCACACCTTACCGAATAGTAACAGGGGTAAAAATGGGTATTGTAGTATACAAAGAAGTGTCAACACAAGCCTGTAGTTGAGCACAGTTTGGCCAATAATTTATAATTGGTCCTAATTACTAATTGGTCAGTGGTGTCAATTCTGGCATGATTCTGTAAAGCTAAACTTAAATTTGACAACAGCCTTTCCTTTTCATTCTGTATAAAGAATGACAGAATGGTCTCTACAATTTGTAGATTTAGGATAGGTCATGCCACTACCCCAGTTCACTTGGCTAGGTTAAAAATACGTGACAGCCCCACATGTGATTGTGGAACCGAGGATGGTAAAGGGGATCATCTTTTCTTTAACTGCCCCAAATTAAACATCTCTCTCTATGACATTTTACCTCCCACTATTCCTCGTCCTATAAGCATGAAACTCCTACTATGTTTATGTGATTACTCAACCCTCAAGCTCTTGGCCAAATTTATTTCCCATAACAAACTAAGATTGAAACAAAGCTCCTCGCTTTACTTGTTTTATGTTTGTGTTGTCCTGCTTGTGACGCTTTTCTTTACAGGTAAAAGTGCTTATAAAATAGGTAACCAAAATTCTGATTGTTAACTGTCATTCCCTTACGTGTAATGGCTAATCACTTGACATTGGCGGAGCTGTGCTAAGTCACAACGCAAGTCATCATAAAAGAAGAAGGAGAAGAAAGAATGACAGGGAAACACTGTTGTCAAATTTAAGTTTAGCTTTAGAGAATCATGCCAGAATCGGTACCAGAATTTCACTGAGCATGCGACTTGCCAGTAGAAATAACGTGACATCCGTTTGATGTGAAACATGTGCCTTTGTAACATAAGCCAAGTGTTAATGCAATATGCCCAAAACCCATATGTGTAGTCGTTGAAATAGTATTTGTATTCACCACAGAATTATGTCTTAATCGTATTTATTAACATTTATTGTGTAAAGATTTTTCATAAATAGCTTGTGTTTAATACTACTTGTCTCCTCATTCGGAGACGTCAAATTTAATGTTTCATTAGTCACATGTCCCATTCTATTGTGATGACAATGCTTCAACTGAAATGAACGACGAAAGTGTACCGACGTCTTTGAGTGCGGGTCGTTAGAATTTTAGGCATTTATGCATTTGCTATTTTAAATAATTTCTTAATTAAGAAATATATTTATTATTAAGTTAGAACAAAATAGGAACAGAGGCCTAAGCATGAGGTTTTTACAGCTCCGTAATTTATTTATTTCCGATTTATTTTAAACCGTGTTTGAAAATGTACAATTTTGCAAAGATAATGGCCACCCTGTCATAAGTAACGTCATATTTTTAGTGTGTGGCAGCTTATAACATCAACTCAATCACTATGGCAAATGTCAAGCAGGCCAGTCGTGCATGATATTCTTGAAATCGTGGTGAAATTATTGGTCGGAGTGATTTCGCGAAATGGGACGGAAGTGTTTAACAGAAAGTTGGGAAAGCGCGCGCTATTTGTTTTGATTTTAGAACAATGTTCAAATGGCTTATTCCTTTTGTAGTAGGTTTTATTTCTTTTTTTACTAATATAAGGTGAGGTTTCAAATGTTACACATCATACGCGACTACTGTAAGGCTCGCTCGTTTTTTTACCAATTTATGATTAATTCTTCTTGAAATAGAATACCCACAAATACCTATTACCTGACAGAATAATTATCACTGCTTTAGTGACCAATTGAATAGAATATAAACTTGCCATTTGCCAATCAATAATGATATTATTTTATAATAATTATAAAAAAAAACGGATGTAGATAATTTCTAATTTTTTGTCAAACAAAAAAATTAAGTTTTCTACATAATCATCATAAATATTTGGAGTCTGCCGGAGACTGACTACCACCCTCCATACCGTCTCCTTTGATGATTACGATACTATACGGAACTGTCAAAAACTCGTGCTGGGGTCTCTGGTCATGTTCACAATGAGGATCATTACTAGCTCCACAAATCAACTCAAAATCAACAGTATAATGAACTAATAAGCTTTTTAATTAATATACTTTTTAAATCATCGAAATCGGTTCATTCGTTGCGATTTTATAACTAATTTTATGGTAGCCAATATTCACCGGCGGCCGAAACGAGTGACGTCACAGAGCTCGATCGTGGTTTTCACTCCAGTCGGACTTCAGTAGCGTGGTGACGTCACATCCACCACGCGGCCAGCCGAAAACTCGTTTAGTAATTTGGTCATAACTTCGTCAATATTTGTTGTAGAACAAAAATTTAAACACTGTATTTTATGGAATCCTTGGCTCTACAAATATGCATACTCAACTAAAATCGGTAAGAATTCTCATTATGAAATTATATTTCTTCTAACACACAGTCACATCAAAGGGTAACCTCAACTATTTCTTAAACTTCAATACAGTACAGAACATCGTGAAATGTTTACCAAACTTTATATGTTTGATTGGTATATCTCATCGGTTCTAAGACAAAATAACGCTTGTGTAATAATAATGAATAGTGAAGGCTTCCAATTTGTATTGAAAGTTACGTAATTAAGTGTTTTTTGCTGAAGAACGGTCGACGGCGAGGCGACGAGTGTTAAATAGTTTAGTTTTTATCACGTTAATTAGATTTTACGTTGTTGTACGATGTGTTTTTCTATAGATATTTAATATTCACCGTGTATATAGTAGATAGTACAAAAATATTAAAAGAAAAAATATTAAAAAGCTATAATGACTTTGATTTTTTGTTAATTTTGTACGGACGACACGTCACTATTGATTTTGAATGTTAAACCTAAACACTACATAAGGTGGAAAATATATTGGAAAAAATTGATGCTTTCGGAAATGGAAAGAATTAAAAAGAAAAAACTTTAAAAACAAGTTTACATTTAAATTTTCTTCAAAGAATAAAATTTTCATTTACTGTCAACTTATAAAGAAATTAAGGTTTAAAATATATAAGCTCTTTGCCAGATTTAAGTAGGTAAGTACTAAGTACTGGTATTTATACAGATCGAAAATTTATAGAATTTAAACCAATCGGATCAAATTTTGTTTATCTACACAGGTAAATCTCGTGACAAGCTTTTATATTATATAAATTGTGTAATGACATGAAAGGTAGGTGGGTGGTAGTAAAAGTTATAAAGGAAATTTTATTCTTTTTATCTCATTTATAAAAAAGCTTCTTTTTGAAAGAGCTTTTTCTTTTATATTTTTCCTTTCGGTTGGGTTAACTCCTATTACCGGGATGCCCAGTCGGTTCAATTTGTCTTTCCCAGAACGTCCACTTCCTTGAACTTCCACTTCGCTGAGGGTCCAAACCAGGGGGCCATTTACCTAACGGAAATGCTATGGAAAACGCTAACGCTTTCTATTTTATTTTATTATTTCTGACCGCCGAAAGTTTTTAAATACCTCGCGCTATTTTTTTTTAATATTGCTATGCCAACCAACAACCAATGCAAAAGAAAAAAAAGAGCGCGAGGCATTTGAAAACCTCAGGCGGCTAGAAATAACAAAATGAAATCGTAAGCGTTAGTTTTCCAAAGCATTTCCTTTAGGCGAATGGCCCCCAGGTTCGCAATTTTTGGACACTACTAAAGAAATCAAGCGCCACAGTGTTAAATCAAACGTTTTATACTTAAGTATAAAAATTATCTCCTTCGAGCCGGATTTGAACCAGCGACCTATGGATTACAATTGCTCCCAGCTACAGTCCACCGCTCTACCAACTGAGCTATCGAAGGTATACGTGGGACGGCAAAAAAATCATTCGCTTTCGTACTTGAATCACCACGAGGCCTAGTGAAAGGTGTGTTCCTAATTAAAGGCACAGTAAACAAAATAATGACATAGATGTACGGCGTAGTTATTAAATTAATTCATTCTCGAAGATAAAGTTTTAAAATTATAAGAATTGTAAAATTAGGAAAGAAGAAATAAAAGTTTATTCGTGTCAAAAAATCATAGCAGTATATTTAATTATATTGGCTGCGAACCTCGTTTGACGCTACCTCTTATGGACTTCAGGAAAATAGATGTTAAGGAAATAAAACCTAATGGATTGACTTGACATTCCGTTAATAGCACCTTTTTTGTGTCTGGGAAATGCCTTACGCATCCTTCAACCACCGGGGGAGCGAGGAGAAGGTATGTGGGACTCCTCCCTGCTCATTTCAGCCAGCCCTTGGGCCGGATAAAATGAGCAGGGTTACCTATAGCCCTGAACAGGGCCACTAAAAACTAGACAATGCTCCTGCACCCTTCACCCGGCACACATACTGGGGACCGAAGTCCCCCCAATGCGCGCCGGGATTACAGGCGTAGTCGTGGTACCCGATTTCCAACTGGCCACGCATCCGTTAATAGCACCTAACGTTCCGAAATGTTTTTTTTTTGTTTTTTTTTAGGGTTTCAAGAACCCCATACTACCATCAAGTTCTTTCATTTCATACTCATATTGTAAGAAAGCATACAAGACTTAATCCACCATACAGGATTTAAGGTGACGTCACTTTATTTTTTGAATTCTCAGTAAACCCTCATATTTGATACACATAATGCATTCAAGGGCGGATCCAGCTTTGGCGCCAGGGGGGGTCATATAGTCGTGGCATATTAAATACTTAAATAAAATCCCCCTGGGCTGGGTCCATCTGTATCCAGCCCAGGGGTGGGCGGTCATGACCCCCTGACCCCCCCCCCTGACCCCCTGGATCCGCCCTTGATTGCATTAAAAATTAGTCTGGAGTAGTAGAAGCTTTGCCTCGGTCCCTACTGTACTCATGTTATCATAATAGGTTAAACTGTTAATGAGGAGCGAGATGGCGCAAGTGGTTAGCGCGTTCGGCTGCGATCGTTGAAGTTTGGTAACTTTCGAAGTGATCGGTCATTCGATTGGTGACCAAAAATCTATCTCGAGTTCTAATCGACTGCAGATGTAAAAATGTTAATTTATAACATTTTTACATCTGCAGTCGTTAGCACCTACCAATCCGTACTGGGCCCGCGTAGTGGGACATGGCCCAATCTCCCTATTCCATCCATAAGGAAGGCCTGTGCCCCAGCATTGGGGACATTAACAGGCTGGTGATGATAATATAAAATGTGCTTAAAACGGGGTACAGTTTTTCCTTCACGCTTAGGACATAGAAGTTACTAACACCTCGAGAAAAGTAAAAATTCTATTTTGTTTTTTTACAGTTGCACAAACAATAGGTTTAGTATTATTATACTTGCTAGAACTAATAATGAGTTATATATGTATTTGATCAATATCCGCTAGAATTAGAAGCACTTCTACTTCACAGGTGCCAAAGCAGTCATACTGTAGAGGTGACGTCGGTATAAGTCGATCAATGGCAAGCAACGGAATATCACTGAAATAAATAAAAATTGGACATATAAGGTAGGCAAATGACACTACCCCCTGTCGTTAAGTGGTGATAATGTCCAGTTATAGCTCATTGAAGAGGATAACGGTTTCTTGGGGATCTAGATGGCGATGGCTAACAATATGGTTGCCGCATATGTATTGTTTAGATACCGGGCCTCGGAAGGCACGTTAAGCCGTTGTTCCCGGCTGCATCTGCAATCATTAGCACTTAAAGTGGGTTAAAAAGGAGAGATGTTGGCAATCAGGCCCAATGTGCCTTTGTTTGCTAAACTTAAGACAGAAAGCTTTAATATATTGTTTTAAACTTTCATGGTCACTAACATTATAGTAATATAAATTATTTACGGGATTGTTACCATATACCTACCTTGTTTAAATTGTTTTGGTTTAAATTGTCGAGTGTCTGGAATCCTGTGGTTCGTATGTGTAAAACCGGAAATAATCAAAAAAGTTTCGTGTCGCGATCCGATACTGTAAGTGATGTGTGTCGAGAACAGTTTCGAGTGAATAGTGAGAATGTGAACAGTGGTACGGGTATCGAACCCAATAAAAGACTTCGTCGGAGGGTAGACCGATATGTCTGCCAATAACAACCTACCCGCTATTACTTCAGTTACTCCGTGATCATGGCGCTTGCAACAGTGCTGAAATATCGGAAACTCGCTAAAATCAAGGTACATGGTAACAATCCCGTAAATAACTTATATTACTATAAAGAAAGCTTTAATAAAAAAATCTTACCAAAGAAAAATATGACTTCAGGCACGAAGGTTAGTAGACTGCGGCGGGCCCCGAGCCTCTTCATCTTCACAAGAAACTCATATATAGTCACTATGAACCCCATCACGATGTAACCGAGGGTGTACCATACGTATATGTCCACGAGGAAAGCGTTTTCCTGTTAATTTCAATTCATTATAATGAATAAAAGGGAGGTAGTAAGCACAACTATCTAAAGCCGATTTTACATTTGTGATTGTTGTACGTGAAATCTATTTGATACACACCACGTCGAAAATGGTGGACTACCTACAGGGCCGGATTTAGGATTGTGGAGGCCCCGGGCCACTTAGGATTTGTATTCTTGTTAACTCATCGAAATGTTGTTATTTTTTAAGCTGTCGTGGAGGCCCCTGGGCCACAGCCCCACCTGCCCTGCCTTAAATTCGGCCCTGCGGCAAGTACCACTCCACTCAGCCATTAAGCGATTGGGGTACTCCCTCAAGATGGGTAGTGAATTGGAAGTGCTTATCAGGACCATTTGAGATTTTGATATTTCACTGATTGCCTGATTGGAGTGAACTAATATAGATCAATAATTTCTGTTATTTAAGATTAATATAATCAAATAATCATGTATGTTAGATGTACAAAGTACTGTAGGCTGTAGGTAAAGGTAAAAGAGCAAAAAAAAAAATATCAAAGGAAAAGATGTTTACTAGTGTTTACTAGATGGAATTTGAAAGATTTTTTTTCCGAAGTCTATTGTGGGGGCCCCCCGTTTGTGGAGGCCCCGGGGCTTTCGCCCCGGTTGCCCTCCCCTAAATCCGGCAGTGACTACCTATTACAGCAATGTATCCAATCAAACTTATAAACCAGCAAGTTACTCATGGCTAGTGTTGCTGTGTTTGTGTCGGTGAGAGTTCAAATGTATTGTTATATGTTACGGGTAGACAACGCATGAGAGATACCGTACAGTATCGCTATTATCATAATGCGGATCATACACTCACAAGATAATAGTAATTTGAAAGTCACTTCAATAATTATTACTTATCTCTTCACTAACTTTATAAAATAATATCTGACTACAAATTTTTTATCGTTTGTGATGTTAAGTAAGCATTTTTATGCTCAGCAAAGCGCTACAAAACACTTCCCCACCCCTTACACAAATATTTCCCTTTTTACATACATTTACAAAACCGCTGCCAGAAAACTTGGAATACTTTCTAAGGTCAGGCGATATTTTACATCTGAGCAGCTCCTTAACCTCACCGAGCCCAAGTTCGCTCCTGCTTGGAGTACTGTTGTCACCTTTGGGACGGATCTGCTCGGTATCAGCTGGATGCACTGGACTCGGTGGAACACCGTGCGAAGAGACTTATAGGAAATGACGCTCTCGTTGAGGCTAATCTCCAGAGCCTTGACCACCGAAGACGTGTAGCTTGCCTCTCGGTGTTTTATCGGTTACATCGCGGAGAGTATGCGGAGGTATTACATAATTTGATCCCCCGCTTCCCCTTTCCACCACCGGACGACCAGGCGCGGCGAGGGCTTCCACCCTTATGTTGTCGAAGTTCCTCCCATTCTTTTGAACAGAATCTAATATTTAAAAACTGGACTTGAAAACTTCGGTTGTCTCCGGCCAATTGCCAAGGCTATTCCCGGTTTCTA